TACAGCTACTACAGCTACTACTGCTACTGCTACTGCTACTGCTACAGCTACTACAGCTACTACTGCTACTACTGCTACTACTGCTACAGCTACTACAGCTACTACTGCTACTACTACTACTACTACTGCTACTGCTACTACTTCTATCACGTCACTCCAGTGTTCTTCATATTTGATTATTTTTCGTGACAATAAAGTGCTAGTATCTGCAGGTTCGATGGAGAGTCCTCAGACGGAGGCAGTGAGGTGTCGTCCATAGACTCTCCATGGAGCCGATCCATCGAGGACCTCCACGGCGAGTGCAGCCTTCCCTCGCCCTCATCTGCCCCCAGGCAGCCACGGCTGTCTATCAGGTACGAGGAGAAAACAGGAACCTAACAGGGGAACTTTTTTTTTGAATTAAAAGAAAGAAAGGGAAGAAAATGAAACTTTCAAAACTCATTTGAACGCCAAGGAAACAGATGCAAAAGCATTGAACATCTATCACAGGCACATAGCACTTTGCACCTGCTGCAAACTCCAGTTCTGATGATATTGAACCTGTTCCACTCCAACAAATCTGTGGTAACATTTAGCACAGTGTTTTTTTCATTTATTTAACCAGGAAAGTCCCACTGAGATCAAGAACCTCTTTTTCAAGGAAGTCCTGGACAAAAGTTACATACAATTACAGATTATAAAACATTCACACACAATTTCATAAAATTACAGATTATAAAAACAGTTACATTTCAATGAGGACGTCTCAGTCTGGATCTAAAAGCATTCAATGAAATAAGTTGTACACATAATGTCTCTGTGTAAACCACAGATGTAAGAAGGCAGCAGACCAAGCCTTTAAACTAAAGTGTGTGTCCAAACCTTCTGTGGACAAAGATCCCACTCCAGAATATCACTCACACTGAGTCAAGGCTTTGCAGTTCGTAATGAATTGAACATTTTAAATGAATTATTATTTAAGTACAGTTTAGTTTTTTTCTCCTATATTTAAGTCTTACTGTTGAAACTGTAATATGTTACAATGGCTGACAATATTAAATATACTTCTTCAGGAATGAAACCTCTTAGACTTGTTTTTGATGAATACTTTGACTTACTACGCTGCTGTGTAGTGTTGGTCATTTGTGGTGGTACTTGGAGAGGCAAGTATTTTCTGAGGGGGTACTTGGTGTAAAAAGTTTGAGAACCACTGATTTAGCACATATACTGAAGAAGTTTTCTTCAGTATATTTATGATGAATATAATTGGATTACAGTATAAATAATTCCCCTGAATTCCATTATTCCCATTATTCCAATGGAAATTTTCCAATATTTATCTGGAAATGTGCAGACATGTTCCAGAAATATTTTGCCCCTTTGCAGCCCTTGGTACGAGTACTGCTACTGCTGCTGCTTCCACTACTGATACTACTACTACTGATACTACTACTACTGCTACTGCTACTACTACTACTACTCCTATTGCTACTCGTACTGCTACTGCTCCTGCTTCTGTCTCCTAATGATTCCCTGCTGTCTCTGCAGCTCGGCCCTGGTAACGCGCTCCAATACTCTCCCGAGTCGCAGAACTCTGAAAAACTCCAGAATCATCTGTAAGAAAGACGACCTACACGTGTGTGTGATGTGTCTGAGGGCCATCATGAACTACCAGGTACATAAAACACACGCGCACGCACGCACACACACACACACACACACACACACACACACACACACACACACACACATACACGTTTTTGTTACCTGGTGGGTCCCTTTGACAGGGCCGTTCAGAATGGGACCCATAGACATAATCTTTTTTTACCAAGACTTTAAGTAATACAAAACAGTCAATAGAAACCAAACAACTATTTTAAAGGAATTTTATTTTAGATTTTGTTTTCGAATTGCAGTGATTCTATTTTTGACATAGAATTTAATGCCACTCCATGTCCGATGTCTAAGGTCATCTGGTGAGGCATTAATGCAGGCCAGGCAGTGAGACTTCCCAGGGACCTTTCCAGTCTGTATGAAAGGTGTCATGGTCTTCTCCACAGCCTTCACCTCAGATGCAGACCATGGCTTTCTTACACGTTCTAGGGAGAGAAATAAAAATATATTAGCAATATACACTCCCAGGGTGAGGACCAAGCAGCCTGGCTGTAATCCCCCACCTGGTACACTTACCAGAAGGGGCACTGCCACTACCATGGGGTGCATCTGGATGAATGGTTGAAGGTTCTCCGCTTGAAGTTTCTTTTAGCCCGTCCGTTTGTGAGAGGATCTCTACTGCTCTCCCTGTCGCACAGAAAATAAAAATACAAGTGGCCTTTAGGGGAAAAAAATCATACATATTTTAATAATATCAAGAATTACCTTCAGGCTCAATTTGTATCTGGTCGAGGCTCTTTCCTTCGAATTCCGTCACTCTTCCCTGCTCCATGGCCATCAACACTTTGCTGATTTTGGCCAGCTCCAGTGTCCCCTCTGGTAGTCTGTAATATTGCCTGTGGATGCGAATGTCATGGCCGAGGAAGTTGGCAAGTATGTCCATCTCATTCTCTTTCATATTGAGAACTGTAGACATAGTAGCTATGTGCTTTCTAAGTTTGGTTGAGGATAGCATCTCTGGATGCACCGCACCACATTCTTTGGCTACCTGGCGTAGGGAGTCTGATCCCCTGATGTGGGTGTCTGCGCCCGGGCGGGAAAAGAAGTATGGGTTATGGTCAGAGATGGAACAGGCCCTTCTGTTCTCCACCAGCACCTCCATCGAAGCAATCATTTCAGGAGTCAAAAGAACCGGCACTTTCCGACTTCTTTTCCCTTTAATTTCAATGCGTTGAAAATGCTGACACAGCTTTTTCTCAAGTTGGGACAGTCCCAGAGCAATGTCAGAATGGATCCCAGTCTTACTTCTTAAGGTAAAGGCTGTCAGTGGCATCTTTGAAACCTCACCTTCCCTTCTTCGATTGAAAATGATGACCTCACAAAGAGTCAAAACTGCCAGTTTAGACCAATGCTTAGACGTTGGCTCACTTATTAGGGTTTGCACATATTCAGGTCGACATACCTCAATATGTGCATGCATGGCTCTAACGTCCTCAGTCAGAGGGAGCAGGTCCGGAGTGTTCCACTTGGCTTGCCGGAGGGTCTGTAGGGCAGCAGAAGAAACACAGACGTCCCACCTCTTCTCAAAAAGCAGCCGGCTTCGTTGGAGGTTTTTAATAAATAGTTCATCAACACAATGCTCCATTTTTGAGTCACATTCAAGAATATCTGCTAGCTTTCTGAGGCCATGGCCGAGTTTGAGGGCCAAGGATGGAGTCTTGTATTGATTTGTTTCCTCATCATATCCAGCCACAGACCTGACTGCATCAATCACATGGTTAAAGTTGGAAGGAATAAAGAAATCCTTAATTGTTTTCAGTTTCCCTGCGGTTTTTGCTTCGTTAATTAACCTACCGACTTCTCTCATTTTCTGCCTAATGTAATCATGCTTAGTCTTATCATGCCCGTGTTTTAAGTACAGGTGCTCTCCGAGTCTCAGAATCCCCTTTTCTGCTTTGACAACACCCGTGACCTCATCCTGATGCATTGCCGAAATTAAAGACCACAGCTTTTTGCTGATGCCCTCCGGTAGAGGCTGGGCTAGGGAGCAGAGGGACTGGACCCTACTTCTACCTGGTTTAGCCTGGTTTAGCCTGGTTTAGCCTGGGCATCTTTCTGTGAAAGCCGGCACCTGGCCACATGCCTCCACAGCGACTTTCGCTTAAGCAATGCCCCACAGTCTATACAGTGCAAAAACTCACTGGATTTAACTGGGGAATTTGGCTGTTTAGCTGGGACTAAAGTTCCAATGCCGGCCTTTAAAACCTCAAAATTGTGCTCACGGTTTCCACTATTCCTGATCAAATCAAACTGAAGTTTACGTGCTTTAGATTTCACAGGTAGAGCCAATGCTCTGGCTACGTCACTTTCATTTCCATGTTTTCTAGTCAAATGACGGGACATTTTGTGGCAGGACATTGAACAGTAGAGGCAGAAGTGTCTCTTGCTGTATACTCGCCCCCCATTTTTCTTCTTTTGCAGCTGCATGATAACAATCTTATTTGCCTTTGGTTCGTCACTTTCCGAGTCTTGAAGAAAAGTGTTTTTGATTTTTCTTTTTCCATACTTTTTTACAGGTTTCTTCTTGACAGTTAAATCGTCAGAATCTGAGTCGACTTCATCAATTAGGGACTCTTGACTAAGCTGCACAAACAACAAATAATTTGTAATCATTCTATATAACAATTTGAAGTCATGACTTGTAGTCAGCACTTACCAGTGGTTTGTAAGCGTGCGCTTCAGTGTGCTCCTCCATGATTTCTTGCAGCCTAATGAACCACACACTTGCACCTTTTTCTAGCCTGACACCTGATTTCCTCTGTTGTGCTGCTCCATGATTGGCTCCAGCCTGCTGGACTGAAATTGCCCCAGTGTGCCCCTCCTTGATATCCCGCAACCCACCACCAGGGTTCCGACACATAACACACTTTTTTCAGGAAAGTAAACCTCCAGGGGTCCTTTCCATATTTTTACAGAGACTGCATAAGGACCGTTAGAAAAGCATTACCCATTGATTATTAAGCTTGGACCAGTGGGGTCCGGTGTTCGGGCCCCACCACGTAAAACCAGTCCCCATGACGTGAGTGGAATCTCAGGTTATGGAACCCACCAGGAGTTGAAAACAAGTGCACACACACACACAGAGACCTAACATATAGGTGTGTGTGTGTATATTTAACATATATAATATCATGTTCTCACCCTCCGTGGGCGGTTATCCCTCTCTAAGCTCGGCTCTTCTACCAGAGGCCTGGGAGCGTGAGAGTTCTTCGCAGTATCTTTGCTGTTCCTGCTCTGCACATTTATGGACCGAGATTTCCGAGGTTGTTCCAAGGCTCTGCTGTAACCTCCTCCAGCTTCGGGGTCACTGCTCGAGTGAACCATCCCCACAGGCACTACTGTCACCTTTACCTTCAGACCCTCTCCTCTCTCACTACTGTCACCTTTACCTTCAGACCCTCTCCTCTCTCACTACTGTCACCTTTACCTTCAGACCCTCTCCTCTCTCACTACTGTCATCTTTACCTTCAGACCCTCTCCTCTCTCACTACTGTCACCTTTACCTTCAGACCCTCTCCTCTCTCACTACTGTCATCTTTACCTTCAGACCCTCTCCTCTCTCACTACTGTCACCTTTACCTTCAGACCCTCTCCTCTCTCACTACTGTCATCTTTACCTTCAGACCCTCTCCTCTCTCACTACTGTAACCTTTACCTTCAGCCCCTCTCCTCTCTCACTACTGTAACCTTTTTCTTCAGACCCTCTCCTCTCTCACTACTGTCACCTTTTCCTTCAGACCCCCTCCTCTCTCACTACTGTCACCTTTACCTTCAGACCCTCTCCTCTCTCACTACTGTAACCTTTACCTTCAGACCCTCTCCTCTCTCACTACTGTAACCTTTTTCTTCAGACCCTCTCCTCTCTCACTACTGTCACCTTTACCTTCAGACCCTCTCCTCTCTCACTACTGTAACCTTTTTCTTCAGACCCTCTCCTCTCTCACTACTGTCATCTTTACCTTCAGACCCTCTCCTCTTTCACTACTGTAACCTTTACCTTCAGACCCCCTCCTCTCTTCAGACCCATGGCTTTCTTCTGCCCTTTGTCTTTGGAAGTCCCACACGATCTACTCATTCTCCACCACCTTTTGAGGAGTTCTCCTCTTAGACTTGGTGCTCAGGGCCTGCTCCTGTGCAGCCATGATGACTGCCTCAGCCCTTTCTTGCCATTGGTAGGACTTCTTGAGATCAGCCACTTCTGCTATGCTCCAGTGGTACATCCCGTGTAGGGGCTTGTCCTCCCATGACGGGCTCTCCTCCAGCAATTCCTCATCTCGCAACTGTCTGAGACATTCACTGAGTATGTCATTCGTTTGGGCCTTCTCCGTGATATAGTTACGGAGTTTGGATGTTTCGTCCTGGAGAGTGGCTCTCACACTCATTAGTCCGCGGTCTCCTTCTTTACGGCCTACCTATAGTCTCAGGTTGCTGGATTTGGGATGGAACCCCACGGTCTGAATCTCTTCCTTTAGCCCTTGATTATTTCTGCAGGGTATCTAATCACTGACAGGGCGTAGCTGTTAATTGCCCGGGCCTTGTTCTTGCCACTGAGACAGCTACTTAGGTCTTACCTTACTCTCTGTAGATCTTGCCTTACTCTCTGTAGATCTTGCCTTACTCTCAGGAGGGGACTTCACTGCTTTCCTTGGTGTGTGTTCAAGGTTGCCATTAGGGCGACAGTAGCTCAGTTGGTAGAGCATTGGCCTTTGAGTCAGAGGGTCGTGGGTTCGAGCCCGACCTTCACCATCGACTCCCACTGTCTGCTTTCGTTGTGTTCTTGGCAAGACACTTAACTCTGGGAACACCAGCCACAGTGGGGCGGCTGCGGCTGTAAAGTGCCAAACTGCCGTTGTGTCCTTAGGCAAGACACTTCACCCCCATTGCCTAGAATGAGTCTGGTGTGGTGGTGCTCGGAGGGGCCGATGGCACATACTGGTTGCCTCGCTTCTGTCAGTGTGCCCCAGGGCAGCTGTGGCTACAGTAGTAGTTTATCACCACTGTGTATGGAGTGAAAGAATAATGACACATGTGAAGCGTCTTTGAGTGTCCAAAAAAGCGCTATAAAAAACTGATGCATTATTATTATTATTTGTGGTTTACTGAAATACTTGTAGCTGTCCTCAATGTTGCTATTGTTCCCTCTGGAAGTGAGATCCCTTCTGTGTGGACTTCTGTGTGGACTTCTGTGTGGACTACCTTGCCATTCCGAGTCACTATCCTGCTACATTTATGGAGTCTGTAGATCCTGTTGGTTAGAATCAAAGTCAATGTCTCTCTTTTGCTCTTGGCGTACAGCTTGATGTCATCCATGTAGAGGAAATAAGCATAGCCAGTCTGGTTGATTACACAAGTTGACAACCAAAAAATGGTCAGGGGTTTCTCAACTGATTTAGACTAATTTTGGTGTTCTGAGTCCGAATATCACATGCATTTTGCTCTATCAGGTCAACTTTTTGAGATACAGCCATAGTGTTACGGATTATGTACGTCTACGTTATTATGAATTCTGGATACGTTGAATTTTATTTCTTGAGGAAAACGGAAAAAACGTCAAGGGTTTCTCAGCTGATGATCCGCAGAAATTTGTTTTTTACGCAAAATCAATTAAAAAAAAAATTTCTGTAGCAAAAAATCCTGACCTGATTGAGCAAAACCAAGGTCATTTTCGGACTCAGAGCATCAAAATTAGTCTAATTCAGCTGGAAAACCCTGGACTATTTTTAAAAAATATTTTTTTGTTACCCAGTGTTATTTAGCTTAGAGGGTTCAGGCCTATGCAGAACAGCAGAGTATCTCCTTGGTAGATGGCACTTTTGTGAGCGGCTTGCCATTGGCCTGAAATATCCTGCTGTCTGCCGGTCACACCAGGCTCTAAGGGACTTCACGGAGGGTGAGTGTATCAAATCTCACATATATTTATATATATCATTTATATGCCTATACATACCTTTCTACGTACATACATATATCCTGTATGCAGTGGGCGGGGCTAACTGAGCTTTGTTCTGGTTGGTCAGTACGGGTTCAACATGGTGATGTCACATCCTCACGCAGTCAACGAAATCGCTCTGAGCCTGAACAATAGGAATCCCAGGTAACTATGGCGACTGCTACTACTACAATTGATACAACTACTACTACTACTGCTGCTGATTCTAAAATCTTTTCAAAATGGTGTTATATACAACAGTATATATAATGTTATAAATAGTGTACATTACAATATATATAACAGTTTATCTATCAGTATATACTGTATAACAGTATCTGTGTTTCTCAGGACTAAAGCTCTGGTCCTGGAGTTACTTGCTGCTGTGTGTCTGGTGAGAGGAGGACACGAGATCATCCTTTCGGCTTTTGACAACTTTAAAACAGTCAGAATCTTTCTATAATTTATTTTTATATGAACTGCTCTGTGTGTAACTCTGCTCTTGTTCTCCCCACCCTAACCCCTGACCCCTGTCCCTGACCCTATCCCAGGTCTGCTCGGAGTCACTGCGCTTTGAGAAACTTATGGAACATTTCAAAAATGAAGATGACAACATCGACTTTTTGGTACATTTACCTTTATCCTGACAACCCCCAACCAAGACCTCAGACCCCTGCAGGTGGCCTGTATGACCTCTGACCCCGGCAGGTGGCCTGTATGACCTCTGACTTCTACAGGTGGCATGTATGACCTCTGACCCCTGCAGGTGGTCTGTATGACCTCAGACTTCTACAGGTGGCATGTATGACCTCTGACCTCTGACCCCTGCAGGTGGCCTGTATGACCTCAGACTTCTACAGGTGGCATGTATGACCTCTGACCTCTGACCCCTGCAGGTGGCCTGTATGCAGTTCATAAACATTGTGGTGCACTCTGTGGAGGACATGAACTTCAGAGTCCATCTTCAGTACGACTTCACCAAACTGTGTCTGGAGGAACATCTGGAGGTGAGCCCTGGACCGGTTCTGGGTCTGTGTGTTGTGTAACCTTGTGTGTGTGTCTCTGTGTTGTGTAACCTTGTGTGTTTGTGTAGCGGCTGAAGCACACAGAGTCAGACAGACTGCAGGTTCAGATCCAGGCGTACCTCGATAATGTGTTCGACGTGGGGACTCTGTTGGAGGACGCTGAGACCAAGACGGCGGCTTTAGAGAGAGTGGAGGAACTGGAGGAGAACCTGAACAATGTGAGGATACTAGTGCTACTGCTGCATACTGCTGCTACTACTGCTACTGCTGCTACTAGCGCTACTTTTACAGCTGCTCTCTCCTCCGCAGATGTCAGAGCGGGTTCTGGACGTAGAGAACGAGGCCATGTTGAAGATTGTGGAGCTGGAGAAACAACTGATGCAGACAAACAAAGAGATGGAGCAGATCCGAGTGAGTTCAGTCCTGGTTAAAGCTGCACTAACTGACTTTATTTTTGTATTCATTATGGAAATTCAATCCATATCCATGCAATGCATTGGGATATACGTCCTTTTGAAGAAAAGGTAGCGCAGATTTGTGCTGGCGTGTCATTTAATTTAGATCGAGTTTTTGTGAAACAAGGAAGAGAATGTGTTTCGGGTCCCGATTGTGACCAATCACAGCGGACCACTGGCCCCCACTTTCTTGAGAAAAGCCACAGGTCTCTAGTTAGCACAGGCAACTGAGGTAAACAAGCGGCAGAGGCTAACCTGAAACTTCCCGTGTATTCGTTACCGGTTACTGCTTACTCAGCGAAACCTCCAAAAGAAAGTCTCGTTCCGCTGCGCTTCCCGATTCAATCATTCTATGGTCACGCCACGTTCAAATGTGATCCGTGCAGAGAGCGCGAGCTCAGCATTCAGTCAGTTAGTGCAGCTTTAAGTCCTGGTTTATACCTGGTTTATTCGTGGTTTAATCTTGGTTTAGTTTTGGTTTAGTCCAAATTTAGTCCTGGTTTAGTCCTGGTTTAGTCATGGTTCAGGGCTTGACTCGGTTTGAGAGTGTTTCCATCGCCCGTTATTAAAGCGGAGCCTGAAGGCAATGGGTTCGAACCCACCACGAGACCTTCTGATACCTGCTGTTGTTGTGTCCTTGGGCAAGACTGCATCCATTGGATATCCACTCTCCTCCATTCTTAGCACTCGCTACCTTCCGCAAACACCTTCAGGTTTTGGGTGACACCATCGAGCTCACGCTGGATTTTGTCGTCTCCTCAAACTGAGGAAGGTTTTGACCTCATCCGGCAACCGAGAAATTGATTTCTGTACGGACGTTTGCAGCTGGGAACTTGTTGTTTGTTATGTTTTCCGCACCAGCTGAAGATTGATAGAGTGATAGATAGTGGAGTTTGCATGTTCTCCCTGTGCCTGCGTAGGTTTCCTCTGGGTACTCCGGTTTCCCCTACCACTAAAAGTGTTGCTAATACTGTGTTTCCGGAGGGCTATTCTAATGCTAACCCTGTGTTTAAGGGGGGCGATGCTAATGGTAATACTGTGTTTCAGGAGTGCTATTCTAATGCTAATACTGTGTTTCAGGAGGGCTATGCTAGCGCTAACACTCAGGTCCACACTTTGCGGCGGATTGTTAAAGAGAAAGACCAGACGATTCGCAGACAGAGCCGCTTGGAGCGTCAGAGCGACCAGATCTTGGCCAATCAGAGAGGAGAAGGAGATGGAGGCGTGTCAGAGTCTCCCCCACCCCACCTTTCACCCAGGTAAGCCAGGGCCGAGTCTAAACAAGGTCTGACTGACCAAGCCCCAGCAATCCAAGATGGCGGCGTATTCAAATGGCTGGTTTGTGCTCAGTGGCGCATGTGCTGGCATGGGCACCGAAGGATTAGCGGAACTCGCCTATATTTGGGCAGTGTCTGATCCTCCCGGTTCTGTGCAGTGGACGAGCTTCCATGATGCGTGTCGTCAAATACGTGTGTGTGGCTCTCATGCACGTGCACAAAAGGGCTCGGCCGCGCTCTGACCAACCAGAGCTGCTGATCAGAGCTGCTGATCAGAGCTGCTGATCAGAGCTGCTGATCAGAGCTGCTGATCAGAGCTGCTGATCAGAGCTGCTGATCAGAGCTGCTGATCAAAGCGGAACTAGAGCGTGAGTTAGAGCGGGGGCCAAATTAGCAGAGTTTGTGGCACTAAAGTGTGGATTTAAACAAAACCGAAGGATTTAAGACGAAAAAAAAAAAGTTCAGGATGACAAGGGACACAAAAATCCCCACAAAATTTGATCTTTATGAAAGCTGTAGATGCTCTGTCAGCTGAGGTCGAGCTGTTTTAGTTTACATTGAGTTCTATGGGGAAAATGTAGTCTTGTTTCGTCTGCAGTACCGCGAGAATCCCCCGAGCACATTGGTCCTTCAAGCTAGCTTGTTCCAAGCTAGTAATACCCTATCCACTTATTATAATAGATCCATGGGTCTGACCCAGATTTGGGCCAAGTCTAAACCAGGTTGAAGAAACGGACCAGAAAGGGACCAGAGAGGAACCAGAGAGAAACCAGGAGTGAGGGTTGACCCTTAACTTAAAGAGCAACTAAACACCTGTGCCCAGCCTTACTCCGCCCACATGAACATTTGAAAATTTTCTCTAAAAAGGGCGTCTGTCTGACTCAGACAGACGCACGTGACACATACAACTGACGTCACACAGTATTACAGAGTCAATGGAGAGGCCAGGACCAAATTCAAATGTAGTACCACCAAAAAGGTTGAGAGGGCGCCACACAGACCTTTTTAGGCTCAAAAGTGAGATTTTATCTAACTTGCACTGAAATGTCAAAAGAATGACCAGGATATGTAGAGAGCACTACAATGAACATATTTATGCAGTTTATTAGTTAAAAAAAGTTGATTTGGTGTTTAGTCGCTCTTGAATAAATTCTTTGTTTTTTTTCTAAAAACCCTAAACTGTGTCCAGCCCTGAAACTGTGGCCAATCACAGCCTGGGAGCAGAGATGCCTCCGCCTCCACCACCACCGCCACCGCCCATGCCCGACTTTGGTGAGTCTGCAGCCAATCAGAAGGCTTCAGAATGAGTCTGCAGCCAATCAGATTGCTTCACATAATAACTATACCATTGTTTTTATGACAGTGTCCAATGGGCCTTACCCCCCCTCCTCCAGCACCTCCCCCTCCTCCCTCTCAGCTGACGATTCCCCCAGCTCCGCCCCCTCCTCCGTGCAGAACCAGTGAGCTTTCGAGCCATGCCCCCATGGCCCCGCCCCCTCCACCAGTGGCTCCACCCCTTCCAGGAAGTGGAGCTCCTACTGTCATTTTCAGCTCTGGGTTAGCAGACGGTCCACTGAAGCTGTTCTGTAAGTACTGAAGCTGTTTAGAGCTTATAACCCTCAATCATTGTGACGCTTTAAACCCTCTTTGCTAACGCTAACAAAAACTGCGGCACAATGCCATCGACTGAGTCCAAAACAAACAATAAATGTTATCAGACCATTAGAGCTAACATTAGAGCTGACATTAAAGCTGTTTAGAGCTAACATTAGAGCTTACATTAGAACTGTTGCTCTGTTTGTAGCTGTGAAGATAAAGAAGCCAATCCAGACGAAATTCCGGATGCCGGTTCTAAACTGGGTTGCACTGAAGCCGAGTCAGATCAACGGAACGGTGTTCAACGACATTGATGACGAGGCCATTCTCCAGGTGACTCCTCCCCTTTGTGCTGACTCCTCCCACTTCTTCTACACTATCTCTCCTGGTTTGTCTCACCTGGTTCTTCTGTACTATGTGTCCTGGTGTAGGACCTGAACATGGAGCACTTTGAGGACCTGTTTAAGACCAAAGCGCAGGGTCCGGCTGTGGACCTGACGCTGTCTCGCCAGAAGGTGGCGCCCTCCGTCTCCAAAGTTTCACTTCTTGAAGCAAATCGAGCAAAGAACCTGGCAATCACTCTGCGGAAGGCAGGAACCAGTGGTGACATCATCTGCCGTGCCATCCAGACGTGAGTGTGTGTGTGTCTGCGTGTGTGTGTGTCTGCGTGTGTGTGTGTCTGTGTGTATGTGTGTGTATGTGTGTCTGTGTGTGTGAGTGTGTGTGTGTCTGTGTGTATGTGTGTCTGTGTGTGTGTGTGTCTGTGTGTGTGTGTGTGAGTGTGTGTGTGTCTGTGTGTGTCTGTGTGTATGTGTGTATGTGTGTGTGTGTGTCTGTGTGTGTGTGTGAGTGTGTGTCTGTGTGTCTGCGTGTGTGTGTGTGTGTGTGTGTGTGTACCCATTAACACAGGGTAATGTCTCCTCAGGTTCGACCTGCGCTCTGTCAGGGTGGACTTTGTGGAGGTCCTGATGCGGTTCCTTCCGACTGAGTCTGAGGTGAAGATTCTGCGTCAGTTCGAGCGCGAGAGGAAACCTGTGGAGCACCTCAGTCCTGAAGACCGCTTCATGCTGCAGTTCAGCCGCATCGAGAGGCTGCAGCAGAGGATGGGCATCCTGACCTTTATGGGCAACTTCAGCGACAACATGCAGATGCTAACCCCGGTACTGCTAAGGCTAACACATATGCTAAACCTGGTACTGATAAGCCTAACACATATGCTAAACCTGGTACTGCTAAGAATAACGCACATTCTAACTCTGGTACTCGTAACACACATGCTAATCCTGGTACTGTGCTACAGCGAACCAGATACACATGCTAAGACTATTAATGCTACATTCAATGTGCAACTACTCTTGCAATTGCAACTAGCATGCAACTTCTTTGTTTGTTTACAGCAACTTCACGCCATGATCGCAGCTTCTGTCTCCATCAAATCCTCACAGAAACTCAAGAAGATCCTGGAGGTGAGTCCTGATCCAGACCTGGTTCAGACATGGTCTTCTGAAGTCCAGTTCCAGACTTTAACCCAGGGGTGATGTGCTCTCCTTATCCTCAGATCATCCTGGCTTTGGGGAACTACATGAACAGCAGTAAACGAGGAGCGGTTTATGGTTTCAAACTACAGAGTCTGGACCTGGTACTGTCCCTGCAGACACTGCTCAGACCACACTGTCCCTACAGACACCCCTCAGACCTCACTGTCCCTGCAGACACTGCTCAGACCACACTGTCCCTGCAGACACTGCTCAGACCACACTGTCCCTGCAGACACTGCTCAGACCACACTGTCCCTGCAGACACTGCTCAGACCACACTGTCCCTGCAGACACTGCTCAGACCACACTGTCCCTGCAGACACTGCTCAGACCTCACTGTCCCTACAGACACCCCTCAGACCTCACTGTCCCTACAGACACCCCTCAGACCTCAATGTCCCTGCAGACACTGCTCAGACCACATTTTGTCTAGAACATGGAGCCAAGATTCTAACAATGATGTTGTAACTGCTTTCTGGTTTTTGGCTTCTCTCTCTGGTCTCTGATTCCTGGTGTCTCTGATCACTGGTTTCTGATTTCTGGTGTCTTTCTGGTCCTCAGTTGCTGGAGACTAAGTCCACAGATCGGACTCAGACCCTGCTTCACTATATCTCTGCAGTTGTCCAGGACAAATATCCTTCTGTGGCTCCATTCTACAACGAGCTGCACTATGTGGATAAGGCAGCGGCTGGTACCTAGAACAGTGCAGAATATGTCCTCTACCAGAAGGCTCTGCTTCATGGTCTCATGCTTCTCCACAGTGAGCCTGGAGAACGTCCTCTCAGACGTGAAGGACCTGCAGAGGGGCATGGAGCTCATGTGGAGAGAGTTCAGTGTGAGTCATAACAGCACTCTGAAGGATTTCATCTCCAGGAACGAAACCCGCCTGAGCAAGCTGCAGGAGGACGCTCGTATCGCACAGGTTAGCTCATAAGTCTCCATCCCCCAGTCCTCTCAGGTCTCCGGTTTCTCTTTGGTTTTTCTCTGGTCTCTCTCTTGCCCCTGGTCTCTCTCTTGTCTCTGGTCTCCCTCTTGTCTCTGGTCTCTCTTTGGTTTTTCTCTGGTCTCTCTCTTGTCTCTGGTCTCTCTTTGGTTTTTCTCTGGTCTCTCTCTTGTCTCTGGTCTCTCCCTGGTCTCTGGTCTCACTGGTTTGTTTTTCAGGACGCCTTTGAAGATGTGGTGAAGTTTTTTGGGGAGAGTTCTAAGACGATGCCTCCGTCAGTGTTTTTCCCAATTTTTGTACGATTCATCAAAGCGTACAGAGTAAGAGTACCACTACTACTACTATTACTGATGCTGCTACTACTGCAACCCCTAACTCCTGACCTCTCAGTTGGCAGAGGAGGAGAACGAGGCACGGCGGCGTCAGGAGCAGATGATCTTGGAAAAACTGGAAGAACAACAACAACAGCTCCTGCAAGAGGAAGGACAAGCAGAGACTAAGGTGAGAGCGCCCCCTGCAGGCCCAGGCATAATACTACCGTCTGAAACATTATGTCATTCTCTCTGGTCTCTCTCTGGTTTCTCTCCGCTCTCTCTCTGGGGTCTCCTTGGTCTCTCTCTGGTCTTTCTGGTCTCTCCAGTCTCCCTCTCGGGGGAGGCGGCCTCAGCAGGAGCTTCTGTCGGAGCTGAGACGGAAACAAGTGAAAGAGAGACACGTGTACGAGGGGAAGGACGGGGCGATCGAGGACATCATCACAGGTGAGAGAGAGAGTGTACACACACAGATGTGAGAGTATACACATGCAGGAGAGAGAAAATACACACAGATATATAATCAAATATTTGCTAATAATTTATCTGAGTGTACAGGAGATATATACGAATAAAAAAGCACAGGAAAAATCCATGTACTCATAAATCCATGTTCTTTCAGCTCTGAAGAGTGTTCCATTCACGGCACGGTCGGCCAAACGCAGCTCACGATTCCTCTGTGAACCCGCCCACCTAGAAGACCACTGACCAATCACAGGCCTGCATCTGTGAGGACTGATCAATTAGCATCTTGTTTCGCTCTCAGCTCCGCCCACTTGAGTCTGCTCATTTCCCCTTTTTTACAATTTAATTCATGATCATTTTCGATTTTCGGAATAACACTTAAATCCCACCAACCTGTAATCTGGATTATTTTTTATAGTTTTTAACAATGGAATTTTCTTCTAAATGAAAGCACATTTTAGAGATACATGTTTACACTCAGTGTGACCACAGGGGGCGCTGTGCCGCTGCAGGTTTTCACTATGACTTTTTCATCTGTGACAATCCTTGTGACTCCGTCCCTTTTTCAGATGACTCCACCCACTCTGATAGACTCCACCCCCTGTCATTCTCCAATTTTAGTACAGTGAATCAGATGTTGGTTATTCTCAAGCACAAACTTATTCAATCTGGGGTCTGAAACTTTAAAGCTGGGGTCTGTAACTTTAAAGCTGGGGTCTGAAACTTTAAAGCTGGGGTCTGTAACTTCAAACCAATCGAACTCTGTATTAAACTCATGTCTCTAGTTCTGGCTCTAAAACAGTTGCTTCTGTGACTAGTTTCACATCATGTATTTGTGACTCTGGAGAATGACCCCTGTGACCTCTGACCCTGTACAGTGCTCGTTTCCTGTCTGTTGTGTCGCTGTGTAAATAAACAAATAAAGCACAAAAATCCACTGTGTGTAATATTTATTATAAAATATATATAAATAATGTCTCTCCTTCCTCCTCACACAGCATGTCTCTCATAGTAGACTCGAGGCATGCATACGCACTCCAGGACAGGTCAGAGGTCAGGGACAGATGATGTATGTGTGTCTGTGTTGGGGGGGTAGCAGCAGGAGGTGGGGTTTGTTGATAGAGATGAACCTTTGAGACGGGAAACAGTGGTCATGTGACTCCAGTCAGGGATTTAAATCACACACGAACCAGGTCTATACCAGGAGTGAACCAGGACTGAACCAGGTCTGGAACATGTCTCGGTTGGTGGAGTGTGTACCAAACTTCTCTGAAGGACGAAATAAAGAGGTGAGTTTCAGACTTGTACAGGTACTCTGTTTTCTTAAACTCCAGAAGGTCTAACTCTTATCTTAACCCTGTTAAATTAATGTTTCTAATTTTAAGAAACGTGATTGATCAGAGTGGTTTTAGTTTAGTTTTTTTGCAAACATTTTAATCACAGCAGAAACAGAAACTCAGAAATCCTCAGAGATACTCATAGTTACAGTTACTCTCACTGCAGCCTTCAGTTTGGAGGGTCAGGGTCTGAACTCTGGACTCCGTTTGAGTGAATCTTTAATCACATCAGTCCAGGCTTCAACGGGTTTCAACAGGGATCAACACGCTTCATCAGGGTTCATCAGGTTTGAACCCGAGACATAGGTCACTAAACATCCAAGTCCAACATCTGTGAATTTAATTTTAGTATTCGTCCCACAGTGTTAGATTCAGTGTTAGCGCACATTCCGCACAGACAGGAGCACACATCATATTCAATTAGCTGTTTTTTCTTAGCAAGCTGTAAATGCTTCCATATCTATCTATTTGTCTATCATAGAACCTCCTCAGCAGTAGAGCCTCCTCAGCAGGTAGATCCTCCTCAGCAGTAGAGACTCCTCAGCAGGTAGATCCTCCTCAGCAGTAGAGACTCCTCAGCAGGTAGAACCTCCTCAGCAGGTAGAGCCTCCTCAGCAGTAGAGCCTCCTCAGCAGTAGAGCCTCCTCAGCAGTAGAGCCTCCTCAGCACGTAGAGCCTCCTCAGCAGGTAGAGGCGTATGTTTTTTGAGTATGTATAATATATACTGTATGATGTAATCTGTATAATGCAGGTGAGATCCTGTCAGACTTCTGAAGCTCAGGAGATCATGGCCTGGTTAGCACTGTGATGAGAGACCTCCGGGAACACCAGTTCCAACTATGGGACAGCTGCGGCTTTATAGTGGTAAACTATTTTGTGTCCTTAGGCAAGACACTTCTCCCACATCAGAATGGTGGTGGTGTGTGTGAATGCTTGTTGGTGGTGGGAGGGGCTGATTATTTTCATCACTTTTCGGTATAAAATTATTGTCATTATTACCACCACCATCATCGTCATCATCATCATGATTATAATTATGTATATAATAATAATATTATTATTATTAGTAATATTATATACACTGCATACTGTATAATACATACAGTTGGAAGAGCATTGGCCTTTGGGCCTGAAGGTTGTGAGACCCTGATGTTTAACTTGAACCACATCTGTAGGACTACACCTGCAGCCACACCTGCCCTGAGGGGATCAAAGGTCAGGGTTTGTCCCGCACATAGCACACCCCCCTCAGCCTCATGTGGAATTATACACATGACCCTAATCTGATCAGTGGATTAAGGAGAGATTACACCATCATATTTAACACACACACAGACACAGACATAGACGCACACACAGACAGAGACACGCACACAGACATACACACTGACAGAGACACGCACACAGACACAGACAGAGACACGCACACAGACACAGACGCACACACAGGCAGAGACACGCACACAGACACAGACGCACACACTGGCAGAAACACGCACACAGACGCACACACAGGCAGAGACACGCACACAGACACAGACAGAGACACGCACACAGACACAGACGAGACGCACACACAGGCAGAGACACGCACACAGACACAGACGCACACACTGGCAGAGACACGCACACAGACGCACACACAGGCAGAGAAACGCACACAGACACAGACAGAGACACGCACACAGACACAGACGCACACACAGGCAGAGACACGCACACAGACGCACACACAGATGAACTGATGATAAACTGACACACTCAGTATGTTGTGGTTTGGGTCTCTTTCTGTTGGACAAACAGTCTTCACCTTCTGTGTGCGAGAGAGCCCTGAGAGTCACTATCTGCCTCTTTGGGCTGATTAGCTGAGTGAGGGCGGTCCTCTTTTTGATCTAAATATGTGACATCACAAAAACATGATGTGAAACAAGTATCAGAGGAAACTGTTTTAGAGCAAGAACTATAGAGACATGGGATTTCTTACAGAGTTCTATTGGTCTTAATGTTACAGACCCCAGCTTTAATAGATGAATCAGCAGCAGTAGCAGTAGCAGCAGTAGTAGCAGTAGTAGCAGCAGTAGCAGCAGTAGTAGCAGCAGTAGTAGCAGTAGTAGCAGTAGTAGCAGCAGTAGTAGTAGCAGTAGTAGCAGCAGCAGTAGCAGCAGCAGTAGTAGCAGTAGCAGCAGTAGCAGTAGCAGCAGCAGCTGCAGTAGCAGTAGTAGCAGCAGCAGTAGCAGCAGCAGTAGTAGCAGTAGTAGCAGCAGTAGTAGCAGTAGTAGCAGCAGCAGTAGCAGTAGTAGCAGCAGCAGTAGCAGCAGTAGTAGCAGTAGTAGCAGCAGCAGTAGCAGTAGTAGCAGCAGCAGTAGTAGCAGTAGTAGCAGCAGCAGCAGTAGCAGTAGTAGCAGCAGCAGTAGCAGCAGTAGTAGCAGCAGTAGTAGCAGTAGCAGTAGCACTAGTAGCAGCAGCAGTAGTAGCAGTAGTAGCAGTAGTAGCAGCAGCAGTAGCACTAGTAGCAGCAGCAGTAGTAGCAGTAGTAGCAGCAGCAGCAGTAGCAGTAGTAGCAGCAGTAGTAGCAGCAGCAGCAGCAGCAGCAGCAGCAGTAGTAGCAACAGTAGTAGCAGTAGCAGCAGCAGTAGTAGCAGTAGCAGTAGTATTACAGTAAGTACTACTTAATTAGTACGTGTAATAAACTGGACACTTATAACTGAACTGGTTACAACTTTTATTGTAGATGTTTCTCGTATGTCCTCAGAGTACTGCAGTATTCCCTGCAGTGCAGTTCTTTCCCCTCAGAGTACTTCAGTATTCCTTGAAGTACTCTGAGTACTCTCACTCGTCATTGGAGCGGTCAATGACTTTGCGGATCCAGCGCCCGAGTCGGAACAGGTGAGTGTAGAACCCGTATTTCCCATCGCGGTCGCAGCCTTCGCCCCATGATACAATCCCCATCTGGTACCAGCGGTCCTCTGCTGGGAACTGAGGAGAGACCAGAGAGTACTATAGAGAGAGAAGATAGTACTGCAGAAAGAAGAGAGAATACTACAGAGAGAGGAGAGAGTACTGCAGAGAGAGGAGAGAGTCTGGTCTGACCTTCATGGTGAAGGGTCCTCCACTGTCTCCTTCACAGGCGTCTCCTCTCACAGAGTCCTCTGGTTTGAATCCTGCAAAACACCAAGACATGACCTGGACCTGGACGAGGACTGGACCAGGACCTGGACTTGACCTAGACCAGTCCTGGACCTGGTCTCACCTGCACTTGTCTGTGATCCTCACAGGTCTCAGTCCCGGTCTCAGTCCCAGTCTCAGTCCTGGTCCTGGTCTCAGTCCTGGTCTCAGTCCTGGTCCTGGTCTCAGTCCTGGTCTCAGTCCTGGTCCTGGTCTCACCTGCACAGAACATGTTGTCTGTGATCTTGACAGAGGTGGAGCTCCTGCAGTGGTCCTGGTCCACGATGGGCAGATGGATCTGCTGCAGCACCGAGGGCAGGTTCCTGCTCGCTGGGTTCCAGGTCTCCTTCAGGTTCCCCCACCCAGTCACACGACCTTTGAACCCAGCAGTCATCAGGCTGAGGAGAGAGAGAGACATCAGGGAGTCATCAGGCTGAAGAGAGAGAGAATCATCAGGCTGAGGAGAGAGAGACATCAGGGAGTAATCAGGCTGAGGAGAGAGCGAGACATCAGGCTGAGGAGAGAGAGACATCAGGGAGAGGGGAGAGAGTCATCAGGCTGAGGAGAGAGAGACATCAGGGAGTCATCAGGCTGAGGAGAGAGCGAGACATCAGGCTGAGGAGAGAGAGACATCAGGGAGAGGGGAGAGAGTCATCAGGCTGAGGAAAGAGAGAGACATCAGGGAGTCATCAGGCTGAGGAGAGAGAGAGACATCAGGCTGAGGAGAGAGAGACATCAGGGAGTCATCAGGGAGAGGAGAGAGAGAGTCATCAGGCTGAGGAGAGAGAGAGACATCAGGGAGTCATCAGGGAGAGGAGAGAGAGAGTCATCAGGCTGAGGAGAGAGAGAGACATCAGGGAGTCATCAGGGAGAGGAGAGAGAGAGTCATCAGGCTGAGGAGAGAGAGAGACATCAGGGAGTCATCAGGGAGAGGAGAGAGAGACCCGGAAACATGTGGACTCAGACCATGTGTACTGGGACCATGTGGAGCAGGTGGACTCACGTGCGGGCCACAGCCTTGCTGGGCAGGCAGATGGGGTGGATCCTGTCGGAGAAGGTGATTGGTCGCTTCATGTGCAGCAGAGCGATGTCTCGGTTCAAATTCTCTTTCCAGTTGTATTTAGGATGAACGATGATTTCGTCAATGGCAACAATCTTCTCTTCGCCACGCTCAAACCTGCACACACACACACACACACAGAGAGAGAGACAGATACACACCAAGACACACACAGAAAGAGTAACACACAGTGAGATAGATACACAAGAGAGAAAGACACAGAGACAGGTTTGGTTTGGTCTGGTCTGGGTCTGGTCAGACCTGAGCTGGTTTGGTGTGATCTAGTCTGATCTGGTTTGGTCTAGTCTGGTTTGGTCTGGTCTTACTGGGCTCGGTTGTGCTTCCCCAGTCGGACCAGGATGTCGTCCACAGTGTAGTTCTTGTTCCATGGAGGATACAGCACACAGTGGGCAGCAGTTAGGATCCACTGGTCACTGATGAGGGAGGCCCCACACAACAGCTCCTGAGGGCTGCGCTTGTACAGCATCACCTGCCTGATGAGGGAGGAGAGGGAGGGACTGATGAGGGAGAGACTGGAGAGGGTGGAAAGGGAGAGACTGGTGAAGGAGAGACTGATGGGGGAGGAGAGGGAGAGACTGAGGAGGCGAGACTAAGGAGGGAGGAGAGGACTGTGGTTCGCTGGAGCCACAGTCAGGGACAAACAGAGACTACAGCGCATTGTGCGCTCTGCAGAGGAAGTGATCGGCCGCAGCCTTCCATCGCTGCAGGACCTGTAGGTCGCCCGAGCTCGAGGCCGGGCTGGTCGTATCACAGCCGACCCCTCTCACCCTGCACATGGACTATTCCAAACACTCCCCTCAGGCAGGAGGCTGCGGTCCATTAGGACTAGAACCTCCCGCCACAAGAACAGTTTCTTCCCCTCTGCTGTTGGACTCTTGAACACTTCTTAACCTGTCCCCCCGCCCTTTATAAAGTCACTTTACTGCCCATCATACGTCACTTTACTTCACTGTACTGCTGTCACCTTACATTGTGTGCACCATGTGCACTTGTATATTGTAAATAGTAACTGTAACTCTATTTTAAATTTAAATTTATTCTTTAGAAGTGTTTTTTATTCTTATTTTTATTATCTCTTTTTGACTGTTGCACTGAGCCAAAGAAATTTCCTAGTCTGTGACCTCCTGTTACTTACGTGGCAATAAAAATGATTCTGATTCTGATAAGGGAGCGACTGATGAGTTAGAGTACTACAGTATGTGATTACTACAGTATGCGATTACAACAGTATGCGAGTATTACAGTATGAGAGTACAGTGCGCGAGTACCAGGGGGCGGAGCCAATCTCGGCGTTGATCCCGCCCACTATGCGACCCCCTCTGTACGACTCCAGAAGCTCCTCCTCCTTCTGGTCCTGCAGTCCTTTGGCCTCAAACAGGGGGCGCTGTCCGCAAACTGAGGACACATATCACATAACACCTGTACAACATGAGTGTAACACTTATGTAACACCTGTGTAACACCTGTATCATACCTGTATAACACTGTTGTTACATCTGTTTAAAACCTGCGTAACACCTGTGTTACAGACCTAATATGTGCTGGTTTTATGAAGAATTTGGGTACTCATAGATTGATACACACAGTTCTCAGTACTCTCAGAATTCTCAGTACTCTCACCGGTTTCCCCCTGTCCGAAGCTCCGTGGGTTGAAGAGGTTTCTTCTGTTGTTTTTCAGCACTGATCTTTCTCTCCCAGAATCCGTATTCTGGTCCAGGACTGGGACTGGAGCTGTCAGGGGGTCATCTGTAAGAGACCACAGAAGGTTAGACCGACCAAAGACCGGGTTGAGGACTGGGATTGGAGCAAGCCCCGGTGATTCAAGATGGCGTCCTATTCAAATGAATGGCTTCTGCTCAGTGGCGCATGGGACTTCACGGGGACTGAAAGATTAGCACTGGTCCTTCTGGTCCTCCCGGTTCTGCGCAGCGTACGAGCTCCCATACGTTGCGCCAAATACGCGTGTGTGGTTCTCATGCACGTGCACAGAGGGGCTCGGCCGCGCTTTGACCAATCAGAGCTGATCAGAGCAGTGGTAGAGCGGAGCCAGAGCGGGAAGAAAAAGAGCTGAGTTTGTGGCAGTAAAGTGTGGATTTAAATAAAACCGAAGGATTTAAGAAGGAAAAAAGTTCAGGATGACATGGGACACAAAAATCCAACCTTTATGAAAGCTGTAGGTTCTCCGTCAGCTGAGGTTGAGCTGTTTTAGTTTACATTGCGATCTATGGGACTTTTTCCTGGGTAGACCTTGTGAATTTAGGCTGCAGTACCACGGGCGCCCCCTGTGCCCATGGGTGGGCACAGGGGGGGTAAACTGTATATATTAACGGACAGAGTCACGCCTATCTCCGCCGTTCTAACTAATGGGCCAAAGAATTTGCTCTACTAGAGCAATCCAAAATGGCCGCGAGTGGTCCCGCCCACAAGAAAATGGTGAAAAAACGCATCTGCGCATGCGTCAGCCGGCGCAACTCCATTCATTTGAACGAGAGACTTCAGAAATTCACAGCAAGTAAACTAGAGTGGTCCAAAACAATTCACCCCCCTCAGCATTGACACACATGTGGAACGGAGCTTTGGGCAAAGAGCCAACTTTTGGTCCATCCTGTAAAGACGTTTTCCAGAGGTCTGCCATGGTCAGAGGTCTGTCATTTTGGCCACTTTTGAGCTGGGACCCGCCCCCAATGGTGGGACAGCTATATGCTAGTAATACCCTATCCAGTTATCACTATAGATCCATGGACTGGAGCTGTCAAAAGGTCCACTAGATTTTACAGTATCAGCAGTAGTAGTACCACACAGTAGAGGAAATAGAAGTAGTAACAGTAGTAGCAGTAGTAATAGCAGCAGTACTCACCACACAGATGCAGATCGCAGTAGTCCACTCCCACAGTCCCGTTCTTCATGGTATAGCACCAGGGACCTTCTGGGTCCTGGTCCGGGTTCCTGCACTGGTTCAGGAACAGGGGGACTTCAGGGAGAAACTCTTCATCTGCGCTGAGTTTCTGCACCAGCGGGGAAGACCAGGGTAGACACACACGACCCCCAATGGTGATAGATAGGTCGCCATGGTAATCTACTCCCTGGTTCAGGAGACATGGTCCTGAGGGTGCAGGGGCCGGGGCCAGAGTGGGCGGGAAAAACTCTAGACCTGGAACACACACGCCACATGGTGAAAGCAGAGACACAGGGTATGTCATCTCTGGTCTTTTCTCTGGTCTTAGCCTGGCCTTAGCCATCCGTAAACTCCGGTCAATCATTATTTCCCTACATATATGAAATTTGTACAATGGTGTAGTACAACCAGGCTACTCCCTCTCTGATCTCTCTCTGGTGTCTCTCTGATCTCTCTCTGGTGTCTCTCTGATCTCTCTCTGGTGTCTCTCTGATCTCTCTCTGGTGTCTCTCTCCTCTCTATCTGCTCTCGCTGGTCCCTCTCCCTGGTCTTTCTCTCTGTGGTCTCTCTCTGATCTCTCTCTCTGGTCTCTCTCCCTGGTCTCTCTCTCTCTCTGGTTTCTCTGGTCTCCCTGGTCTCTCACCACAAACTGGTACATTGCAGTCTTCTTTCTGGACAGAGGGATCGCTGGTGAAGCACCATGTGGAGCTCTGATGGTCCGGGTTCCTGCAGAAGTTCTCCTGAAGCTGAGGGTGCTCACTAATGTTAAACTCCCTGAGAACCATAAGGAAACAACCATGAAGACCACAAGGAAACTGGTCTCTTAGTGCTGACTCTCATAGAGCTGACAAAGAGCTGTCAAACAGCAGACATACACTCACCGGCCACTTTATTAGGTACACCTTGCTAGTACCGGGTTGTACCCCCTTTTGCCTTCAAAACTGTCTCAATCCTTCATCCTAGATTTAACAAGGTTCTGGACACATTCCTCAGATTGGTCCATATTTGATAGCTACATTGCAACAGTTTCTGCAGATTTGTCGGCTGCACATCTATGATGCTCCTGTTTCACCACATCCTAAAGTTGCTCTATTGGATTGAGATCTGTGACTGTGGAGGCCATTACAGTGCAGTAACTTATTGTTATGTTCAAGAAACCAGTCTGTGATGATTGGAGCTTTATGCCAAGGTGTTTTATTCTGCTGGAAGTAGCCATCAGAAGATGGTACACTGTGGTCATAAAGGGATTGACATGGTCAGCAACAATACTCAGGTGGACTGTGGCGTGGCTACGATGCTCATTTGGTACTAAGGGACTCAGAGTGCCAAGAAAATACTGTATCCCCCACCCCATGACACCCCCACCACCAGCCTGAACTGCTGATACAAGGCAGGATGGATCCATGCTTTCATGTTGACTCCAAACTCTGACCTACCATCTGAATGTCACAGCAGAGATCGAGACTAATCAAACCTATCTATTGTCCAATTTCTGTGAGCCTGTGCAAATTGTAGCCTCAGTTTCCTGTTTTTAGCTGACAGGAGTGGCACCCGTTGTGGTCTTCTGCTGCTGTAGACTATCTGCCTCAAGGTTTAACGTGTTCTGTGTTCAGAGAGACTCTCTTACAGACCATGGTTGTAACAAGTAGTTATTTGAGTTACTGTTCCCTTTCTGTCAACTCAAACCAGTCTGGCCATTCTCCTCTAACCTCAGGCATCAACAAGGATTTTTTGCCACCAAACTGCCGCTCACTGGATATTTTCTCTTTTTTGGACCATTCTAAACCCTAGAGATGAAAATCTCAGTAGCTCAGAAGATTCTGAAATACTCCGAACAGCCCGTCTGGCACCAACAACCATGCCACGTTCAAAGTCACTTAAATCACCTTTCTGCCCCATTCTGATGCTCGGTTTGAACTGCAGCAGATCGCCTTGACCATGTCTACATGCTCAAATGCATTGAGTTGCTGCCATGTGATTGGCTGATTAGGAATTTACATTAAAGTGGAGTTGGATAGGTGTTCCAAATAAAGTGGCTGGTGAGTGTAGAGCAGACATAGAGCTGACCTGATGATAGGGTGGGGGTAGGAGGAGCTCCAGCGCTGACAGACTCGTCCTGATTGGGTGATGTTGATGTTTCCCGTATAACCCATGCCCCTTCCCATCACACAGGAACCTGCAACTCATGGCCACAGGGCAGGGGTCAGAGGTCACAGGTCAGAGGGAAATAAATAAGATAAGATATTCCTTTCTTCGTCTCACAGTGGAGAAATTTCAGTGTCATCGTTGCACATTACAGCAGAGAAAGGAAATAAGAGCACTCAGATTGCACACATCAAATAAGTCTATTGTTTTAGATAATAGACAATATAATTGAAATAAGATAAATTATAAAATAAAATAAAATAAACTCTGGGGCTATAATTGCACTTGGTTCAGAAGTATTTACACATTCTCGTTGTACAGCCTGACCTCAGCAGGGAGGAAGGACCTGCGAAACCTCTCCTTCACACAGCAAGGATTCAAATAAAAATAATGTTGTGGATAAACTATATATAACTAATAAAAAATAAAAATACCCCCCCCCCCCATTTTCATATCTATCCTTTGCTTTCACACTTAAACTTTATTGTCACTGTATTTGCGATGTTACAATTTAGTTTCCCTCTACCCTACCCTTAAGATGATTTTTTATATCATTTTTGTCTCCTACTACTGAAAAGTTTTCTTTTTCTCCTCTCCCCATATTGCGATCATTATCATGTTGCCTCCCTCTGCACTTGAATTGTTTTCATTATATTGCAATTACTATCATTTTTAGTTTTCTTCTTTTGTTTAGTGGCACATTGTCCAGGTTTTCACTTCATATTACATTCATTATCTTTCTCCTTACCCCACGACATTTGCCCTCAGTTTCACCACTCATACCACAATCGTGACTCGCCCTAGTCCTTTCTGCGCCCTCTTTGGTGTTTTTAATTCACCACAACTCAGGTACAGGAAAAGAAAAGAGAAATGAAGAACAGAAAAAACAACTAGGGACACAGGACACATGGGAGACGTCCTTGGAACAGCACACAAAGGTACGTCTGCACTTGTGTCATATGTCTATATCTTCACAAGGGCGACAGTTGGGCTGGTGGAGCATTGGCCTTTGAGCCTGAAGGTCATGTGATCTTCTGGCTCAAAGGTCACATTGACCAACTCCCACTGATGTCTTCAGTCGTTGTGTCCATGGGCAAGACATTTAACTCCACTTTGCCTGAAGCCCCAGCTGAAAGATCAAGGCTATGCTCTCACTGACAGAGCAGCCATCCTCCTGTGGACTCACCACCTGTAGAGGGTCAGTGAGGGGCCGATTCTCTGTGTATATGGTGCAGCTCTGACTGCCGCCCCCCCCCCCGACCCAGAAATGGATCAAGGGGAAGAAAATGGATGATGGATGGATATCTTCACAATAAAAAAATTAAACAAAAAGAGGTCAGACTCACCGTCCAGACAGCTGCGCACCATCTGAGTGTTCTCTGTGTTTCGTTGCAGGTCAATCCCTTTACAATCTGAAAAACACATTATTCACTACAGTCAAGTCCAGGTCCAGAACTAGATGCTGGTCCAGGTACTGGTCCAATACAGTTGTAGTTCTGTGTGTGCACCTGCGGAGGTGCTGTGTTTACAATGTTGACTTTGGCTTAATTGACAAGAAACTACTGCTACTGCTACAGCTGCTACTGCTGCTGTGGCTGCAATCACATACTTCAGGTTGTGCAGTACTCACCTAAGTACTTGCTCCAGAATGTTTCCTGAAACACAGACAGTGTGAGTGCACATGGTCCTGGTCTTAGTCCTGGTCTCTGGTCTCAGTCCTGGTTTCTGGTCCTGGTCTCAATCCTGGTCTCAATCCTGGTCTCAGTTCCGGTCTCAGTCCTGGTCTCAGTTCCGGTCTTAGTCCTGGTTCTGGTCCTTGTCCTGGTCTCAGTCCTGGTCTCAGCCCTGGTCTCAGTCCCAGTCCTGGTCCTTGTCTCACTGTCTTCTGCTGGTCCTCGAACACCTCCCTCGCCTCTTCATGGTCACAGATCTCCTCAAGACACTCACGCTCCAGGTTTCCTACATTTAAAGAGCCAGCTTTAATAATAGATTCCCCAGTTAAAGTTACAGACCCCAGCTTTAAAGTTACAGACCCCAGTTAAAGTTACAGACCCCAGCTTTAAAGTTACAGACCCCAGTTAAAGTTACAGACCCCAGCTTTACACATTAATACGTCACTATGGGATGGGAGACATGTCAGTCATCAGACACCGTGTTCTGATTGGTCGGTTCATACCTGGCTTCATCTCCTCAAACATGTGATTGGCTCGTTTGTTCCTCTGCAGCAGCTGCGCCGCCTGCTGGTTCTGTAGGAACACTGCACACAGAGAAACAAAGGCTCAGGGGTCACCAACATCACTTTGGCAACACATGTGTGTGTTTGTTTTTGTGTTTGTGTGTGGGTGTGTGTTTGTTTTTGTGTTTGTGTGTGGGTCTATTTGTGTGTGTCTGTGTACGTGTGTGTAGGTGTGTATGTGTCTGTGTCTGTGTCTGTGTCTGTGTCTGTGTGTGTGTGTGTGTGTGTGTGTGTATGCGTGTACCATTGTGACCGCTGCAGCTGATTCCACAGATAAGTATAACGACCAGAGACACGGTTTTCATTTCTTCTAGAACCAAGAGGCACCTGTGGAGGAGAAAGATCTGTATCAGGTCTAAAGCAGGACTAAAGCAGGACTAAAAAAGGTCTATAAAAGGTCTAAAGCAGGACTAAAGCAGGACTACAGCAGGACTATAGCAGGACTTAAGCAGGTCTAAAGCAGGACTAAAACAGGACTAAAGCAGGACTAAAGCAGGTCTACAGCAGGACTGAAGCAGGTCTAAAGCAGGACTAAAGCAGGTCTAAAGCATGACTAAAGCCGGTCTAAAACAGGACTAAAACAGGACTAAAACAGGACTAAAGCAGGTCTAAAGCTGGTCTGAAGCGGAACTTAACCAGGTCCACAGCAGGTCTAAAGCAGGTCTACAGAACAGTCCCAGATCAGATTCTGGACCAGGGGCAAAGGCTGTTCTGCTTCTATTTGTTTAACTGACGTTTTCTGACGTTTTACTCGTTCACTTTTCCCTTTGAAACCTGCGATCAACCTTAAAACACAAGTTTAAATACTTTATAAGTGCCTTAGAGTTGGGGTCTGTGACATTAAATCTGGGGTACATAACTCTCAGACCACAGACCTTTCTATTAAAACCATCTTTAGATCAAAGAAAGGACCACCCTCATTCAGCCAATCAACTCTAAACCCAAACAGACAAAAATGACTCACAGGTCTCTTTATTCGGGTTAGATTAAAACAGCATGTTGTTCTTTAAACATGTGTTATTTATGAGACTAAAGTTACGGACCCCAGCTTTAAATATGTGTTATTTACGAGACTAAAGTTACAGACCCCAGCTTTCAACATGTTTTTTTTTTTTTTATTAGACTAAAGTTACAGACCCCAGATTTAAACATGTGTTAATTATGATACTAAAGTTACAGAGATATCTTAAAGAAAACTAACTTGAAATTTGAAATGTATACTTTCTTCATCTGCTTTCACGGTACTGCTTTCTGGCGCCATCTCGTGGATTTCTAGGTGAACTTTGACCAACTATTTTATATCTCTCTTAAAAAAACGTAAATCCGCCGTTTCTATTTTTAATTGATGAATACACTTCACACATAAAATAAATATCTAAATAAAAACACCAGAGACCGACCTACGTCTACAATTCCCTTGGTGGGACCACAGACTGATAGTCTGTGGGGTTAGAATGTGAGCCTACTGACCCATCCACGGAACAGAAGGTGGCGGTAATGCGCAAAAATAGGTCGCCAACCGCCGCAAAAAACCTAACAAGAAGAAGAAGGAGAAGACCGACCTACGTCACATGCCTGCGCCCGTGTGAGCAGCATGCGGTCCGTGTGGCACTGGAGGGTTTGGGTTCATCGGTAGAGACCGGGAGGGTCTGGGCTCTGTACCGGAGATATGTCGGTGTTTCATGACGAGGTGGAGATCGAGGATTTTGAGTTTGATGAAGACACAGAGACGTATTATTTCCCGTGTCCCTGCGGAGACCGGTTCGCAATCTCTCGGGTGAGCTAATGCTAACAGGAGCTTACATGCTAATGCTAAGGAATCATAACAACACGTTAGGGTGAGTTATAGCTAACATGTTAATGTTAACGAATCATAACAACGTAAAATCCTGAATGATTCTAGACCAGACCTGGTCTTGGTTCCAAGTCCGAAGCAGGACTAGGTATGATAAGATCCTTTATTCGTCCCACAGTGGGGGAATTTCAATAACCACAGAACCAAGTCTCAACTAAGACCAGGTCTGAACGATGGATCTATTGGTCTGAACCAGGTCTTTGTTGCAGGAGGATTTGGAGAACGGGGAAGAGGTGGCCACGTGTCCCAGCTGCTCCCTCCTACTGAAAGTCATCTATGACAAGGTTCAGCTATTAACACTACTATTACTAACACTTCATCAGCATGGCGGTGAAGTGGTTAGCGCTTGTGCCTCACAGCAAGAAGGTCCTTGGTTTGATTCCACCTCCAGATCTTTCTGTGTCTGCATAAGTTTCCTCCAGGCACTCCGGTTTTCCCTAACACTAATGTACCTATGTACTATAGGTCTGGCATGCGCCTCTTGTATACCTACCCCGCTCTCATGTGTGGAGTGAGAGACAAATGCCCACAACAATTGTAAAGTGCTTTTTTCTCCTACAGTCCTGTGCAGTGGGAGGTGTTGACACCTCCATCATGGACAACACCTCCCACTGCACAGGACTGTGGAGGAGCTGAGGAGCTCCTTCAGTGGAGACTGAGGCACCCTTTGTGCAAGAAGGAGCCCTACCGCAGGGCCTTTATCCCCACTGCTGTCAGACTGTACAATAAGTCACTAATGACTTGCACTGCTATTGCCACTTTTTTTGTATATAATATCCTGTACAAACTATAGTTTTTGCCTTTTAATGTTTCACACTTCTGTCTTTTGCACAATCTGAGTGATTCTATCTCAGCCAAATTTCTCCATTGTGAGCTCAATCTTATCTGTCTGTGAAAGGCGCTATATAAATAAAGATTACTTACTACTGCTATAACAAATATAAATTTAATATTTAAATAATCTAACTGGTCTTATTGCTCCTGCTGTTCTAAACCTGTTGTGTTTGTGTTTCAGGAGTTGTTCTTATCGGGAGAAACTGTTGCTGCTCCTTCAAACACGTCCAAACTGGAGCTCGTGCAGTCCTGATCCAAGGCCGGGTCATGACTGGGTCTGGACTAGGAGCTGGTCCGAAAACCAAGTCTGGCCCAGGAGCTAGTTTAAGACTGAACGCCCCCTCATGGCAGAGCTGTGTCACTTCTGTAAATAAAGTCATGTGTAAATAAAGAGATCTGAGGGTTTCATTTGTTTCACTGCTCTTATTCCACACAAAAACACTGACGAGTGGACCATATTATTTTATTGTAATCAAGAATTGTAAAAAAGAAGAAAACAAAACATTCTACAGTTTAACCAAGATCTGGACTCAGTTCTGAGGTCTAGAAGAGTCCAGAGTTTGAGGACACAAAATGGCAGCTCTTCTGCTGTCGCTGAAACAATGAGGAACATGATACGTCTTTACGTCCGAACATCTTCCTCTTCGACCTGAGCAACATGTAAACAACAATTAAGCAACAGGTAAACAATAACAGGTGATTCTTAGCCGGGTACTACAGTGACAGTGTACTCTAGTCTCTGGAACAGATTGAGTCTAGGGTCTGGGACTGGGTCTGTACCTGTTTGATCTCACACACGACCCTCCCACACGGAGCTGAAGAAAAGGGTTTATAAGATGCATTATAATAAAGATTTGTGAGTCTGTCCTGTCTCTGAGTCTGTATCGCTCTATATCTGGGTCTGCGTCTCAGTGTGTCTTGTCCATAGACTAAATATTATTTCTCGTCTGTCTCACCTGTGTATCATTCTGAAGAGCTCGTCTGTGTCTCTGTGGATCTGATCCGAAATCTGGTCTGACGACAGTTTGTCAAACACATCTGAAAAAACACATTCATTTTGTCAAGTGAGCAATCAACAAAAATTGTTCCTTTGCTAAAACTCACTGTCTCCTGGCTCCTGTATGAGTAGCTCCCCCTTCAGTCTTTGGCTGGACACTGCGCCGCTGAGTGGCAGGTCGCTCTGGCCAATCAGGTGGCTCGATTCCTCTGACATCCGTGTTCTTTCACTTGTGTTCGGCCTGAGGCGCTTTGTACGCGGCGGTTTCATCATCGTCCTCCTTACTCCCTCCTCCCTCCTGCTCCAGACCTCCTCTTCTTCTCTCACTCCCATAATCCTCTGCTCTTCTACCAATTCCCACTTTAACACAGCTGTTTCTGTGAAGCTCCGCCCACTCGGCTCGTGTCCACTGAAACTCCGCCCACTCAGCTCATGTTCCTCGTACTGAAGACCTGCGTCTCTGCGCCGCCACACGCTGTCGCAGGTCGCATGTCTTCCTCGTGAGCTCAGGTCTTCCAGGTTTTCCATCCAGGAGTTGGGAGCATTTTCACATCTCCAGCTCTGTCCGGTCTGTGCGCTAATAATAGCTTCTGCTGTGCTAACATGTGCGCTAACTTCAGCTTCTCCTGTGTGTGTTGTCATGTCTGCTCTTGTTTGTGAGATCATTGGAAGCTCTTCTGGAGTGTTCTGTGGTCTTCGGTCCAACAGTCTCAGAATCCCCAACTCTGGTTTCTTGGGCAGCACAGGTTTCACTCGGATCAGTTTCTTTGTTTCAGAACGTTCTGACTGGTGCACTTCTTGTAGCTGCATTTCTTGTAGTTGCACTTCCTGTGGCTGCACTTCCTGTGGCTGCACTTCCTGCAGCTGCACTTCCTGTAGATGCACTTCCTGTAGATGCACTTCCTGCGGCTGCACTTCCTGTAGATGCACTTTCTGTGGCTGCACTTCCAGGCTTTTCTCGGCACAAGCTCCAGTATGGTGCCTCCTCCCACTCCTCCTCCACCTCCCTCAACTCCATCTTCAGCTTGGTCTTCTGGTCCAGTGGAGGTGCGGTGCTGTCTGCTAACACTGCGTACATGTCCAGATACTTCTGGTTCCTGTCTCTGAAAAGTATCTTCTGGTCTGGACCCTGGTCTTGAGATCTGAAGAACATCTCTGTCGTCTGCAGCTTGTACTGTTTGAGGTTGAAGATCTGTGCTTTCTGCTCCCGAACCTTTGAGCCTCGCACTTCAGCGGCGAGAGGCGTCTCCTCCAGAAGAACCAGGTCTTCAGCAGGACCTTCATCTGTCCAAACATCTTCTGTGGACTCATCGATGGTTTCGTCCAAATCTCTCAAGATGTTTACGATTTCGGCTTCTGTTTCTGCCTCTTTTTGAGTCTTACAAAGCTCCAACTCAAGTCCATCCATTTCTCCAGCTGCATTTGGACTGAAGACCTGACCTTCTGGATCTTTGACAGAGTCTTCATCAGACTGTTGCGCCACTGGATCTTTGCTGTTGATTCCTCAGAGGTTGCGCTGGGAGAACCCTGGTCCCAAACCTCAGGTCCATCATCAGGATCTGGACTTTCAGAATCAGCAGGTGTCAAATCACTGCTTAACTTAGTTTCAGTGTTTGTGTCGATGGGAGAACCTTGGTGTCCACCTGTGCCCTGAGAGAACCTTGACTCATAAATCTGAAACTGGAGACTCTCTAGGTCTCTGCTTTGTTCCTGAAACAGTGAAGACGTGGCTGTCTCACCACAGACGTCCTCCAGCTCCTCCTTCGGCTCCTTCTCCTCCTCCAGCTTCTTTGCTTCCTCCAGAACCTTTGCTTCCTCCTCCTCCAGCTCCTCCTCGCTTAGACTCTGGTTTCTGTGGTTCAGACTAGTCTCGTTGATGATGGAAGTGGAGGTGGCCTTCTGCTGCTCCAGCTCACCGTTGTCACCCTTGTCACACTTGGCTTCAGTGGTGTTCATCTCCGGCAGAGAGTTGGTTCTGGTGAAGTCTTGTCTTTTCACAGACCGCAGTTTGACGTTCTTCAAATCCTGAGTTGTGACAAAGGGAGACGACGCCTCAGCGGGCATCTTAGGAGGCAGGGCTCTGACGGCCATTTTGAATCTCGGAGTGAAGTGAGCTGGAGGAGGCTTGTTTGGATTCTGAGGGTAATTTTTGGGTGTGTTATGGATTGGGTTGGAGACAGGAAGTGGGGGAGGAGGGAGGAGCGGCAGTATTGGTGGGGGAGGATGGGGAGAATTGTCTGCAGATGTGGGAGTCCTGTCGTTAGCTGCTTTTGGAGGCGCATCACAAATCCGGTTGGGAGAATTTGGAAGTGGAGATAACATGGCGACCTTCTGAGTATTTACGTATGTCGCAGCGGTGCTAACAGGAAGTGGTGGCGGAGAAGGCGGGGTTGGCAGCTGCTCGATTGACAGCGAGGTTGTGCGCTTTGGCGGGGTCGGTTTTGGTCCAGACCCGGGTCTGGACCGGGGTCTGGACTTGGATCTAAGGGGAGGAGGGTTAATGGGGAGGGGTGGGGGTGTAGGGGGGATAGGCTTTTTGAGGGGGGAAGAAGGGGAGGTGGGCGGTGACTGACTGCAGTAGCCACTAGAGGGCGACACTAACGGTTCACAGATCTGAAGAAGAAAACAAGAGAGAAACGGTTTTGAATCCAGATAGTAGTAGCAGTAGTTGCAGTAGTAGTGGCAGTATTAACAGTAGTAGTAGTAACAAATCAGTATCAGTTTCTTAATGAACCAAAACCATATTCTACAGTAACACTGGGTGTGCCACAAGGATCGGTACTCTGCCCTCTTCAAACTCTACATGCTGCCATTAAACATAATTAAAACCATGATATTAACTTTCACTGCTGCAGACAAAGCTTTACCTTAACTTTGTGCTCCTCAATCAGCAACACCAGTAATCTTACTCTGTCCCAAACGTCTGCAACTCCCTCGCTGATCAGATAATCCCACTCGTTAACGTTAGCGTAGCAACATTGTGAGGAATTTTTGAGTCGTAATTGACCAAGAACTCTCCTTCAAGGCACAAATAAACCAAGCAACTAAAACGGCATATTTCCACATGCACAACATCAAAAACATCAGGAGCTAAAAGTGACGCAGAAAAACTAATCCACACTTTTGTCACCTCAAGGCATACCTACTGTAACGCCCCCTGCCGGCACCGTGTGTCCTAAATCCTCTATAAAGAGCTTCCAGCTCGTCCATAATGCAGCAGCAAGGATCGTAACAGGTAGGGAACAAAAGGGAATTAATAACTCTGGTGGTAAAATCGCTCCACTGACTTTCTGTGCAGCATAGAATCAAATTTAAAATTTAAAATTCAATTCAATTCAATGTATTCTTGTATAGCCCTAAATCACAACAGTAGTTATCTCAGAGGACTTTGTCAACACAGATCAGAGAATCAAACAGTTCAAACACTAAGAATATATAACATTGGTACATATGGTATTGGTCCATAGGGAGATCCTTCTTTTATCAAACAAAGCCATAAATGGCATGGTTCCTACCTCCAAGACACGTTAATGTCATACCAACCAAACCGAGCACTGCCCCCACAAACGCCAGACGTCTGGTGGTTCCTAAAGTCCAATAATTGTGCAGAGCGTTTAGCTCCACGCTCCTTTACTGTGGAATCAGCTTCATCCACGTCAAGGAAGCAGTCTCTAAATTCAAGGCCAAGGTTATAACAGGCTTTACTTCAGCACATGGTCAGGTAGGTAGGACTGAAGGAAGACTTAGAAATACAACCATAAGTCCCATCACACAGACTGACAGAGATGCTGTATGGCTACGTAGTAGTAGTAGTAGTAGTAGTAGTAGTAGTAGTAGTAGTAGTAGTAGTAGTAGTAGTAGTAGTAGTAGTAGTAGTAGTAGTAGTAGTAGTAGTAGTAGTAGTAGTAGTTACCATCACTGGAGTACTTCTGTCTTTTGGATCAAACGTTGTTGTTGAGCCACAGATGACTCCACTCTGTCTCCTCTTCCTCCTCGGAACCCAGGGATCTCCAAAGTCCTCCTCCTCTCTCCTCCCCTCCTCCTCCTCTCTCCTCCTCTGCAGACTGAGGCGTGGTGGTTTGGCTCTCCTCCTCTGGTTCACCTCTGCTGAGCTCCTCTGTTCCCCTCTGCTGCTCTGCTCCTCCTCTCTGCTCCTCTCCTCCTCTTCTCTCTTCCTCTGCAGACTGGCCCGTGGTGGTTTGGCTTTCCTCCTTAGTGACTCCTCTCTCACAGGGGGAGCTGGAGGTCGCTTGGACTTCCTCAGTGAAATGGTCCTAGACATGGAGGACACTGAGGAGGAGATGGAGGAGGAGCTGAAGCTTCTGTCTGAACACAATGAGGCGTAGGACAGAGAGGACCGCACCTCCCTCTGGTCTCCTGTCTCTGGACACGGCTGCTCAACGTTGAGGGACACATCTGAGGAGGCCTCAGAGCAGGGGGAGTTTGTGGGATGGGCGTTCAGAGGAGAAGCCGTTTGACAGAAGCAGGGTGAGATCTCCTCATAATCCAGTGAGCTTTGGGAGGGATGGTGGTTTGAGGAGCTGTAGAGGAGGTCCTGGTTCTCCAGGACAGAGGAGGTGTGGAGGAGGTCACAGCTCTGGGCAGACTGCAGGCTGCAGCTGGGGGACAGGCTGAGGGAGCTCCAGGAGTCAGAGGAGGAGCAGAGGGAGTCCCCGTCCCCCTGGGACACAAGAACCAGGCCTTAAAGCTGGGGTCTGTAACATTAAAGCTGGGGTCCGTAACATTAAAGTCTGTGACTTTCAGACCAATAGAACTCTGTTTTAAACTCTTGCTCCTGGTTCTAAAGCACTAGTTTCACATGAGTAAAGCTTTGACTCAGGCGCACGGTGGAGACCTGTGGTACTGCACCTTAAAATAAAGAACTGCCACTTTTGTTTTAAGGGGGCCCCTGCAGGCTGGGAGAAATATTGCAGACTGGGAGAGGTCCCTTTATGAGACTAAAGTTACAGACCCTAGCTTTAAACATGTCTAAACAGGACTCACCTGTGTGTGTGGGGGGGAGGGGCAGTGCCCCCTGGAGGTGGAGGAGGTGAGTGCGTCCATCAAACTGGTCAATTCCCTCCTCGGCGCGCGGATCCGACGCGTAACTGTCCGCTCTGAGAACTGGACCAAGTCTGAGGATTGGACCAGGTCTGAGGACTGGACTAGGTCTGAGGACTGGTCTGTATTCACTGTAGGAGAGAGTTGTTATCAGAAGCTAGTGTCTCTTTAGAGCTGTTATCAGAAGTCTCATCAGGAGTGTAGCTCACTGGGACAGTTTAAACTCAGCCTATAAAACTGGCTCAAAGATAATCAATGCGCTCCCTGTTAAACAGCGCATCCATTTCAAAATCCTCCTCATCACCTACAAAGCCCTCCATAACCTCGCTCCTCCTTACCTCACTGAACTTCTACAGCCCTACAGTCCCTCCCGCCGACTCCGATCTGCAGACTCACATCTCCTCACTCCCACTGTCAAATCTAAGCACCGAACCTTGGGGGACCGAGCTTTCGCCATCTCTGCTCCCACTCTCTGGAACTCCCTCCCCCTCCATCTCAGAAACTCGGACTCTCTAAACTCCTTCAAAAAACAGCTCAAAACTCACCTTTTCCTCCGAGCATTTGACTCTTAGTTTAAACTCTCTACCCTTCTTCCTCACTCTTAGATTTTTAGTTTGTGTGTCTGTCTAAACGTGTGTGTTTGTGTCATGAACTTGTGAAGCGTCTTTGAGTCCTTGAAAAGCGCTATATAAAACTGATGTCTTATTATTATTATTATTATCAAGTCTGCAGTCATTAATCAGATGTAAATAATTGTGTGTTGTATAGTTTACTGTATTGTGTCTGTGTGATTAGAGGTGTTTTGCTAATTAGGCTATTCTATTTATCAATTCTTTGCACACTGTAAACCGGCCGTCACGTTGCCTCTGCTCAGGGACTATGTATGAGAATGAGCTATGTCCGGTCTGAACAATACATTTATTGTGCAATGTCCCTGTCAAATAAACAAACATCAAAAATAAGTCCTGGCCTTACCTGGGTCTCTGCTGTGGTCCTGTACCAGACCTGGTTCGGCCCATTTCAGACCTGGTCTCTGGAGGTCTCTCTGGGACATAGACCGGGACACAGCCTGGCGCTCAAAACACTGACCTGGAAACAATCAGTTTCAGTCATCAGGTCGTCATCAGGTCATCATCAGGTCGTCATCAATGTCATCATCAGGTCATCATCAGGTCATCATCAGGTCGTCATCAGGTCATCATCAGGTCGTCATCAAGTCATGATCAGGTCGTCATCAAGTCATGATCAGGTCGTCATCAAGTCATCATCAGGTCATCATCAGGTCGTCATCAGGTCATCATCAGGTCGTCATCAAGTCATGATCAGGTCGTCATCAAGTCATGATCAGGTCATCATCAGGTCATCCTCAGGTCGTCATCAGGTCATCATCAGGTCGTCATCAAGTCATGATCAGGTCGTCATCAGGTCATCATCAGGTCGTCATCAGGTCATCATCAGGTCGTCATCAGGTCGTCATCAAGTCATGATCAGGTCATCATCAGGTCATCCTCAGGTCGTCATCAGGTCATCATCAGGTCGTCACCAGGTCATCATGTCATTAGGTCATCATCAGGTCGTCATCAGGTCATCAACAGGTCATCAACAGGTCATCAGGTCATCACCTGTGATGTCAATGGCTACGATATCGGCCATGACGCTCTGGGAATGTCTCCACGTCACTTCCTCTGGTGTCGGCAGCCCACCGGAAGTCCTGCCCACTGAACAGGAAGTCCCGCCTTCCTCACAGGAAGCTGGCCCGTCCCAACAGTAAGTCAGCACCAGTGGGGTCATAGGTCGAGTACTGCCCACCACCAGCTGCTCGTCATCATCGGAGTCCAATGAAGACTGAGGCGAAAGACCGGGTTTAGACCGAGTTTAGACTGGGTTTAAACTAACTCAAACTCAGGGTTAAACTAAAACACAGCAATTCTCTACGAGGGCTCACAAGGGAGCAACAGCAGCACTAGGGTCAGGGTTGACACTGCTTCTAGTTCCAGGTTCTAGTTCCTGGTTCTAGTTCCTGGTACCTGATGGTTCCACAGGACTGCACAACAGGACTGAGACAAACAGTCCGACAGACGGCACCTCTGAGGAGCCAGACAATCAAGTTAGCATGTTAGCATGGATGTTATGTTATCACTATGTTAGCATTTTTGTTATGTGACTCCACTGTCACCACTATAACAGCCGCTTAATCCACCTCATTGTTTAAAATTGGACTCATTCAAATTATACACGACTTACACTGTATGGAGAATAGTTTTCACAAAAAATAAAAGTGATACCAAGCTGCAAAAAGCTCCTACCATATTTTCCGGACTATAAGCTGCACTTGATTATAAACCGCAGTCTCCAATTTATTGATTTTTTTTTTACTTGTACAAGCCGCACTGGATTATAAACCGCACCTCCCCCACATTGTAATATTGAAAAATGTTTCTCAAAAACATTAATTGTGTCTTCTTAATACTGTGAGTAATAAGAGTAAGAATCTTCCAGTGTGAAGCAGAAAGGAGCCACATCTACCGGTCTCTTTTCTGATTCATGTCTGTACAAAGAACCAAAAAACTATTTATTATATGAAATATTTACACAAAGATATTATAAATGAGGACTTTTAAACTTTATTTAATCTGCTTTATTGACAAATCTTACATTTAATTTGACCACTGTGAACGACTCATCAATTCAGTTGGTCTACTGTTACTTGGCAAAAGGTTTTTGGCAACAAACTAAAAAACTAAAAAAAATTAAACCGTACCCTTCAAAATGCAGGAAATAGGCCACGGCTTATAGTCCAAAAAATACAGTATTTATCTGTTTTCCCACATCGCCCTGTAACGCTTTTATTTTTTTTGTAATCAATACAGGTTGTACAAACGATTTACAATGCAATATCTTTTATACAAGACTGAGGAAGATCATAAACTTCAAAAAATAAAATAATTGAAGAGGTCTGAAGTCCATCGTTGGCAATGTGTATTACTATTATTATAATAGTAATAATAGCTGAGTTTTGACTTGATACAAGGCTTTCTTGAAACTCATTTAAAGATGCAGTCAGTGAATTTTTCCAGACGCATTTTTTTAAAAGATTGTGGAAAAACGTCTCTAAACCCTAAAAGTAGTCAAGTTATAATGTGTTTTCATAGTAATGGAATTGACCAGATGCCTATAGTCTCCAAAAATTAATAAAAGATATTTTGGTGCGGACTGATAAAAATAAACCAATGCGTTCATCCCCCTTCACCATCTTCCTGTGTCTCGCACCTGAGTTATCGGATTATTTTCTAAAACCTTCTGCATTGGTGGATCGTATCTCTGATTGTATCTCCGATACGATCCACCAGACATCGCTGCATAAATTACACAAATTATCACGAACGGTAAAAGATACCGACTTAGTACACATTCCAGCATTTCCGAAACTACCTTCGGCTTATCTGTGCTACGCACGGAGGATAAATGACGTGTGTATGAAAGTCAGTCCCCCAATCGGATCTTCGAGCGGTGCCCCGTGAGCCAGAAAACAGCCAATTGTAAAGTTTTTTACTTTTGTATTTGTTGCAGAATAGGCAGCAGCGCTCAGAGGAGTGCTCATTATTGATATAGACACTAATAAATACAGTAAAATCATATTATGTGTATATAATGTATTTATATATATCAATTAGATGTTTTATTTATTTTTTGTCTTAGTTTCTTTTGTTTTACGTATTTTACAGCTGTGATACTGAAGCAAAGAGAAGCCTCATAGACAAAGTGCTTCAGGAAGGGCATCAGGAGAACAGCGTTTTAGGCATTTATAGAAGAATTTTGTAAAAAGTATAATAGTCACAGGTTAAACATTTTTCCCCATTATCCCCAAGACCCTAAATAACATTTCTATGCAGTCTGAAAAGTTGTGTGTAGCATTTCATTGTGTTTATTTAATACAGTTTTGTGAAATTGATTTTCTGTTTCATTTTTTTCTTTGTCTTCATGATTCTATAGTTTTTATATAGCAGTAGCTCAGTTGGTAGAGCGTTGGCCTTTGAGCCAGAAGGTCGTGGGTTCAAGCCCCGCTCAAGACCTTCACCATCGACTCCCACTGACTACTGTCGTTGTGTCCTTGGCAAGACACTTAACCTCTGGGAACACCAGCCACAGTGGGGCGGCTGTGGCTGTAAATGAGTCTGGTGTGTGTATGAATGGAGGGGCCGATGGCGCATACTGGTTGCCTCGCTTCTGTCAGTGTTGCCCCAGGGCAGCTGTGGCTACAGCAGTAGTTTATCACCAGCGTGTATGGAGTGAATGAATAATGACACATGTGAAGCGTCTTTGAGTGTCCAAAAAAGCGCTATATAAAACTTTATTATTATATAATTGATATGACAGCTATATAATATAAATATTCTAAAACCCCAGGTTGTACTGAAAAAAACAAAGTATACTGCTTGACTGCATCAAAAGATGACTGTTGACTGTCAATCATCGTGCTCATGCTTGTATGTAACTCGAATATAAAATATATATTATTGTTTTATTCTATGTAAAGGGCCAAAGGTGAGTGTTGTGTTTTTCTTTTTTTTTAAATATATATATATATATATATATATATATATATATATATATATATATATACACATACATACATACATACATTACTACATAAATATACATATATATATACATATATACAGTGCCTTGCGAACCTTTTGCCACATTTCAGACTTATTTCAGATACAAAATTTTAATTTTTTGTCATGAATCAACAACAAGTGGGACACAATCGTGAAGTGGAACTAAATTTATTGGATAATTTAAACTTTTTTAACAAATAAAAACTGAAAAGTGGGGTGTGCAATATTATTGGGCCCCTTTACTTTCAGTGCAGCAAACTCAGTCCAGAAGTTCAGTGAGGATCTTTGAATGATCCAATGTTGTCCTAAATGACTGATGATGATAAATAGAATGCACCTGTGTGTAATCAAGTCTCCGTATAAATGCACCTGCTCTTTGATAGTCTCAGGGTTCTGTTTAAAGCGCAGAGAGAACCATGAAGACAAAGGAACACACCAGGCAGGTCCGAGATACTGTTGTGGAAAAGTTTAAAGCCGGATTTGGATACAAAAAGATTTCCCAAGCTTTAAACATCTCAAGGAGCACTGTGCAAGCAATTATATTGAAATGGAAGGAGTATCAGACCACTGCAAATCTACCAAGACCCGGCCGTCCCTCCAAACTTTCATCTCAAACAAGGAGAAGACTGATCAGAGATGCAGCCAAGAGGCCCATGATCACTCTGGATGAACTGCAGATAACTACAGCTGAGGTGGGAGAGTCTGTCCATAGGACAACAATCACTCGTGCACTGCACAAATCTGGCCTTTACGGAAGAGTGGCAAGAAGAAAGCCATTTTCAACCATAAAAGTCTTGTTTAAAGTTTGCCACAAGCCACCTGGGAGACACACCAAACATGTGGAAGAAGGTGCTCTGGTCAGATGAAACCAAAATCAAACTTTTTTGCCACAATGCAAAACGATATGTTTGGCGTAAAAGCAACACAGCTCATCACCCTGAACACACCATCCCCACTGTCAAACATGGTGGTGGCAGCATCATGGTTTGGGCCTGCTTTTCTTCAGCAGGGACAGGGAAGATGGCTAAAATTGATGGGAAGATGGATGGAGCCAAATACAGGACCATTCTGGAAGAAAACCTGTTGGAGTCTGCAAAAGACCTGAGACTGGGACGGAGATTTATCTTCCAACAGGACAATGATCCAAAACATAAAGCCAAATCTACAATGGAATGGTTCACAAATAGACGTATCCAGGTGTTAGAATGGCCAAGTCAAAGTCCAGACCTGAATCCAATCGAGAATCTGTGGAAAGAGCTGAAGACTGCTGTTCACAAACGCTCTCCATCCAACCTCACTGAGCTCGAGCTGTTTTGCAAGGAAGAATGAGCAAGAATTCCAGTCTCTCGATGTGCAAAACTGATAGAGACATACCCCAAGCGACTTGCAGCTGTAATTGCAGCAAAAGGTGGCGCTACAAAGTATTAGCGCAAGGGGGCCGAATAATATTGCACGCCCCACTTTTCAGTTTTTTATTTGTTAAAAAAGTTTAAATTATCCAATAAATTTTGTCCCACTTGTTGTTGATTCTTGACAACAAATTTTTTTTTATATCTTTATGTTTGAAGCCTGAAATGTGGCAAAATGTTGAAAGGTTCAAGGGGACCGAATACTTTCGCAAGGCACTGTATATATACATGAGGTATACTTTCTGAGGGAATGAGCCCAGTGAACGGAGAGATGGATATTACTAGCTTGTAGCTGAATAACTCATGTGCTCGGGGGATTCTCGCGGTACTGCAGACTGAACCAGACTAAATTCACGTGGGCACCCAGAAATTTTCCCCATAGAACTCAATACATATTAAAACAGCTCAACCTCAGCTGACAGAGAACCTGACAGAGAACCAACAGCTTTCATAAAGGTCGGATTTTGTGGGGATTTTAGTGTCCCTTGTCATCCTGAACTTTTTTTCTTCTAAAATCCTTCGGTTTTATTTAAATCCACACTTTACTGCCACAAACTCTGCTCGTCTGGCTCTCGCTCTAACTCCCGCTCTGATGAACTGCTTTGATTGGTCAGAGCGCGGCCGAGCCCCTCTGTGCACGTGCGTGAGACCTGGTGTGAGACCCACACACGCGTGTTTGGCCCAACGCATTTTGGGAGATCATCCACTGCGCAGAACCGGGAGGACCAGACGATGCTCAAATACAGGCGAGTTTCCCATAGATCTTTGCGAGTTCCAGGCGACTTCCGCTAATCTTTCAGCCCCCATGCCGTCACAAAGCGCCACTGAGCACAACCATTCATTTGAATAGGGCGCCATCTTGAATCGCCGGGGCTTGGCCCTGGCCCACTTAAAACGGGCTTTAGGCTGTGCATGTGACCGCAGCCTCGAATAGGGTGCTATCTTGGATCACTGGGGCTTGATCATATACTGTACCTTTCTCTCTTTTTTCTGACAAACTCCAGACTATCACTTTAAGAATATTATTTTCTTTATTGAGAACCATGTTCATTTAAAACATGAATAATTTTTTCACTTTGCATTTCAGATTTATTGTGTCTGTGTGTTATTCATTCCACCCTCAAGCCAATGGAATCTAGTCTGTGTTAAAAACTATCCCATTAGAAACAGTAGGATGTTAGCACATATGTTATGTTAGCATTTTAGCACATATCAGCTCAAAAGGGCGATAGTAGCTCAGTTGGTAGAGCATTGGCCTTAAGGCCAGAAGGTTGTGGGTTCAATTCCCACCTCTGCACCTTCTCCACCGACTCCCACTGATGACTGCTGTCGTTGTGTCCTTGGGCAAGACACTTAACCCCACTTTGCCCAAAGCCCCCACTGAAAGATCAAGGCTATGCTCACACTCAGAGAGCAGCCGTCCTCCTGTGGACTCACCACCTGCAGAGGATCAGTGAGGGGCTGGTGCTATGAGACTTGGGTGGCATCTCTGACTGCCACCCCCCTGACCCAGAAATGGATTAAAGGGTAGAAAATGGATGGATGGATGGAGCTCAAAAGGGTCCATGAGCACGTGCACTGACATGCTTGGCAGTGATGGTGTACCCGGAAGCAGAATTGCCCAATTAATTCTTACGATGAATTATTTCCCCTCAAAAACGGATGGTCCAAAAGTCGGCTCGTTAAATGAATGAGGCTAATGCATGCGCAAATGCATTTTTCTACATTTTCCTGCGGGAAAAAGACGGTAAGAGGGAAAAGGGATGACATGTTTCGACAGTGGAGATAGGCGTCACTACGTCTGTTAACATCTGCAGTCTATGGTTAGCCTGTTTGCACATGTTACCAGGTCTCTGAATATTTAAATAAATAAAAAAACAAACTCACCAACTTCCTGCTTCTCTGCTGCCATTCAAAACCCCTGCTGCGCTCTGATTGGTGCATTCTGGAGCCAGAGGCGACAGGGGCAGAGCCATAATGCAGCACTAAAACAGCAGCAGAATTGAAGTCAGCGATAAGTGGTTATTTTGTCCTCAGGATAAATGGTATTTTTGGACGGACCTGTCTCCTCACTGCCTCTCCTGGTGGAGGGCAGGAACAGCAGGCCGTGCAAGGGCTTCTTGGTAGTGTAGTGGGCAGACCACTTCCTGTCCAAGTCGCCGTCTACAAAGAGGGAAAAACACATCAACAACAGGATTGGACAAGGATTGGACCAGGTCTAGACCAGGATTGGACCAGATCCAAACCAGGACCAGACCAGGTCCACAGTGGGTTAACCCCGGCTCCAAACACAAAGGCTGCAGCATCAAATTCACTAACGACACAAATGCTGCAGTGAGAAACAGAGGAGAGACAGAGGGCAATAGCACTCTAAAGCAGGTCTAAAGCAGGTCTAAAGCAGGTCTAAAGCAGGTCTAAAGCAGGTCTAAAGCAGATCTAAAGCAGATCTAAAGCAGGTCTAAAGTAGATCTAAAGCAGATCTAAAGCAGGTCTAAAGCAGATCTAAAGCAGATCTAAAGCAGATCTAAAGCAGATCTAAAGCAGATCTAAAGCAGGTCTAACGCAGATCTAAAGCAGATCTAAAGCAGGTCTAAAGCAGATCTAAAGCAGGTCTAAAGCAGATCTAAAGCAGATCTAAAGCAGGTCTAACGCAGATCTAAAGCAGATCTAAAGCAGGTCTAAAGCAGATCTAAACCAGGCCGAAAGCAGATCTAAAGCAGGTCGAAAGCAGGACTAAAGCAGGTTTAAAGCAGGACTAAAGCAGTTCGAAAGCAGGTCTAGAGCAGGACTAAAGCAGGTGTAAGGCAGGTCTAACACAGGTCTAAAGTAGGTCTAAAGCAGGACTAAAGCAAGACTAAAGCAGGTCTAAAGCAGGTCTAAAGCAGAAATAAAGCAGGACTAAAGCAAGACTAAAGCAAGACTAAAGCAGAAATAAAGCAGGACTAAAGCAAGACTAAAGCAAGACTAAAGCAGGTCTAAAGCAGGTCTAAAGCAGAAATAAAGCAGGACTAAAGCAAGACTAAAGCAAGACTAAAGCAAGACTAAAGCAGGACTAAAGCAAGACTAAAGCAAGACTAAAGCATTACTAAAGCAGGACTAAAACAGGTCTAAAGCAGGACTGCAGCTGTGTCCTCTGTGACTCACCCTTGGAGAGAATTTTGAGAACAGACTTTATCGCATCTAGAATAATCACCATTTTAGACCCAGACTAAACCAGGACAGGACCTTAACCGCACGAGAGTTGAACCAGGATTGAATCAGGATTAAACCAGGACTGAACCAGGACTTAATCTAGACTGTAGGAGGGGGTCTCTCTTGCTCTAAAACATGACTCTCTCCTCTGCAGAAGCCCCTCTCACTGATCAGCGTCAGTCTGAGAACAGCTCTACCTGCTGCAGAGAGAGAAAACTACACCAGCTCCACCTGCTACAAAGAGACCAGAGAGAGAGACCAGAGACCAGAAAGAACAGAGACCCACAAACGGAGACCAAAGAAAGAGACCAGAGAGAGAGACCATGGAGACCCAGAGAAAGAGAGAGACCAGAGAGAGAGAGAGAGAGAGATCAGAGAGACCAGAGGGATAGACCAGAGAGAGATCAGAGAGAGAGACCAGAGGGATAGACCCAGAGAAAGAGAGAGACCAGAGAGAGATCAGAGAGACCAGAGAGAGACCAGAGAGAGAGAGAGACCAGAGAGAGATCAGAGAGACCAGAGAGAGACCAGAGAGAGAGAGAGAGAGACCAGAGGGAGAGACCAAAGAGAGAGACCATAGAGAGAGAGAGACCTTGTACACTGACCGAGCAGCAGTGGCGTTGTAGGCGTGGCTTCTCTCTTCTTGCGTTTGAACCAACTTCGTCGCGGCGACCGTTTGTATTTGAACTGAGGGGGCGGGGCTTGCAGCAGCACTTCCTGGTTCTTCTGAAGTGGGTGGGGCTGGGGAGTCTTTACTTTCTGGTCTGGTCCCCACGCTTCGCTGTGATTGGCCGGGACGGTGGCGTGCGCATACTGGTGCACGCGGGCGTTCAGCAGGCGGCGCCTCAGACTGCCCTCGCCCCGCGGCCTTCTGGGTAAGAGCAGCATGCCGTCGTCATGGATACCGGACAAACATGTTGGCGGGACGGCAGAGTCACACAGACACGACATCACCAGTCAGATCAAAGCACGCCGAGCCAATTATGTCATCACTCTGCGCCTCCTTCAGAGCCCTGTGGGTCACTCACAGGACCAGTTTAAGAGTCAGAAACCTCAGCTTTAAAGAACCATCAGCAGAACAAGTGTCGACAGGAAGAAGACTAAGGAACTATTTGTCCAGTTGTAATAAATGAGGACTTGGTGTCCTCTGTCTCCTCTGTCCTCTAATGTCTCCTCTGTCCTCTGATGTCTCCTCTGACCCCTGATGTCTCCTCTGTCGTCTAATGTCTCCTTTGTCCCCTGATGTCTCCTCTGTCCCCTGATGTCTCCTCTGACCCCTGATGTCTCCTCTGTCGTCTAATGTCTCCTTTGTCCTCTGATGTCTCCTCTGACCCCTGATGTCTCCTCTGTCGTCTAATGTCTCCTTTGTCCTCTGATGTCTCCTCTGTCCCCTGATGTCTCCTCTGTCCCCTGATGTCTCCTCTGACCCCTGATGTCTCCTCTGTCGTCTAATGTCTCCTTTGTCCTCTGATGTCTCCTCTGTCCCCTGATGTCTCCTCTGTCCTCTGATGTCTCTGATGTCTCCTGATGTCTCCTGATGTCTCTGATGTCTCTGATGTCTCCTGATGTCTCCTGATGTCTCCTGATGTCTCTGATGTCTCCTGATGTCTCTGCTGTCCTGTCGCTGTGGAGTCTGTTTGTGAAAGTTCACAGTAAATGTTTCAGACTCAGACCTGGAGCAGATTAAGACCAAAGTCTGGACTAATCCTGGATTATCACCTGTGACAGATGGGGCACAGGTGTGGGCCGAGTTGGACCAATTCCTGGGCCAGAGCAGGAATAAACCAGGACTAACCTGGACCAGAGCAGGAACAAAACTAGGACTAACCTGGGCCAGAACAGTAAAAAAGGAAGAATTCTGTTTATATTTTTGTATTTGGAGGATTAAGGCAAACAGATGTGACACACACGTCTGAACATGACACACACATACCACTGTACTACTACTACTACTACAGACTACTACTGCTGCTGCATGTATGACACGGTGTTGGAGAGTAACGGAAAACTGTGCATGTAATCCCATTACGTGATCAGATTACTTTCTGAGTAACTGTACTCCTTTACAGTTACTACTTTAAAGTCTAGTACGTAGAATACAGTTACTTTTGGAAAATCCCAGGAAAACATACCTCATTTTGCATAACAGAGCTACGAGCTAACACTGCTAATAGCTAACAGAGCTAACACTGCTAATAGCTAACAGAGCTACGAGCTAACACTGCTAATAGCTAACAGAGCTACGAGCTAACACTGCTAATAGCTAACAGAGCTACGAGCTAACAGTATGATCGAAACTTAGTGATACAAAGGCAGATTTCATCCTCCAAAGCTGCATACGTCCTGTGTTCTACCGTGACCCTGCGGGCGGAGGTTCCCAAGGACTAACCCCAGCACAGGCAACACACGGTGGGCGAGCAGTGATTAAACAGGCTTTATGGTTTTATTCGGGTTTGACTGGAGCTAACGCTAGCTGTTAGCTAGCTCTGTAGCTCCGGTTAGTGTTAGCTGAACGGGTTAAACTTCTAGTTAAAGCCATAACTGTTCACACGGTTAGGTATTGTATTTATTGTGCTTATGAACTCATATGATGTGATCTCTGTGTGTATAGATATAGATATTCTGTTTTGATAAAGAGCAGAAAATCCTGAACCACATTTGGTTGAACATTTGCTTAGTTCTGTCTGTTACACGTGCTGTATTTTCAGTTTTTTATATTGTGAAATAGTTATGTATAAAAATGACGAGGATCCAATGAAGATTACATTCAGTGTCTGTCTGTGTGAGGAAGAGGAGGCTGATGTTTATGTGAGGAAGAGGAGGCTGATGTTTATGTGAGGAAGAGGAGGCTGATGTTTATGTGAGGAAGAGGATGCTGAGGAAGAGGAGGCTGAGGTTTATGTGAGGAAGAGGAGGCTGAGGTTTATGTGAGGAAGAGGATGCTGAGGTTTATGTGAGGAAGAGGAGGCTAAGGTTTTTTGTGAGGAAGAGGAGGCTGAGGTTTATGTGAGGAAGAGGAGGCTGAGGTGTATGTGAGGAAGAGGAGGTTGAGGTTTATGTGAGGAAGAGGAGGCTGAGGTTTATGTGAGGAAGAGGAGGCTGAGGTTTATGTGAAGAAGAGGAGGCTGAGGTTTATGTGAGGAAGAGGAGGCTGAGGTTTATGTGAAGAAGAGGATACTGAGGAAGAGGAGGCTGAGGTTTATGTGAGGAAGAGGAGGCTGATGTTTATGTGAGGAAGAGGATGCTGATGTTTATGTGAGGAAGAGGAGGCTGATGTTTATGTGAGGAAGAGGAGGCTGATGTTTATGTGAGGAAGAGGATGCTGAGGAAGAGGAGGCTGAGGTTTATGTGAGGAAGAGGATGCTGAGGTTTATGTGAGGAAGAGGATGCTGAGGTTTATGTGAGGAAGAGGAGGCTAAGGTTTTTTGTGAGGAAGAGGAGGCTGAGGTTTATGTGAGGAAGAGGAGGCTGAGGTTTATGTGAGGAAGAGGATGCTGAGGTTTATGTGAGGAAGAGGATGCTGAGGTTTATGTGAGGAAGAGGAGGCTAAGGTTTTTTGTGAGGAAGAGGAGGTTGAGGTTTATGTGAGGAAGAGGAGGCTGAGGTTTATGTGAGGAAGAGGAGGCTGAGGTTTATGTGAAGAAGAGGATACTGAGGAAGAGGAGGCTGAGGTTTATGTGAGGAAGAGGAGGCTGATGTGTATGTGAGGAAGAGGATGCTGAGGTTTATGTGAGGAAGAGGAGGCTGAGGTTTATGTGAGGAAGAGGATGCTGAGGTTTATGTGAGGAAGAGGATGCTGAGGTTTATGTGAGGAAGAGGAGGCTGAGGTTAGCCCTCACTGTTGAGTAGCAGAAGTTTTTATTTTGTGGCATTAAAATTGAGTTTTTCCAAAGATGGGAGATGTTTTGGCGCACACCCGAACAAGAGCGTCTGTTCAAGCCGCCATCTTGGCCTCCATTCTTGTGTAGAACTAATATAAGGCTCTTGTCTCTGCAGTCGTCATGACGTCCAAAGGTGGGCTGGTGGGCGGAGTCAGCTCCTCGCACTGCATCACCTGTGGAGTGTATTGCAGAAGCCACGCCTACTTCCTGTCTCACCTGGCCTCAGCTCACCCCACCCTGCTCCATAGTGCCCCCGTAGGACGCCTGGGGAAAGTTTTTCTGTATCAGCAGTCAGGGAAATTGTTCCACTGCGAGATCTGCTTCTACAGTCATCGGGACTTCACACAGGTGAGAGCTCTGAGGTTAGCTCTGTGGTGAGCTCTAAGATTCTGATGTTTATTTTCTAGGTTTGGCAGCATGCTCTCCGGACTCACTGCACCAACCCAGACCAGAACAAAGACCTGGATCTTGAGACAAAACCACGACTGAACCAAGACTATGAGACCAAACCAGGACAAAATGAAGACCATGAGACCAAACCAGGACTGAATCAAGACCATGAGACCAAACCAGGACTGAACCAAGACCATGAGACCAAACCAGGACTGAACCAAGACCATGAGACCAAACCAGGTCTGAACCAAGACCATGAAACCAAACTCAGACTGAAGCCAGACTTAGGAACTGGACAAGGACAGAACCACAACCCGGACTCTGAACCAGGATTGAACCAGGACCCAGAGTTGGACAGGTCTCAACTGGAGAATGAACTGGAGAATGAAGTGGAGGATAAACGGAGGAGGTAATCAAACTAGCATATTACCATGTTAATGTTAGCATTACCAAGGCATGAGGTTAGCCTACCTTCAGCTATGTTACAGTGCCTTTGCGAAAGTATTCGGCCCCCGTGAACCTTTCAACATTTCGCCACATTTCAGGCTTCAAACATATAGATATAACATTTTATTTTTTTGTCATGAATCAACAACAAGTGGGACACAATCGTGAAGTGGAACAAAATTTATTGGATAATTTAAACTTTTTTAACAAATAAAAAGCTGAAAAGTGGGGCATGCAATATAATTCGGCTCCTTTACTTTCAGTGCAGCAAACTCAGTCCAGAAGTTCAGTGAGGATCTTTGAATGATCCAATGTTGTCCTAAATGACTGATGATGATAAATAGAATGCACCTGTGTGTAATCAAGTCTCCGTATAAATGCACCTGCTCTTTGATAGTCTCAGGGTTCTGTTTAAAGCGCAGAGAGAACCATGAAGACAAAGGAACACACCAGGCAGGTCCGAGATACTGTTGTGAAGAAGTTTAAAGCCGGATTTGGATACAAAAAGATTTCCCAAGCTTTAAACATCTCAAGGAGCACTGTGCAAGCAATTATATTGAAATGGAAGGAGTATCAGACCACTGCAAATCTACCAAGACCCGGCCGTCCCTCCAAACTTTCATCTCAAACAAGGAGAAGACTGATCAGAGATGCAGTCAAGAGGCCCATGATCACTCTGGATGAACTGCAGATAACTACAGCTGAGGTGGGAGAGTCTGTCCATAGGACAACAATCAGTCGTGCACTGCACAAATCTGGCCTTTATGGAAGAGTGGCAAGAAGAAAGCCATTTCTCAAAGATATCCATAAAAAGTCTTGTTTAAAGTTTGCCACAAGCCACCTGGGAGACACACCAAACATGTGGAAGAAGGTGCTCTGGTCAGATGAAACCAAAATCGAACTTTTTGGCCACATTGCAAAACAATATGTTTGGCGTAAAAGCAACACAGCTCATCACCCTGAACACACCATCCCCACTGTCAAACATGGTGGTGGCAGCATCATGGTTTGGGCCTGCTTTTCTTCAGCAGGGACAGGGAAGATGGCTAAAATTGATGGGAAGATGGATGGAGCCAAATACAGGACCATTTGGAAGAAAACCTGTTGGAGTCTGCAAAAGACCTGAGACTGGGACGGAGATTTATCTTCCAACAGGACAATGATCCAAAACATAAAGCTAAATCTACAATGGAATGGTTCACAAATAGACGTATCCAGGTGTTAGAATGGCCAAGTCAAAGTCCAGACCTGAATCCAATCGAGAATCTGTGGAAAGAGCTGAAGACTGCTGTTCACAAACGCTCTCCATCCAACCTCACTGAGCTCGAGCTGTTTTGCAAGGAAGAATGGGCAAGAATTCCAGTCTCTCGATGTGCAAAACTGATAGAGACATACCCCAAGCGACTTGCAGCTGTAATTGCAGCAAAAGGTGGCGCTACAAAGTATTAGCGCAAGGGGGCCGAATAATATTGCACACCCCACTTTTCAGTTTTTTTATTTGTTAAAAAAGTTTAAATTATCCAATAAATGTTGTTCCACTTCACGATTGTGTCCCACTTGTTGTTGATTCTTGACAAAAAAAAATTTTTTTTAATCTTTAAGGTTCAAGGGGGCCGAATACTTTCGCAAGGCACTGTAACTACAAGGAATTAACATTTTTGAATTAAGTACAAAAGAGGAGGCGTGTCCAATCCTGGATAATCTATGCATCTTCTGTAACAACGGGCGGCCATCTAAGAACTACCATCCCTGCCCTTTGAGTAGCACTGGATAGGATAAACTTTATTGATCCCGAAGGAAATTCCAGTGGTACCGGTGTAATGTCGATTTGGACCGTCGAGATGTACTGCCTCAGCTGTGATGTAATGCAAACCTGCGCATGCGCTTCTCATGGCAGCCAAAGCAAACCAAGGTGGCGGACGTAAAGTCCATGAATTGCTTTAAAAGTTTAAATGCGAACGAATTAAGACACACATGTCACTTTTGATACAATCTGAGGCGAGATGTTGATTGTTCCATGTTGTTATATGTGGGTTTTAAGAGTCAAAGTTTCGTGTAAAGTTTGGTTTAAGTAGTCAACTGCCCCTGTCGAATCACACTGCTACTGTTTTGATAGCTGTACCTCTCTTGTTAGCATGCAACTGGTCTGTTGGGTTGATAATGGAAATAATAAACAAAATCTAAGTTTTAAGCATCTATTAGCTGTCGAGTTAGCCACAGGACGCGTCATCGACGTACGTCAGTAAAATGACGTATGCGGCAGTTCAACTCGACAAGAGGACTGCTATCACACAGCAGCAGTGTGGTTTCACAGGAGCAGTTGACTGCTTAAACCAAACTTTACACGAAACTTTGACTCTTAAAACACACATAACATGGAACCACCAACATCTCGCCTCAAATTGCATGGCGGGTGCGCCACAGATTCGAGACCGACCGTCACACATTGCGTTGCGTTATTAACCCTCTAGGCCAGGGGTGCCCAAACCTTTTGCTTCCAAGGGCCAAAGTAAAAATTTGCCAGTCGGCCGGGGGCCAAATACACTGATATTTCGCATGAAACACAAATAAAATGTAGATTTGATCAAGTTCTATTAAATGCATTAATTATTGTCTATCAGTGCAAATCACAGCTGAATGAATGAAATCAACACAGTCTTAGTGAAGTGGAGACTCCAGGGAAATATGCAGGTTTGAGGAGACTACAGTACGGAAAGATTCCGGCGGGTAATCAGGGTCCAGAGGAGGGAGATTTTCTGTCATGGCTTATTTACAGCTTAAAATCATATAAAAAAACCTCTAAAAGAGAACAGAAACATACATTTTCTATGTAACTAAACTGTTTTTTTAAATGCCACTTGTAAACAAATAATGTTCCTGCTAGTAAATGAAAGTACTAATTTATATTAAATAATATCATACTCCCAAATTAAATAATCTATATTTTTAACCTGCTCATGTCAGTAAACTGTTTGTTGAAGACCTTTTTCTAAACAGTTTTGCATTACTATATAGTGATTTATAATGTATAGGTTTATTGTACTAATGACATTTACTTTACAAAAGTAAAGTCTATTTTCATATATTTATTTTGAACAAAAGTTTTTAACTACATTTGAATCATATTACTTTATCTTAGCTTTTATCAAAAAGGGGAGACATCACTGATCAGTAGATCTGGTTTTAGCACACTTTTAAACAATACATTTAAACATTAAGGAATGAATTTGGGAACATAATTGCTAACTGCATTTTCTAAACATGATCAGGTTTTAACTCTGTTTTAACTTAATATTTTTAACATAGGGCAAGTATTCTCAATTAGTTGTGAACTGAATATTAAACTAACGAAATCAGACTAGTTAACCCTGATTTGTTCCTGGAGTTTGTTTTGTTTTGCCTAAACACAGTACAACATTTATAAACAATCAAAACAAAGTAACTGTTAAAGAGTCCGTGTTTCCGCTCCTCCAAAGGGCTCTTGAACGCATCATAAAACTCAGCGTAAGTTCTGACATTCAATGATCGCGAGTGAGGACGGCGCTTACCGGCTTCTTTCATGGGGTTGTAGAAGGGTTTGTTTTGCACAGTATTTGTTGCTTCTACTTACGTGGATTGTGCGCTGCGATCCCTGCTTGTCCTGCTTGAACTCACTCTGAAGTGTGTGTGTCCGTCTTTTTTAACACACCGGGTGGGTGCGGATTGCGCAGGTGAATAGTTCCACTCGCCATTTCCCTCCGGTGAGGAGGGGGAGTGGCAGTTCGCCAGCACAATCCTCTCAATTTGATAAAACATTAAATTGCTCAAAAAAATTATAATAGTAGGCTGAAAAAAAAGAACATAAAGGGACTTGCACCCAATTGTTTTGAAAGATGTGTTTGATTTTAAAAAACATTTTAGTGCAAGTTGATGTGAACCATGAGTGAGGAGTGTATCTCGATACAACAGTAAAGTACTGGACAGTCTCTAGGCGCCACGGTCGACTTAAGTCGACAAGTTGTACTGTTTAAAACGGCCGAGTGTATCAAACAGAGTGTCAAAATTAATTCATACTCCCTGCCACTAGTTGGCAGACATGTCAGACGCCCTCCCTGGCCCCAAAAAACGTCATGCTCCCATACAAAATATTTGAGCAAGACCGCGTTGAACCAGTGCGGAAACCATAGCGAAGCGAGTGCAGCTGCAGCAGTGTGTGAGTGTTGTACCAAACACTAACTTTAGATACTTTGCACAGGGACAGCAGTGGGAACAGTGTTTCTCAGGGTCAGGGCTGTCATTGGGAGGTTTGAAGACAGGTTAGATTTGCGGAGAACAGGCCTAGAAATCGCGTCGGGTTCGCCATCTTGGTTTTCTTTGGCTGCCATGAGAAGCGCATGCGCAAGTTTGCATTACATCATAAACAGCTGAGGCCGTGCAAACCGACGTTACACCGTCTGCTCTCATTCACAGGTACAGATCACAGGTACATATTTATATGTAGTTGATATAATATAAAACAGTACAAAATAATTCAAAAAGTTATAAGTGCATCGACTCACTTGGCTAGGTCAAAGAGTTGTGCTGTCTAATGGAACAAGTCACAAAGGATTCCTCAGCCTGTCTGGAACAGCGCTGGGACAACAGTCTACTGCCAAACTTACTTCTCTCAGTGAAGTGATGTAGGGGATGTGAGGCATTGTCCGTGATGGTACCATCTCCACACTGTTTCCACCTATGTGCACTGGCTGAGGTGTAGGGGGCTTCCATCGAGCTATACCATCACTGCACTTTGATTAGTATGGGCAGCCATAATAGCCAACTTTGCCCTTTGAGTAGTACTGGAAGCCATCTTATGGGGCGTTCAGACCGAATCATGCGTTGCGGAAACTTTCAATGCAAAGTCAATAGTGACGTCCATTTGAGCGTGGAACTGCATGTGTCTTGGCATGTTCACGGACTGCGCGGTAGAGGCGCAGGAGCAGAAAATTGACACAGGCAGGAGATGAACATTGCTGAACTTTTTCTGCGGGACGCACGTGCAGTGACCGATTGGAGAGCCGCAAAGTGCTCACTGGGACACAGCGAGCAGACTGAAAATACTCGTAAACAGCCAAAACAGGAGCTAAACCAGGACTAAACCAGGGTTGACAATGGGGGACACAGTGCTTGAGAACATACTGTATGCTTCCAGCCTAAGTTCTCATGCTCCCGTGACTTTAAATTAGTGCTGCTAGCGTGTTCACCAATGCGGAAGTTCCGTTTTCATAGAAAAATAAACTTATGGCGCACCTCCGTGAACATATGCTGCTGTTATATAAAGTCCCTGGAAGGTCTTTGGACAGAGACGCTGCAGAGCTGCATTCTTGGAGAAGAGCTTTACACAAAAAGCCGCTAGCTTAACTCCGTTAGCATCAATGCCCTTCCGCCACTTCCGCCGGGCGCCACTGTAGGCCAGGACACCAAGTCTGAACACCAAGTCTGAACACCCCTAGGGTCTGAAATTTAGAGAATGTGCGTCCAATGCGTGTGGAAATTGTGTTCCATCGTCGGCGGTCTGAACGCCCCGTTAGAGCTACCATCACTGCCCTTTGAATAGCATTGCAGCTACAGTATCTTGGGCCTTGATGACCATGAAGACCTTACTTTGTGTATGTTTATCCCCCCTCAGCCCTCCCCCGACAGTGGCTCCTCCGCTCACCTTGGCCCCTCCTCCGCTCACCTTGGCCCCTCCCCCACCAGTGGCTCGTCCGCTCACCGTGGCCCCTCCCCCCTCGTCTTCCTCCCCCCTCTTCCAGCTCTCCTCTGGTCTGTACCATTGTTTGCGTTGTGATTGGTCGCACAAGATCCGCACCATCGCCGTGAACCACGTGGTCCGCAAACACGACTCGCCACAGCACCTCTATGATGTCATTGAGCCACTTCCCACAAGCCAATCAGAGTCAGCCTCCGCCCCCGTGGAGGAGGAAGAGGAAGTAACTCCAGAGGCCATCACACAGGAACTGGAGGCAACAAACATCCTGCGTTTCTATAACAACAGAGTCGAGTGTCAATGCGGCTGGAAGGCCAAGGTCAAGAGAGGCTCAAGGGGTGAGTGTACCCAAGTACTATACTTTTCAGTAATACAGAGTACTAATGAGTACTACAGAGTAATACCGGGTCTACCGGGTACTACAGAGTACTACAGAGTATTGCAGGGTACTACGGAGTATTACAGGGTACCTCTCTCTCTCCTTCTCTCCCTCACTCTCCCCCTTCCTATAGGTTTTGCGTTGAACCACTTGGAGAGGGCCCATGACCTGCCTCGCTCCCACTGCTGCTCCATCTGTGGACAGAACTTCACCATGTCGTATCAGCTCCGAGAGCACATCAAACTGCTCCACCGGCCGGGGCGCTACCACTGCCCGTTCTGCATCTTCAGGTGAGCTACCACATTAGCTACCACACCACCATCTGACTGCACCAATGTGTGTGTGTCTGAGAGTCTATGCGCGTTTGTGTCCTTAACCTAATCTCTGGTTTGGTTTTCAGGTCAGATTTTTATGGCGGATTTCGACGTCACAGCTCAAAGTGTAACTATAGAGAGGAGCAGGACCGAGACCAGGACCAGGACCAGGACCGGTCCAGATCAGATCCAGACTTAGCCGAGTCAGAGAGGATCCACAGACCCAAGAGGAGAAGAACCAGGGTGATCATGGATGATGAAGAACAATGAGACGGACTCAACAACCTCGGGTCTGTGGGTTAATAATTGAAATGAATAAATAAAGTAAAAATATTGAATATATCTGAGATCATTAACAGTAAAGGCAAAGGAAGGTTTCTCAACCCATCATCTGTACTTCTTAGCAGGTTTTCCCAACATTTTGTCCTTAATCCGAAGATTTTTTTTTTTAAAGTTCTTTGGATAAGGGACAAATTAAAGTGAGAGTTAGAGTGAGTGAGTGAGTGAGTGAGTGAGTGAGTGAGTGAGTGAGTGAGTGAGTTTTATGTAGTGCACATTTGTATGATGTGGCTCTTTTGCTTTGTAAAAAAATTGGCTTTAGTCTCTGACTGGTTGGCCACCCCTGGCATAGACCATGGACTGGAGAGACCAGCACGGACCCGTATGGATCCATGGGAGAGACCAGTGCAGAGACTCAGCGCGGACCCCGCAACCTCCTGCAGTAGCAGTATATATGCCATTGTTCTGTGGCCCGTGGATAAAGAAATGCCCCCTATAAATAGGAAGGGGTCACTAATACAGGGCAAGATTTCCAATGTATTTGATAAAGCGTTGGCACATTTAATTTCATAATGAATTAAAAAATAGGCTAAATTACCATTAACAATTAAATAAATACATCAATATGACGGACATATCACTGTAATGTTGTGTTTTATTGAACTTCATAACAGCAGCTTGCACTGAATGTGCGTACGAGTGCTCCTGAGCATTCATAGGATTTGTACTTACCCAACAGAAATTCTGGTTACGAGAAAATTTCATGAATGCCACAATCTTCGTGAGTAGGATTTACACACACATTTTTTCTTAAGTACGGTTCGTGAATGAGGCCCATTGTCGTGCTGAAAGATCCAGCCACGTTTCATCTTCAATGCCCTTGTTGATGGAAGGAGGTTTTCATTCACGATACATGGCCCCATTCATTCTTTACTTTACACGGATGTATTCGTCCTGGCCCCTTTGCAGAAAATCAGCCCCAAAGATTCAGTCTTCCCAGCCTGGTAAAGGTCTACAATTTTGTGTCTGGTGTCCTTTGAAAGCTCTTTGGTCTTGGAGTGTGGCTCATACCAGTGAGTTCAAACAGGTGCCATCAATACAGGAAACAAGTGGAGGACAGAGGAGCCTCTTAAAGACAGAGTTACAGGTCTATGAGAGCCAGAAATCTTGCTTATTTGTCGGTGCATAAATTATTATTTTCCACCGTAATATGCCAAAAATAAATCTTTAAAAAAATTAGACATGTGATTTTGTGGATTTTTTTTTCTCAATAGTTTTCTCATAGTTGACGACAAAAAGATGAGGGAGGCCTGTAATTAAGTGGGTGAACTTGCACAACTGGTGGCTGACTAAATACTTTTTTTCCCCACTTTAATATGAAAAAGACACACCTTTCACCGGTTATCCCTCTCTAAGCTCGGGTCCTCTACCAGAGGTCTGGGAGCTTGAGGGTTCTGCGCAGTATCTTTGCTGTTCCCAGCACTGCACATTTCTGGACCGACATTTCCGAGGTTGTTCCAGGGATCCGCTGTAACCACTCATCTAGCTTCAGGGTCACTGCCCGAGTGCACCGATCACCACTGTCACCTTTACCCTCCAGGCCCTCTCCAACTCCTCTCCAGCTCCTCTCTGAGCCCTTGGTCTTTCTCAAGCTTTTTGTGTTCTTTTTTCCTGATGTTACCATCGCTTGGAATTGCCACGTCCACCACCACGGCTTTCTTCTGCCCTTTGTCCACCATCACGATGTCAGGTTGGTTCACCATTACCATTCGGTCGGCCTGTATCTGGAAGTCCCACAGGATCTTTGCACGCTCATTCTCCACCACCTTTGGAGGAGTTTTCCACTTAGACCTTGGTTTCCAGCCCATACTCTGCAGATGTTTCTGTACTATATTCCAGCCACTTGGTTATGTATGAAGGTTATTTTGTGTTTTTATTATCAACACTCTTTTTTGCTTTTGAATTCTATAAACTGTAACAAAAAAGTATTCAGTGTAAATAAATTCAATGTTTTAAAATTCAGTGTCAAAATATTCAATGTTTTAAAATTCAGGGTCCAAAAATTCAATGTTGAAAAAAATTCAGTGTTGCATTTTTTTCGCTACTTGAAATGTCATGCTTTATTTTCGGGTAAATCAAGACAGTAGCAATCGATCAGCCAATCCTCCATAGATGTAACCAGGGCCAGACATGAATTTGGCTTTATCCGAATGTCCGCACTATACCCTATTCACTCACTCACTACATAGTGCGAGACTATATAGTGAGTGAGTGAGTGGACTCATGCTGATGGCGATTCGGACGCTGCACACTATTATCAGGCCGTGCTGTTGTACGTGAGCGTCCCGCTGTAGCATGGATCACGGAGCGGAGAGAGGAGCGGCCATGATGAGGTAAAGGTAAAAGTAGAATTTACGTTTTAATTAGGACATAACATTTAATTGTATAAACATTGGAGGTGGGAAATAGCCCCTTCTATTGTTATATCAGAGGTCTGTTTGGTGATTAAACAGATTTTCTTTCGACTTTTTCTCCAGCCTTGAGCTCCAGTGCTAACACGCATGAGCCAGCCGCAACGCTTCTCCTGGCCCCATATTGAAGCGCTCACTGTTGTTTTGCCTAGAGATTATGTTGGACTCTACATTGTTAATGAATACACTGTAAACTTGACCTGACTGTCTGTGATTCTGGGATGAAAGTGTATCGTTATCTGCACTAAACTTTACTTTTGTTTTAGGAGCTGAGGTTCCATGTGGGTGCACTGGTGACCCCTGGTGGTGGTGTTTGAGCCGAACGGTCTTGGTTCCCCTTTTTGTGTTTTGTAGTGTCTGCTGTGCCAGGGGGTTCTACTCCTCGTCCAGTTGCTAACTCCCCTCTTTCTTTTGCCACAACTTCCCACTGTAGCCTCAGCCCTCTAATTTTGAACAGGTCCCATCCTGAGTGGGCAGTTTTAACTTTAAATGTATTAAAAATGAAATTCCTATAGTTTGAATAAATTAACAATGGTTGAAGTATCAATGGTGCGGCCCTCACCTTAATAAACCACCATTTTGTACAGGATGGAGTCTGGTATTTCATTTCTCTTTGAAGTTATCGAATCTGTGTGTCTTTGGTATTTTCCATGGCGTTGCTGATCATTACATTCACTCATTTATCCAGGCATTCAATTTTGGTACATTCATTTAAATCTATTCCCAATTCCCATATCTTTTCAATATGCCACATAACAATTGTTTTAAGAGTAATCATTAGTCTTAAAAATGTGATATTTCATGTAAGTAATGCATGTGTTTAGTGCGATTGATGGATTTGCTATGGCCCTCGTTTGTGCATCACTTTCTTGTAAAGTAATTTGTATTAAGTACAAACGGGATTATGTGCAGGGGGACATCTGTGAACATGAAGCTGGACACAGAAGACGCGTGGACTTGAACTTCCGGACAAGATTTAAGGTCATGAGTTCTTACTTTTTGAGCACAAGCTCCTTGCCTCTTGAAATCCAACAGACCTGATCATGTCAGAGTTAATGGCTTAAATGTATTTAAGATTAGAAGTAGTACTTAAATACAAGCTATGAAACATGTTTCTCACGGATTGTGTGGTTGGATAAAAAAACGCATACATCACTTTTCATTGCACACAAAGAACTAAATCATATTTTATTCCAGGTTGTGATGAGTCCACCGTAGAAAAGACAGTCAGAGGCAGACGTCCAGGCACCTGCTGCTGCTGCATATGTCTTCAGAAAATGTTCTAACTATCAATGACTTGTAATTCATAAACAAATGAACATATTGGTCGTTGTAGTTTATATCGTAATCCACAGAAGCTGGAGGTGATGGAAATGGATGAAGAAATGATGGCCTCTGAAAGACAGCTGCCTCTGGAAAAGAAATTCACACAAAAAAATCATTAATTTAAACAGACCCAGTTCTTCTGGGATTAAAATGAGCCTTTTGTTACAATCAGACATGTGGACATATATGTTCATATACATGTACTGTCCCAGTCAAATTAATTAATATAAATACACAGTAGTAGAGTAGAAACAGACGCTCTGAGGAGGAGCAGAAGTACGATGCCTTTACAAACACACACATGAACTTAACATGTGATATCAACAGTAAATGTAAATACATTGCCAGTCTTTAACAGGAGGCTGGTAGAGTGGGATTTACAAATATACTCAATTAAAACAATATCTATCAGTCTGATTCCTCTCTGTAGCATTAATATTGAATCCATGGGTTTGTTTTCTCCCTAAAGAACCGATTCTTCATTCCATCTTGGTTTCACTAAGATGTCAAAATTTAAGAGTAAAGATAGAATAATTATTGGAGGTCTAGATACATAAAAATGAACAACAACCCCTTAGCATGCTCTGTCTCTAAACAGTCAGCAGGTTTCGTCCTTGCTGCACTGCTAGAATAATATACACATTGAAAATGGGAACATGGTACATACGTCACACGAGAACCGCAAACCCCCATGTACTTGGCTTTCCTGCGGTTCATTTGAGCTTAGCATTAGCGAAGATTAGCTTTGGGGAATCGCCAAAACATAGAAGCCACCTACACGGAGCTAGCTAATGATAAGCTAAAGGTAAAAACATGTTCAGAAAGTACATACAGAAGTAGTTTGCGTGTTACATACCAACTAATGATGAGAAAACACACTTACTGGTTTGCTGTGGACGCCATGTTCAGATGAACAAGACAGTCGTGTTCTGGCCCTGGCTACATCTATGGAGGATTGGCTGATCGATTGCTTTGTTCTTGATTTACCCGGAAATAAAGCATGACATTTCAAGCAGCGAAAAAAAATGCAACGAATTTTTGGACACTGATTTTTTTTCAACATTGAATTTTTAGACACTGAATTTAAAACATTGAATATTTTGACACTGAATTTCAAAACAATGAATTTTTGGACACTGAATTTTAAAACATTGAATTTATTTACACTGAATACTTTTTTGTTACAGTTTATAGAATTCAAAAGCAAAAAAGAGTGTTGATAATAAAAAGACAAAATAACCTTCATAGTTATGGCGTTCCATGTAGGCCTTCCCTGCCAGCATCTTGCACCCTGCAGTTATGTGTTGGGTTGTCTCAGGTCCCCCTTTGCAAACCAAAACCTTGGGTCTTGGTCCTGGGAACATTATGACCAGCTGCGCGCTGCCGCATTGATAGAGCAGCTCACAGCTCAGACACAACTGATGCACAAAGTGATGAGCCAGCGCGTGCATTTCCGCACAGTCAAGACCCGCGATTGCGGCCAAAGAGCGCGCACCCTTACCAGCCAGTGAAATGGATTGATCTGGAGCGTCAGGACTCGCACTGTTCACAGTTAACAAGTCCAAATACAACGAGTCCGAGTCAAGTCCAAGTCTTTAGGGGAAAAGTCTGAGTTGAGTCGCAAGTCTCTAAAAATAGTGACGTAAGTCAATTTTGCCTGAATCACAAGCCAAAATTGCGTTGGGCAGCGGTCATTGTTGGTTTTAGAGGTCCGTTATCAAGAAAGAATGACCGGTAGAATGATTTGAAATCAAATCAATGGAGCGTTCTACTGCGGCTGTGAAGAGCTGTATAACAAAGTATACGTAGTTAAATGTTAGTAGTTAAACGGTTGATCTCACACTTCTCCATCATAAGACAACAGGTACTGAGGTATCTCTGGTACCTGATGTGTCTCTCTGGTACTTGCACTGGTACTTATAAACAGATGAAGCGTTTAGGGAGAACAGATTTATTTATATAAATGTTCAGGATGATTGACAGTCACTTCCTGGGCGTGGCCCTCTGCAGTCGTTCAATCAGGAGTTTGTTGGAGGCGGGACATCGACTAAGCACCGCCCCCAGCTCTGCCTCATTACGCCTCTCTATGGCAACGTCTGCAGCGGCCTCCAGGTCCCTGTGGATTTACACACATGAGCTTTAAATACACACAGGCACAAACACACACACACAGGTGTACACACAGTTGTACACATAGGTTTACACACAAACACAGATACACACACACTCATTAGCTTTAAATACACACACACACACACACACACACACACACACACAGGTACGCACTCATGCAGGTACACACACTTACCCCAGCAGCAGACAGGCCCGGACCTTCTGCTCTGGTGAGACCTTCTGAAGATACTTTCGAGCCTCGCTCCTGGTTCTGGTTCTTCACACACACCTCCACAAACGGCTGCAACACAACAACAGCCCTAAATTGTGCATCACCCTAAATCACAACAGTAATTATCTCAGGGGACAAAAATATGTCAAATCGCCAACACAGATCAGAGAATCAAATCGTTCAAACGCAAGAAATGCATTGATAAAAAACACAGTCATTGGTTCATAAGGGGCAGAGACTAATGGTCCAGACATTTTGAAAAATGTGTCCTGGATCATTACCACAGACCCCAGCTTTAAAGTCACAGACCCAGTCACAGAGGTTGTAGTGAGTGTGTTCTTACCAGAAAGCCTATAAGGAGACTTCTTGCTTCTGCAAATTTGTCAAGTTCCTCCCAAGTCATGTTTCTCTGCTAGAGCACAAAGCTTCAACCACCAGAACCTGAGGAGGAGAGGGAGAGAGGGAAGAGAGGGGAGAGAGAGAAGAGGGGAGAGGAGGATGAGAAGTAGAACTGCACCTGTCCACTATCAGTGTTTCTACTCCTGGCCTGCGTGGAACTGCATGTGTCTTGGCATGTTCACGGACTGCGCGGTAGAGGCGCAGGAGCGGAAAATTGACACAGGCAGGAGATGAACATTGCTGAACTTTTTCTGCGGGACGCACGTGCAGTGACCGATTGGAGAGCCGCAAAGTGCTCACTGGGACACAGCGAGCAGACTGAAAATACTCGTAAACAGCCAAAACAGGAGCTAAACCAGGACTAAACCAGGGTTGACAATGGGGGACACAGTGCTTGAGAACATACTGTATGCTTCCAGCCTAAGTTCTCATGCTCCCGTGACTTTAAATTAGTGCTGCTAGCGTGTTCACCAATGCGGAAGTTCCGTTTTCATAGAAAAATAAACTTATGGCGCACCTCCGTGAACATATGCTGCTGTTATATAAAGTCCCTGGAAGGTCTTTGGACAGAGACGCTGCAGAGCTGCATTCTTGGAGAAGAGCTTTACACAAAAAGCCGCTAGCTTAACTCCGTTAGCATCAATGCCCTTCAGCCACTTCGCCGGGCGCCACTGTAGGCCAGGACACCAAGTCTGAACACCAAGTCTGAACACCCCTAGGGTCTGAAATTTAGAGAATGTGCGTCCAATGCGTGTGGAAATTGTGTTCCATCGTCGGCGGTCTGAACGCCCCGTTAGAGCTACCATCACTGCCCTTTGAATAGCATTGCAGCTACAGTATCTTGGGCCTTGATGACCATGAAGACCTTACTTTGTGTATGTTTATCCCCCCTCAGCCCTCCCCCGACAGTGGCTCCTCCGCTCACCTTGGCCCCTCCTCCGCTTCACCTTGGCCCCTCCCCCACCAGTGGCTCGTCCGCTCACCGTGGCCCCTCCCCCCTCGTCTTCCTCCCCCCTCTTCCAGCTCTCCTCTGGTCTGTACCATTGTTTGCGTTGTGATTGGTCGCACAAGATCCGCACCATCGCCGTGAACCACGTGGTCCGCAAACACGACTCGCCACAGCACCTCTATGATGTCATTGAGCCACTTCCCACAAGCCAATCAGAGTCAGCCTCCGCCCCCGTGGAGGAGGAAGAGGAAGTAACTCCAGAGGCCATCACACAGGAACTGGAGGCAACAAACATCCTGCGTTTCTATAACAACAGAGTCGAGTGTCAATGCGGCTGGAAGGCCAAGGTCAAGAGAGGCTCAAGGGGTGAGTGTACCCAAGTACTATACTTTTCAGTAATACAGAGTACTAATGAGTACTACAGAGTAATACCGGGTCTACCGGGTACTACAGAGTACTACAGAGTATTGCAGGGTACTACGGAGTATTACAGGGTACCTCACTCTCCCCCTTCCTATAGGTTTTGCGTTGAACCACTTGGAGAGGGCCCATGACCTGCCTCGCTCCCACTGCTGCTCCATCTGTGGACAGAACTTCACCATGTCGTATCAGCTCCGAGAGCACATCAAACTGCTCCACCGGCCGGGGCGCTACCACTGCCCGTTCTGCATCTTCAGGTGAGCTACCACATTAGCTACCACACCACCATCTGACTGCACCAATGTGTGTGTGTCTGAGAGTCTATGCGCGTTTGTGTCCTTAACCTAATCTCTGGTTTGGTTTTCAGGTCAGATTTTTATGGCGGATTTCGACGTCACAGCTCAAAGTGTAACTATAGAGAGGAGCAGGACCGAGACCAGGACCAGGACCAGGACCGGTCCAGATCAGATCCAGACTTAGCCGAGGTCTCTTTTGCTTTGTAAAAAAATTGGCTTTAGTCTCTGAGTGAGTGAGTGAGTGAGTGAGTTTTATGTAGTGCACATTTGTATGGTTGGCCACCCCTGGCATAGACCATGGACTGGAGAGACCAGCACGGACCCGTATGGATCCATGGGAGAGACCAGTGCAGAGACTCAGCGCGGACCCCGCAACCTCCTGCAGTAGCAGTATATATGCCATTGTTCTGTGGCCCGTGGATAAAGAAATGCCCCCTATAAATAGGAAGGGGTCACTAATACAGGGCAAGATTTCCAATGTATTTGATAAAGCGTTGGCACATTTAATTTCATAATGAATTAAAAAATAGGCTAAATTACCATTAACAATTAAATAAATACATCAATATGACGGACATATCACTGTAATGTTGTGTTTTATTGAACTTCATAACAGCAGCTTGCACTGAATGTGCGTACGAGTGCTCCTGAGCATTCATAGGATTTGTACTTACCCAACAGAAATTCTGGTTACGAGAAAATTTCATGAATGCCACAATCTTCGTGAGTAGGATTTACACACACATTTTTTCTTAAGTACGGTTCGTGAATGAGGCCCATTGTCGTGCTGAAAGATCCAGCCACGTTTCATCTTCAATGCCCTTGTTGATGGAAGGAGGTTTTCATTCACGATACATGGCCCCATTCATTCTTTACTTTACACGGATGTATTCGTCCTGGCCCCTTTGCAGAAAATCAGCCCCAAAGATTCAGTCTTCCCAGCCTGGTAAAGGTCTACAATTTTGTGTCTGGTGTCCTTTGAAAGCTCTTTGGTCTTGGAGTGTGGCTCATACCAGTGAGTTCAAACAGGTGCCATCAATACAGGAAACAAGTGGAGGACAGAGGAGCCTCTTAAAGACAGAGTTACAGGTCTATGAGAGCCAGAAATCTTGCTTATTTGTCGGTGCATAAATTATTATTTTCCACCGTAATATGCCAAAAATAAATCTTTAAAAAAATTAGACATGTGATTTTGTGGATTTTTTTTTCTCAATAGTTTTCTCATAGTTGACGACAAAAAGATGAGGGAGGCCTGTAATTAAGTGGGTGAACTTGCACAACTGGTGGCTGACTAAATACTTTTTTTCCCCACTTTAATATGAAAAAGACACACCTTTCACCGGTTATCCCTCTCTAAGCTCGGGTCCTCTACCAGAGGTCTGGGAGCTTGAGGGTTCTGCGCAGTATCTTTGCTGTTCCCAGCACTGCACATTTCTGGACCGACATTTCCGAGGTTGTTCCAGGGATCCGCTGTAACCACTCATCTAGCTTCAGGGTCACTGCCCGAGTGCACCGATCACCACTGTCACCTTTACCCTCCAGGCCCTCTCCAACTCCTCTCCAGCTCCTCTCTGAGCCCTTGGTCTTTCTCAAGCTTTTTGTGTTCTTTTTTCCTGATGTTACCATCGCTTGGAATTGCCACGTCCACCACCACGGCTTTCTTCTGCCCTTTGTCCACCATCACGATGTCAGGTTGGTTCACCATTACCATTCGGTCGGCCTGTATCTGGAAGTCCCACAGGATCTTTGCACGCTCATTCTCCACCACCTTTGGAGGAGTTTTCCACTTAGACCTTGGGGTTTCCAGCCCATACTCTGCAGATGTTTCTGTACTATATTCCAGCCACTTGGTTATGTATGAAGGTTATTTTGTGTTTTTATTATCAACACTCTTTTTTGCTTTTGAATTCTATAAACTGTAACAAAAAAGTATTCAGTGTAAATAAATTCAATGTTTTAAAATTCAGTGTCAAAATATTCAATGTTTTAAAATTCAGGGTCCAAAAATTCAATGTTGAAAAAAATTCAGTGTTGCATTTTTTTCGCTACTTGAAATGTCATGCTTTATTTTCGGGTAAATCAAGACAGTAGCAATCGATCAGCCAATCCTCCATAGATGTAACCAGGGCCAGACATGAATTTGGCTTTATCCGAATGTCCGCACTATACCCTATTCACTCACTCACTACATAGTGCGAGACTATATAGTGAGTGAGTGAGTGGACTCATGCTGATGGCGATTCGGACGCTGCACACTATTATCAGGCCGTGCTGTTGTACGTGAGCGTCCCGCTGTAGCGTGGATCACGGAGCGGAGAGAGGAGCGGCCATGATGAGGTAAAGGTAAAAGTAGAATTTACGTTTTAATTAGGACATAACATTTAATTGTATAAACATTGGAGGTGGGAAATAGCCCCTTCTATTGTTATATCAGAGGTCTGTTTGGTGATTAAACAGATTTTCTTTCGACTTTTTCTCCAGCCTTGAGCTCCAGTGCTAACACGCATGAGCCAGCCGCAACGCTTCTCCTGGCCCCATATTGAAGCGCTCACTGTTGTTTTGCCTAGAGATTATGTTGGACTCTACATTGTTAATGAATACACTGTAAACTTGACCTGACTGTCTGTGATTCTGGGATGAAAGTGTATCGTTATCTGCACTAAACTTTACTTTTGTTTTAGGAGCTGAGGTTCCATGTGGGTGCACTGGTGACCCCTGGTGGTGGTGTTTGAGCCGAACGGTCTAGGTTCCCCTTTTTGTGTTTTGTAGTGTCTGCTGTGCCAGGGGGTTCTACTCCTCGTCCAGTTGCTAACTCCCCTCTTTCTTTTGCCACAACTTCCCACTGTAGCCTCAGCCCTCTAATTTTGAACAGGTCCCATCCTGAGTGGGCAGTTTTAACTTTAAATGTATTAAAAATGAAATTCCTATAGTTTGAATAAATTAACAATGGTTGAAGTATCAATGGTGCGGCCCTCACCTTAATAAACCACCATTTTGTACAGGATGGAGTCTGGTATTTCATTTCTCTTTGAAGTTATCGAATCTGTGTGTCTTTGGTATTTTCCATGGCGTTGCTGATCATTACATTCACTCATTTATCCAGGCATTCAATTTTGGTACATTCATTTAAATCTATTCCCAATTCCCATATCTTTTCAATATGCCACATAACAATTGTTTTAAGAGTAATCATTAGTCTTAAAAATGTGATATTTCATGTAAGTAATGCATGTGTTTAGTGCGATTGATGGATTTGCTATGGCCCTCGTTTGTGCATCACTTTCTTGTAAAGTAATTTGTATTAAGTACAAACGTGATTATGTGCAGGGGGACATCTGTGAACATGAAGCTGGACACAGAAGACACGTGGACTTGAACTTCCGGACAAGATTTAAGGTCATGAGTTCTTACTTTTTGAGCACAAGCTCCTTGCCTCTTGAAATCCAACAGACCTGATCATGTCAGAGTTAATGGCTTAAATGTATTTAAGATTAGAAGTAGTACTTAAATACAAGCTATGAAATATGTTTCTCACGGATTGTGTGGTTGGATAAAAAAACGCATACATCACTTTTCATTGCACACAAAGAACTAAATCATATTTTATTCCAGGTTGTGATGAGTCCACCGTAGAAAAGACAGTCAGAGGCAGACGTCCAGGCACCTGCTGTTGCTGCACATATGTCTTCAGAAAATGAGATGTGTTCTAACTATCCATGACTTGTAATTAATAAAACAAATGAACATATTGGTCGTTGTAGTTTATATCGTAATACACAGGAGCTGGAGGTGATTGAAATGGATGAAGAAATGATGGCCTCTGGAAGACAGCTGCCTCTGGAAAAGAAATTCACACAAAAAAATCATTTAAAACAGACCCAGTTCTTCTGGGATTAAAATGAGCCTTTTGTTACAATCAGACATGTCGACATATATGTTCATATACATGTACTGTCCCAGTCAAATTAATTAATATAAATACACAGTAGTAGAGTAGAAACAGACGCTCTGAGGAGGAGCAGAAGTACGATGCCTTTACAAACACACACATGAACTTAACATGTCATATCAACAGTAAATGTAAATACATTGCCAGTCTTTAAGAGGAGGCTGGTAGAGTGGGATTTACAAATATACTCAATTAAAACCATATCTATCAGTCTGATTCCTCTCTGTAGCATTAATATTGAATCCATGGGTTTGTTTTCTCCCTAAAGAACCGATCCTTCATTCCATCTTGGTTTCACTAAGATGTCAAAATTTAAGAGTAAAGATAGAATAATTATCGGAGGTCTAGATACATAAAAATGAACAACAACCCCTTAGCATGCTCTGTCTCTAAACAGTCAGCAGGTTTCGTCCTTGCTGCACTGCTAGAATAATATACACATTGAAATTGGGAACATGGTACATACGTCACACGAGAACCACAAACCCCATGTACTTGGCTTTCCTGCGGTTCATTTTAGCTTAGCATTAGCGAAGATTAGCTTTGGGGAATCGCCAAAACATAGAAGCCACCTACACGGAGCTAGCTAATGATAAGCTAAGGTAAAAACATGTTCAGAAAGTACATACAGTAGTAGTTTGCGTGTTACATACCAACTAATGATGAGAAAACACACTTACTGGTTTGCTGTGGACGCCATGTTCAGATGAACAAGACAGTCGTGTTCTGGCCCTGGCTACATCTATTGAGGATTGGCTGATCGATTGCTTTGTTCTTGATTTACCCGGAAATAAAGCATGACATTTCAAGCAGCGAAAAAAATGCAACGAATTTTTGGACACTGATTTTTTTTCAACATTGAATTTTTGGACACTGAATTTAAAACATTGAATATTTTGACACTGAATTTCAAAACAATAAATTTTTGGACACTGAATTTTAAAACATTGAATTTATTTACACTGAATGCTTTTTTGTTACAGTTTATAGAATTCAAAAGCAAAAAAGAGTGTTGATAATAAAAAGACAAAATAACCTTCATAGTTATGGCGTTCCATGTAGGCCTTCCCTGCCAGCATCTTGCACCCTGCAGTTATGTGTTGAGTTGGCTCAGGTCCCCCTTCTTGGTCCTGGGAACATTATGACCAGCTGCGCGCTGCCGCATTGATAGAGCAGCTCACAGCTCAGACACAACTGATGCACAAAGTGATGAGCCAGCGCGTGCATTTCCGCACAGTCAAGACCCGCGATTGCGGCCAAAGAGCGCGCACCCTTACCAGCCAGTGAAATGGATTGATCTGGAGCGTCAGGACTCGCACTGTTCACAGTTAACAAGTCCAAATACAACGAGTCCGAGTCAAGTCCAAGTCTTTAGGGGAAAAGTCTGAGTTGAGTCGCAAGTCTCTAAAAATAGTGACGCAAGTCAATTTTGCCTGAATCACAAGCCAAAATTGCGTTGGGCAGCAGTCATTGTTGGTTTTAGAGGTCCGTTATCAAGAAAGAATGACCGGTAGAATGATTTGAAATCAAATCAATGGAGCGTTCTACTGCGGCTGTGAAGAGCTTTATAACAAAGTATACGTAGTTAAATGTTAGTAGTTAAACGGTTGATCTCACACTTCTCCATCATAAGACAACAGGTACTGAGGTATCTCTGGTACCTGATGTGTCTCTCTGGTACTTGCACTGGTACTTATAAACAGATGAAGCGTTTAGGGAGAACAGATTTATTTATATACATGTTCAGGATGATTGACAGTCACTTCCTGGGCGTGGCCCTCTGCAGTCGTTCAATCAGGAGTTTGTTGGAGGCGGGACATCGACTAAGCACCGCCCCCAGCTCTGCCTCATTACGCCTCTCTATGGCAACGTCTGCAGCGGCCTCCAGGTCCCTGTGGGTTTACACACATGAGCTTTAAATACACACAGGCACAAACACACACACACAGGTGTACACACAGTTGTACACATAGGTTTACACACAAACACAGATACACACACACTCATTAGCTTTAAATACACACACACACACACACACACACACACACACACACACACACACACACACACACACACACACACACACAGGTACGCACTCATGCAGGTACACACACTTACCCCAGCAGCAGACAGGCCCGGACCTTCTGCTCTGGTGAGACCTTCTGAAGATACTTTCGAGCCTCGCTCTCGTTCTGGTTCTTCACACACACCTCCACAAACGGCTGCAACACAACAACAGCCCTAAATTGTGCATCACCCTAAATCACAACAGTAATTATCTCAGGGGACAAAATGTCAAATCGCCAACACAGATCAGAGAATCAAATCGTTCAAACGCAAGAAATGCATTGATAAAAAACACAGTCATTGGTTCATAAGGGGCAGAGACTAATGTCCAGACATTTTGAAAAATGTGTCCTGGATCATTACCACAGACCCCAGCTTTAAAGTCACAGACCCAGTCACAGAGGTTGTAGTGAGTGTGTTCTTACCAGAAAGCCTATAGGAGACTTCTTGCTTCTGCTGAATTTGTCCAGTTCCTCCCAGTCATGTTTCTCTGCTAGAGCACGAAGCTTCAACCACCAGAACCTGAGGAGGAGAGGGGAGAGAGGGAAGAGAGGGGAGAGAGAAGAGGGGAGAGGAGGATGAGAAGTAGAACTGCACCTGTCCACTATCAGTGTTTCTACTCCTGGCCTCAGTCCTGGCCTCAGTCCTGGCCTCAGTCCTGGCCTCAGTCCTGGCCTCAGTCCTGGCCTCAGTCCTGGCCTCAGTCCTGGCCTCAGTCCTGGCCTCAGTCCTGGTCTGACCTCTTGTCTGGGACTCTGAAGTCTCTGTAGAGCTGCTCCGCCTGTTTGTGCAGACCCAGGTTCAACAGCGCCTCCATGGTGTCCTGGACACAAGAGGTGCATCAGACCTGACGCTGCTCACCTGTGGCTCCTCCCCCTCAGCTATAGCCCTTCCCCCTTAACTGTAGCCCCTCCCCTGTAACTCACCTTTAGCCCTTCACCTGTAGCTCTGCCCCCTCACCTGTAAACACAGCCCCTGAAGCCCCGCCCCTTTCTCCTCATCCAATTTCTTCTGAAATCGAAGCAGCTTCATCTCCTCCTCAGTCGCCTTCAACACAAGACAAATTGTTAGTGTGTGTGTGTGTGTGTGTGTGTGTGTGTGTGTGTGTGTGTGTGTGTGTACCTTTGTATTAAACTCGTTCTTTCCTTTGTTGAATTCGTCCACAGCGTTCTGCAGCGCCGCCACTCGCCCCTCAGTCCTCTGTGAGAGAGTCAGAACTAGTTATACTACAGAACTTCAGGTGCATATGGTCTTGAGCCACAGACATGTAGAGGCACCAGGTGCACATGGTCCTGCTGGACATACTGGTCAAAAAGCTCATGGACGTCACTGTCAACATTTCTAATAAAGTTATTTCTGTCCGTGACATGGCCATTTCTTGTCCTTCCATGGTCCCTGACCTCCATCGCCATTACACAAGGCAGCTGCCTGGTGCCCCCAAACCAACAAGGGGCCTCGAGGGCCGACTGATTGGCCCAAGCGGTCGACTTGTACATGCCAAAACAGCTACCTGTAGTGACGAGCTGGCGGATAAGAACTTTTCGTCTGATGAAAAATTAACGTTCTTCATTAACAGTTGAAAAGCCTGGAGACATTTATGTATTATATGTAAAAGTGGTCAAGTGGTTACGTTGCAGCACTTGCAGCAATGACCCGGGTTCAAATCCGTATGAGATCTGTGTTTTGGATTAAACTATGACAGATTGCTCAAGAACGGCAAAAGGTAAAAACAGGCCGTTTTTTTGAAAATTAAAGCTAAGAGCCTAATCTTTCATTTGAAAGATTAGATTTTGTCGGATTAATAGTATACACTTTGATAGGTAGTTTTTGTAATTAATTATAACATGATGAGTGAAGTGAACAAGCTCATAAAAATACATGCTAAATTATTTCTCATTGCTTTGTGTCATGATAAGTTCTGAAGTACAATTTACTATTTATTGTTAAAAATAAGAAATGATCTACATTTAATTCATACTAATGTAAACAAGTAATAGATCAGGGGACCATGTAGCACAGTGAACCTCAGGGGACCATGTAGCACAGTGAACCTCAGGGGACCATGTAGCACAGTGAACCTCAGGGGACCATGTAGTACAGTGAACCTCAGGGGACCATGTAGCACAGTGAACCTCAGGGGACCATGTAGCACAGTGAACCTCAGGGGACCATGTAGCACAGTGAACCTCAGGGGACCATGTAGTACAGTGAACCTCAGGGGACCATGTAGCACAGTGAACCTCAGGGGACCATGTAGCACAGTGAACCTCAAGGGACCATGTAACACAGTGAACCTCAGGGGACCATGTAGTACAGTGAACCTCAGGGGACCATGTAGTACAGTGAACCTCAGGGGACCATGTAGCACAGTGAACCTCAGGGGACCATGTAGTACAGTGAACCTCAGGGGACCATGTAGCACAGTGAACCTCAGGGGACCATGTAGCACAGTGAACCTCAGGAGACCATGTAGTACAGTGAACCTCAGGGGACCATGTAGCACAGTGAACCTCAGGGGACCATGTAGCACAGTGAACCTCAGGGGACCATGTAACACAGTGAACCTCAGGGGACCATGTAGTACAGTGAACCTCAGGGGACCATGTAGCACAGTGAACCTCAGGGGACCATGTAGCACAGTGAACCTCAGGGGACCATGTAGCACAGTGAACCTCAGGGGACCATGTAGTACAGTGAACCTCAGGGGACCATGTAGCACAGGTGAACCTCAGGGGACCATGTAGCACAGTGAACCTCAGGGGACCATGTAACACAGTGAACCTCAGGGGACCATGTAGTACAGTGAACCTCAGGGGACCATGTAGCACAGTGAACCTCAGGGGACCATGTAACATAGTGAACCTCAGGGGACCATGTAACACAGTGAACCTCAGGGGACCATGTAACACAGTGAACCTCAGGGGACCATGTAGTACAGTGAACCTCAGGGGACCATGTAGCACAGTGAACCTCAGGGGACCATGTAGCACAGTGAACCTCAGGGGACCATGTAGTACAGTGAACCTCAGGGGACCATGTAGCACAGTGAACCTCAGGGGACCATGTAACACAGTGAACCTCAGGGGACCATGTAACACAGTGAACCTAAGGGGACCATGTAACACAGTGAACCTCAGGGGACCATGTAGTACAGTGAACCTCAGGGGACCATGTAGCACAGTGAACCTCAGGGGACCATGTAGCACAGTGAACCTCAGGGGACCATGTAACACAGTGAACCTGAATGTTTGGGAGAGTCTGAAGTAGACTGAGAGTCAGTCCTTTCAGTCAAAGAGACACCATCAAAGACTGCTGTGATCAGCAAAACCTGAAGCATGTGACCATCTGCACGACTCTTTTCATTGATGGTGTGTAGACTGGATAAAGTACGCACCAGACCGAGACACATGCACATGTGCACACAGACACAGCCTAAAGTCCGCCGGAAGTGGATGAAGTAGCGGGCGGCTAACGGAGTTAAGCTAGCAGCTTTTTGTGTAAAGTTCTTATCCAATAATGCAGCATCTCTGTGTCCAGAGACCTTTCAGAGACTTTATATAACAGCAGTATGCGGCATAAGTCTATTTTATTATTAAACGGTACTTCCACATTAGCGAACATGCTCGAAGCAGTTGTATAGTCACAGGAGCATGAGAACACATATGTTCACAAGCACTGTGTCCCCCATTGTCAACCCTGGTTTAGTCCTGGTGTAGCTCCTGTTTTGGCTGTTTACGAGTATGTTCAGTCTGCTCGCTCAGACGACTAATGTCCCTGTGACCACTTTGCGGATCTCTGATTGGTTGCTGCACAAAAGTCCCGAGGAAACGTTCAGCGATGTTTATCTCCTGCGTGCATCAATTTTCCGCTCCTGCGCCTCTGCCACGCCTTTGGTGCGCTGTCCGTGCGTCTCTACCACGCAGTTTGTGCGTGCGTCACGAGACGCACATGCAGTTCCACGCTCAAACTACTAATTAAACGTAATTTAATTAAAAACTTTAGCTCATTGATTCAGCTTGTGTATGAATTCAGGCCGTAAAAAGTGCTGAGTAGAGACTTAGCGTGACGCTCGCTCTCCTCCACTCACAGAACGTCCTCTAGCCTCTACAGCGCTGCTAAACACAGTACCATGTTAGCAGAATTGGCTATAACTCCTCTGGCTGTCCTCTCGGACAAATACAGATCATTTGAAGAAACACAAATATCGGCCGATACCGATATTGGCGCAGATATATTGCCTATCCCTAATTAAGAGTTCTAGAGTTCTAGAGTTCTACAGTATTAGAGTCCTAGAGTCTCACCTTCTCTCTCAGCGCTGCGCTCACATAGAAGTTCCCCAGTCCTTCATGATCATCGTCCTGATTCAGAAGATCTTTGAGAGTCTGAGACTCCTGCACCCTGCAGAACTGACACCAGACCAGGGTCATACCAGGACCAGACCAGAACAGGACCAGACCAGGACCAGGACTGGACCAGGACATACCTGTCTGTAGAGGCTCAGCGCCAGCGGCTGGTTCCTCAGAGTCATGAAGAAGTCTCCTCTGTTCATCTCATTCTTCAGAAACGTGACCACCGTGAAAACTGAAACAGACACAGGTCATATGGTGTCTCGCTCTCTGGTCTCGCTCTCTGGTCTCGCTCTCTGGTCTCGCTCTCTGGTCTCGCTCTCTGGTCTCGCTCTCTGGTCTCGCTCTCTGGTCTCGCTCTCTGGTCTCGCTCTCTGGTCTCGCTCTCTGGTCTCGCTCTCTGGTCTCGCTCTCTGGTCTCGCTCTCTGGTCTCGCTCTCTGGTCTCGCTCTCTGGTCTCGCTCTCTGGTCTCGCTCTCTGGTCTCGCTCTCTGGTCTCGCTCTCTGGTCTCGCTCTCTGGTCTCGCTCTCTGGTCTCGCTCTCTGGTCTCGCTCTCTGGTCTCGCTCTCTGGTCTCGCTCTCTGGTCTCGCTCTCTGGTCTCGCTCTCTGGTCTCGCTCTCTGGTCTCGCTCTCTGGTCTCGCTCTCTGGTCTCGCTCTCTGGTCTCGCTCTCTGGTCTCGCTCTCTGGTCTCGCTCTCTGGTCTCGCTCTCTGGTCTCGCTCTCTGGTCTCGCTCTCTGGTCTCGCTCTCTGGTCTCGCTCTCTGGTCTCGCTCTCTGGTCTCGCTCTCTGGTCCTGGTCTTACCCAGGTCACTGTCTCCACTCTCCACAGCTTTACTCAGGGCCAGGTGACTTCTCTTCATCTTCAGCAGCAAAGGAACCTGTTCTCCAGAGCGAGCCTCGAACTCCAACAGCTGAGAGAGAAACAAAGGTTAGTCCTGCTTTAGTCCTGCTTTAGTCCTGCTTTAGTCCTGCTTTAGTCCTGCTTTAGTCCTGCTTTAGTCCTGCTTTAGTCCTGCTTTAGTCCTGGTCTGGTCTTGCTTTAGTCTTGATCTGGTCGTGTTCTAGTCGTGTTCTAGTTCAGTTTGAGTCAGACCTGGATAGCCAGCTCAGGTCTTCCGCTCTCGTAGGCCTTGGCTGCGATGTGAGAATATGAAACTCCAGGAGAATCTCCAACTTTAGAGCAAACCACTCGAGCGACAGCTTCATCTGAGAGATCGGTCTGCTGCACCTGCAAGAGAACCAGGTCTGAGGTCTGGACCAGGTCTGGACCAAGTCTGGACTCACCTTACACGAGGCCCAGTGGCGCAGGACTCTGCTCACTCCCTGAAACTCTGGGATCTTTAAATATCGACAAATCTCTATGGCCAAAGGATAGAGCCTCCGGTGGACAAGCCTGGAATAACACATGTTTAAAGCTCGGGTCTGTAACTTTAGTCTCATAAATAACATGTTTATTACCTGTCAATCAGCACCTGCACAGTCATCTGTTTGAACCTGAGGTCAAAGGTCAAGGATCGGCTGCTGTTGACAGTGTACCCACAGTAACCACTGAGGTCTGCACTCACCCGAACACAGCACTACGGCTCGTTACGCTGACATCGTGACATCACCACAGTGTGACATCACCACAGTGTGACATCACCACAGTGTGACATCACCAGTAATTGGTCAGGCCTTATATGGTTCACAATACAATATTCACAATATAAACACTCTACATGTGGACAGAGGACCATGTGGACAGAAGACCATGTGGACAGAAGACCATGTGGACAGAAGACCATGTAGACAGAAGACCATGTAGACAGAAGACCATGTAGACAGAAGACCATGTAGACAGAAGACCATGTGGACAGAGGACCATGTGGAGGATACTGGATGTGGCTCAGCGGGAGGCCCACGCTGGTGTCTCTCACTGCGTTTAGTACTCTCAGCTCTCTGCAGGTCGACACAAACACCTCAGGACTGAAGTCTGAAAGAAAACACTTCCCAAAGGAGGCCGCCTGAGGGAGAGAGGGGAGAGAGAGAGGGGAGAGAGAGGGGAGAGGGGAGAGAGGACAGAGGGGAGCGAGGGGAGAGAGGGGGGAGAGAGAGGAAAGAGAGGAGGTTAGAGAGTCTGGGTCCTGGTCTGGCCTAGTCTGGTCTGGTCCTGGTCTGTTCCTGGTCCTGGTCTGGTCTGGTCTGGTCCTGGTCCTGGTCTGGTCTCACCCGCAGCAGTGCCTTCTGGACTGTACAGTTCCACTCGTGTCCTGAAGCCTCCACACACTGAGTCACAGCTTCAGTCAGAACTCTCTGATCCTTTATCTCCCGCAGGTACTCGTCTGCCTTCTGACTGTGCTTCTGCAACCACCAGAGAACAGGGCTGAACAGGGTCTGGACCGGGCCTAAAGCAGGTCTAAAGTAGGTCTTACCTCATACTCTCGGTGGGCCTCCAGCAGCAGAGCTCCTGGACTCATAGATGCAATCTTAAAGATCTCCTGTGAGACCAGAGGGACCTCCTGAAGCAGCTCCTGATGAGTCCCACAGATAATCCGGACTCCATCCAGTTCTGGGACCAGGACTGAGGTCTGGTCAAGAGGGAACCTGAACTAGATAAGGACTTTCATTCATTTATATACATGATATACAACATGATCATTTTAGATTCCCTGAGCAATACCTGAGAAGTTTTAAAGCTTCAGTTCTTTTAGTTTTATGAATTGCTTTTTTGCAGTAACCAAATAACCTTGCCTGCAAGCTGAATTCTCGCGGTATTTGTGAGTTCACAAACACTCGAGAATACATCTTGTACCGCTCCCGCTTACACTTTTCGAGTCGAACCACTGGGTGTGCGAGCCAATCACGCGCCAGTCTGGGGGTTTAGGGCGGGATATCCGGGTTTGACGAAAGCAAGAAGTGCCGGGCCGAAGCAAAACAAACATGGCTACGCAGGAGGACGGACGCGTAGCTGAGGCTATCAAGTCAGTTTTAGCAGAATCTCCAATTTCTTTTTTGAAAGATGAACAGCGAGAGGCGCTTTGTGCATTTCTGGACGGCAACCTTGGTAGGCGGGCACACAGCGTCACTTCGCCCAATCAGCTTGAAGTATTCTGCTGCTTATCCCTCCTTTCCCCGAAAGGATTCTCCGGGAGAAATCCCAGATTGATATCGTGGAGAACGCGTTAGAGTTCTACACAATCATCAATCTGGCTCTTGCCAGGTTAGTAACCAAAGGCTGTGAGTGGGATTTGTTTTCTCAGACTTCAACACAGTCATTTAAATATGAAATTATGTATGAAACAGTAGAAGAGCCATGGTGTTCAGTAACTTCTGTCCTCAGGAAACTTATGTGAGGTTTCCATGTGATCTTTTGTATTGTCATTAAACCACATTTTCAGTTTAGCCACATTAACAGTTTCCACTGTTATCACGGCCAAAAGTTGCCCCCAGGGACTGAACATAAGACAGTGGTGGCTTATTGGTGCAAAGACAATGAAATGCATAAGTTTTGATATCTTACAGCTGTCCTTGATGTACATAATAATGTGGGTCCCAGTACCGACCCCTGTGGTACCCCACAGGTTCCTATATCCAGACTTGTGTTGATTGGTTTGTATGGTCTTTTGTCTCCCTCTCAAAAAGCCCTCCAACCATTTCTTTGTTAAACTCTGTATGCTATAGTTTTTCCATTATATGTATTAAAATGGTATCAAATGCTTTTTGTAGATAGATCTAAAAAAAAAAATAAGTTAAGATTTTTATTAGATCTATAAAAAATCTCAATATATATGTATTTTGTTTGATAACATTTTTAATGTCCTCCACTAAGTCGATCAGAGCTAGTGAAGTAGACACTGACTATCAAATCATGCTTCTCAATGAACTCCTGGAGTCTTGTATCAAATAGAGTCTCTAGTATTTTATACTGTGGCAGAAGGGGACAGGTCGAGGATTATTGAAACTGTGTTTATCTCCTGATTTGAAGATTGGTATAGCTCTGGCCATTTCCATTTGTGAGGAAAATGATAAATTCAGATGAAAGTAAAAGGTTTGGAGGATCTTCAACTGCTTCTGTAAACAAGGACACTAAATACAAGCCAAGACCAGAACCAGGACCAGGACATGGAGACAGAACATGACCCAGACCTCAACCTTGAGAGGACCAGGACCAGGACCTGCATTAGGACCTGGATATGACCAGGACCAGAGGTTGAAGGATACTGTATGGTGTCGCTGCACTGCCCTGCCACCACCAGGAGGCGCTCCCACATCAGGACCACAGAGGGCTGCTGGGCTCGAGGCCGACGGCACCTGCACAAGAGTAGGTTTAGACCCGGGGTTAGACCGGGGTTAGACCGGGGTTAGACTGGATTGGATCAAGACTCACCAGACCATCTGCTGTGGAGCTGAGTGCATCTTGGTGTCCACCTCACTGAACTTCTCCTGAAACACACACAGGTCTGGGTCTGGGTCTGGGTCTTTGTCTGGTCTAGGTCTGGTCTTTGTCTGGTCTAGGTCTGGTCTAGGTCTGGTCTAGGTCTGGTCTAGGTCTGGTCTAGGTCTGGTCTAGGTCTGGTCTTACCCTCAGGTCTGAGGTCCCGGTCCAGACCAGGCCGCTCTTGGTGAATACAGCCAGATATTTATAACTGAAGGAGACGCACATCTGAAGGATGGGTCCAGAGTCCGGACTGAGACCAGGGGGGGTCTGAGGGAGAGACCAGGAGTTAGACCAAGACTGAGACCAGGGAGGTCGGAGAGAAACCAGGGGTCAGACCAGGACTGAGAGGGGTCTGAGAGACCATGAGTATATATAGCGGTATATATATATAAGTAAACATGACAGTATACATGACTCACCACGGCGATGCAGGAGGTGTTGTCCAGGACGTTCAGCTCGGAGCCATTGGACAGAAGGACTTTAGTCTGTCTGTCCTGAGTGAGGACACACCAGCAGGAGGGGGGCCCTTGGAGGCCTGGGGGAGTACTACAGTCAGAGACACACAGAGAGACACAGACACACCGGGAGAGAGATAGACACACAAAGAGAGAGAGAGAGAGACAGACACCCACACACACACAGGCACAGAAAGAGAGAGACACACACACAGTCACACACACAGACAACATACACACACACACAGACACACACCTGGGACCTCTGGGAGGCGCCGTAGCTTCAGATCATCGATGTTTGTTGCCACAGTAAAGCGTCCAGAGCTGGTTACTATGGCGACACCAGTGCCATATGGAGAGTGGAAGACTTTAGCCTCCATTACCTGACTTTGACTGACCTCCTGTGGACATATGTTATATTTACTGATATGTATTTTTTGTTATATATAGTCTGTATCACATTATCAGATTACATCTGTGTGTGTGTTAGTACATATATATACATTTCAGGTCACTATCTCTTGAAGCTCATCAAGAGAATGCCAAGAGTGTGAAGTAGTAATCAGAGCAAAAGGTGCTACTTTGAAGAACCGAGAAAATAAGACATATTTTCAGTTGTTTCATACTTTTTTTTTGTACGTACATAATTCCACATTAATTCATAGTTTTGATGCCTTCAGTGTGAATCTACAATTTTTATAGTCATGAAAAAACTCTTTGAATGGGAAGGTGTGTCCAAACTTTTGGTCTGTACTGTATAAATATACCGGTCCCAGGGAGAAGTGTCTCCTAAACGTCCCGAACAGGTCGTAGATGAGGACAGTGCCGTCGTCCTGGATACAGAGGAGCTCATCGCAGACGCTCCATCCCAGATGTACCACTGTCCCACTCTTCCACTGTGGAGCAGTGTTGCAAAAGTTACTTCAAAAACGTAATACATTTTGTTTTACTTATTATTGTTACTTTCTCCAAATATATATATATATCACTATCACAATACGGTATAACAAAAATCTCTATCGTTGGCCAAATTTGTATTGCATACCGCTTATACCATTTATATTGCCCAGCCCTAACTCATACAAATAATATTGCTAATAATAACAATAATGACAACAAAGCAGCTGCTGCTGCTGTGGCTGCTGCTGGTTCTTCTCCTCGTGTCCTTTTTGGTTGACGCCCGGCGTGAAGCTCGAAAAGTTCAGCTTTTCTCAACTTTGGTGTCAAGGGATTTTTGACGCAGAAAGAGACGCGAGGATTATGCGCGACAGCTTGCATCTTTTTTAACTTTTGCCGCGTCACCATTCATTTTCAAATACAAAACTGTCGCTTATGAAGACGTCCCTTTAGATGCGTTACACCAACAAGTAATACATTACAGCAGTTACGTTACTTTTGTAATACATTACTCAAACACTGCTGTGGACACATATACTGTCATTTATGGTTTTGTTAAGTCCTCTGAGATGATTTCTGTTGTGATTTAGGGCTATACAAGAATTTGTTGTTGTTGTTATATACTGTTATCACTGTCCCACTCTTCCACTGTGGAACAGTCACATAGACAGTCACACAGACAGTCACACAGACAGTCACACAGACAGTCATAAAGACTGTTTTACTCACAGTGAAGGATGATAGTGTGTTTCCAGATGCAGAGTAAATTTCCAGATGAGGACGAGAGCTCGGAGAACGTCTGTGAGGCTCCTTCAGGATTGCTGCACACAGGTCAGAGGTCACAGACAGACAGAGTCTAGTCTGGTCCTGGTCTAGTGTGATCCTGGTCTAGTACGGTCCTGGTCTAGTACGGTCCTCGTCCAGTGCGGTCCTGGTCCAGTGCGGTCCTGGTCCAGTGCGGTCCTGGTCCAGTGCGGTCCTGGTCCAGTGCGGTCCTGGTCCAGTGCGTCCCTGGTCCAGTGCGGTCCTGGTCCAGTGCGGTCCTGGTCCACTGCGGTCCTGGTCCACTGCGGTCCTGGTCCACTGCGGTCCTGGTCCACTGCGGTCCTGGTCTAGTCTGGTCCTGATACCGATGGGCCCCCCATATGGTGCTGCTCCCACTAGAGCGTCTTTGAGTCCGTCCTTCAGACTCCAGCTCATCTGGTAGAGCTCCGACTTCCTGAGGACGACCAAAGACAAACTCCCATTAAACATAAAGATCACAAGGCTGACTTGGTTGAGCTGATTGGTTGAGTGATCGCATCTCTCTGATCGAAAGATGCGATATCACAAATACATGCTGTGAAACTAGTCACAGAAAAGAAAGCTTTTGAGCCAGAACAAGAGAAATGGGTTTAATAGAGTCTGAAAGTTAAAGACCCAAGCTTTAAAGTTACAGACCCGAGCTTTAATGCACAATATTCACCATTATCACTGCTCATTTTAAAGTGTACAACATATCATATGAATACAGGTGTATCTTGCTCTTGAGGAAACACTATCTCCTAGTGGTAGAAGTGGGACATGACACTCTGATTTCATGATTGAACCTAATATTATGTACATAATGACTATACTGACCGTTTATTTTTGTTATGACGTCATTAGCTGTAGAGGGTTCTGTACTTTATGGTGACGTCATGGTTTATATAATGTATTTCTAACAGTCTTATTACATGTTTGACGGCTGTAATATGTTTGTGGCATCCGGCTGCTCGACATAAACACAGGGTAAGCACCACTTTGATATCAATATAATAGTAAGTCATGACCTCCCATTGAGCCGAATTACTCCAACCCGGATCCAGAAATGTGATACGGAATGGGATTAAAAGATAAATTCAATGAGAATATATTCAAGTCATTGGACTTGATATAAAGGGAGTTGTGGGGAGACACACATTTTCTGTATTTTAGTCTATTTTAAATCATGTCAAACCAGCTCCTGTTGAGAATCGGAGTCTGCCCTGGAGCCAAACTTTATTTAAAGCTGAAAATATAAAATTTAAATATCATAATAGTGATAAAGAGCGCAGTTTTGTGGCCTTTAGCATTAGCCACAATAGCTCTGGAGCTACCCCCGGCTCTGCGCTCCTCTCACCGGTAAAAGGCGTCTCCAAGCGGGTTCCAGCTCGCGGTGACGAACGCCATGTTTGCACCGGGGCTGTGGGCATTTGTGGCCGGGCAGATGAGGGTCTTTAGCGGGTCTGTGTAGACAAGACACCGGGGGGAGAAGATTTGAAGCGGTTTGGAGTGAATGAATCTGGTGTTTGGCAGCAGTCACATGACGGGACCCATCAAAACATTCTTTTTCTTCTTCTTTGGTTGCTTCACGGCGGTTGCGAACTAGTGCAGCGCATTACCGCCACCCACCAGATAGATTGTGCATGTGTCACCTCTATGGCTTACAACTTCTGAAACCGTTTCGTAGCTTGGAGGCTACAGTAAATAAAACAAAAAAGATAACTTATGCATGTACATTTTAAATTCTTCAAATGAGTCCAGAGCGTTTTAGAAAATCAAACAAATATGTAATCACTCTATGATCTGATTCTTTAGATGTGTCTTTGAGGGTAACTTTTCACCACATTCTCTATTTTCCTTTTAAGTAAAATCCTTTCTCTCTCAAACTTTCTGCATATAATTAAAATAGGCACCTTACAACCATCGCAGTTTCCTGACGGATGTTTCCCAATTAAATGCAATGTATTATTAAGGCCTTCCCTTCTACATCTCATGACCCGACGGCCCTGACCAACCTCAGGAGTTATCTTATAAAGACGCCTCCCTCTGTTTTCTCTCTCCCATTTCTCTTGCCACAATCCTTTGACATGCTTTACTATGGATTGATTTTGCCTCTGATTTTGTCATTTTACACTTTACATATACAGCTGTTGCTTTCAAGGCTTGTTTAGCAGATTTCCCATCAGACCTATGTAAAGTAATTGAATGTCCACACAAAACGTCGTGCGTAGGGCAAGGCTTTTACTACGGGTTCGGAACTAGCATAATCAACATGCAGGTTAACAACAAGAGGTCATCGCGGGAGTTACCCCGGTAACCCGGCCAGATGTGATTTACGGCACGTGAGACTACTGTCGTAAAGTATCTCTTACATGACATCTCCCCTTTTCAATTCTTTTTTTTTTACACACCACAAAACCTTGTGAAAGATACTGTAAGAAACTCTTTCATTAGCTGTTTCAATAACACAGAATTTCAAAATGTAAACAGTAATATAAACAGTGCAAAAATAATTAACATTCTTAACACTTTTCTTCTCTTCTATTGTTTTTTTTTTTTTTTTTTTTTGTGTTGGGCAGTGTTCTTCGTACACCCTTACAGATTCAGTCTTTCTACAGGTCTGCATAACCTACCAGACCGTGTGTATAGCAGTCCATCATCAGGTGGGCAAGGCTGGGTAGCAGGCAACGCAGTGTCTGTAGAAACGGTAGGTACAGCCTGTTGGACAGCATCAGGCTGCGGCTGCTGTAGTGATGGAGGTGGCGTGGTAACAGAGGATGCAGGCACGCACAGCAGATGGCGGCGGTTGCGTCTCAGAGTTGCCCCTTTTTGCGTCTCGATGACATAAGATCTCGGGGTAGTGCTGTCACCAGCAACAACAGCGGGTGATCCCCAAACATTCTGATGGTCCAACTTGGAGAGAACAGAATCGCCCGGTTTCAGAGGTGGCAGGAGTTTTGTACCATGGCGCTGATTGAAATAGAAGGCTTGCTTCTGTTTCTCCCTTGCATCCTTACTCCTGACTGCTTGTAGATCAGGCCATTGGGGATGGAGGTTTGACTCAAGCGTCGGAAGTGTAGTTTTAATCCTTCTCCCCATGAGCAATTCAGCTGGGCTTACACCTGTGGTGGCGCACGGGGTAGAGCGGTAACACATGAGAGCGAGTAAAGGGTCTTTCTGCATCAGAATCCTCTTTGCAATTTGTACTCCTCTTTCCGCTTGTCCGTTCGCCTGGGGGTTATGCGGACTCGAGGTAATGTGTTCGAAGTCAAAGTCACGGGCAAAGTCCCCAAACTCCGTACATGCAAACTGGGGCCCGTTGTCCGAAACGACCTGGTCCGGGCAGCCATAGCGTGCAAAAAGTGTTTTCAACTTCTGCACCACCTGTGAGGCAGTAGTTGTTGGCATGTGGAGTATCTCGATAAATCTGGAGAAGTAATCTGACACTACCAGGTAAGCGTGCCTGTTATAATCACACAGGTCGATTGCAAGTCTTTGCCAGGGCCTGTCAGGAAGAATGGTTGAGATGAGGGGCTCCCTTCGCTGTGTGTGCTTCATCTCACGGCAGGTTTGACAGGATTCAACTTTCAGTTTGATGTCAGTAGAAATGCCAGGCCACCACACAGATTCATTAGCCCGCTCCCTGCATTTGGTCAGACCTTGATGTCCGTCATGGATCCGATCCAGGATGTCAGCTCTCAAAGTAGACGGAATCAGCATGCGACAGCCTCTTGTGATGATCCCGTTGTACTCTGACAATTCGCTTCTGACTGGGAAAAAGTCTCTGATGGCAATAGGAACATTTCCTACATATTCTGGCCAACCTGACTTAATGTACTGCAGTATCATCTGCAAGTTACTGTCAGCTGCAGTGGCTAGCCTTATGGTCTCCAGTCTTTGTGGTGTGGCTGGCATGCTGCTGATAACCGCTGCAATGTAACACTCTACATCTGAATGTGTGTCACTTGCCTCTGTTGTGCACTGTACTGGGCTGCGAGAGAGCGTGTCGGCTACAGTGAGAGTCTTGCCTGGTGCATATTCAGCCGTAGGCTTGAACCGCATAAGCCTCATCAACAGTCTTTGGCAACGTATTGGGACATTGTCCAGATCCTTTTTATTCATCAGCGGCACCAAAGGTTTGTGGTCAGTGACCAACTTGAAGTTCTCCAGCCCGACCAGGTACTTCTCGAACCTCTCACATGCCCAAACGCTTGCCAGACATTCTTTTTCTATCTGGGCATATCTGGTTTCGGCGTCGGATAAGCGGCGAGAACAATACGCGACCGGTTTCCAGTCCCCATCGTGTAGTTGTAGCAGCACGCCTCCAATGCCATAGCTGCTAGCATCGGCTGATACAGCTGTAGGTCGGTTCACATCATAGAACTTCAGAACAGGAGACGTAGACAGGATGTCTTTGATGCGCTGAAACGCCTGCTTCTGTGGGTGGTCCCATGTCCATGTAGTCTTGGATCTCAACAGTTCGTATAAAGGCTGGCCCACTGTTGACAGATGTGGAATATACTTTCCCAAGTATGTGAACATGCCCAAGACCCGTTTCAGATCCTGGACAGTCTGTGGTTCTGGCAGCTCTTTAATAGCTTTTACCTTGTCAGGGTCGGGCTTTACTCCTGACTTGTCAATCACCTGGCCCAGGAAGTGAAGTTGGTTCCGTCTGAACACGCACTTGTCTTTATTCAACTTCAAGCCTGCCGACTCGATTCTCTCCAGTACTTTGTTTAGGCGCTGGTCATGCTGTTCTGCTGTGTCGCCGTACACCAGTACATCGTCCATGTAGATGGCCACTCCGTCAAGATCACTCAGGGTCTCTGCCATCTTTCTCTGGAAGATTTCCGGAGCACTCGTGATACCAAAAGGGAGACGTTTGAATGCGTATCTCCCGAAAGGTGTAATGAATGTAGTCAACTTACTGCTTTCCGGGTGAAGAGGTATCTGCCAAAACCCTGAGGCCGCATCCAGGGATGTAAACATGGTGGCGCCACTCAGTTTTGCAGTGATTTCCTCTGCAGTTGGGAGAACATATCTCTCCCTCTTCACAGCCTCGTTTAACCTTTTCAGATCTACACAGATGCGCACTTTGCCGGTTCGTCTTGGGACTGGCACCATGGGTGCGCACCAGTCGGTCGGTTCAGTCACTTTTTCAATGACTCCGTTCTCCTCCATGCGCAGTATTTCCTCTTTTACTTTCTCTAAGAGAGGCAGGGGAACTCTTCGCGCTGTGTGTACTGCATATGGCTCTGTGTTCTCTTTTAGACGTATTTTGACGGGCTCGGTGTTGAGAGTCCCGTGCTCACCAAATGCTTTGTGCACTTCCTCAATGCGTTTGACTAGTCCCATTGCGCATGCTGTATCTTTGCCTAGCAAATTATTAGCTGTCTGGCTGTGGATCACATAAACTGGGAATGAGTAGTGCTTTTCCTTGTATTTTGCAGTCGCCTGAAATTTCCCCATGCAACTTAGCTGACCACCGGGGCTGTTCATTGGTGGAATGTTTGACTGCACCAGTTTTTGCTCAGGGACTAACTTGTTGAATGTCTCTTTCTCCATCACGTTTAAATCTGCCCCTGTGTCGATTTTAAATTTAACCGGTGTTGCGCCAATCACAATTTCAACTGTCCATTGATCACTCTCTCTCTTAGTGTCTGTGACGGCACCTAAGAAATATGGCGTCTGAGAAACAGTAGATGCTGCTGGACACTTATCCTGGTCTCTGTGCTTTAGTTTGCCACATCTTCCACATTTTGGTTCACCACTTTCTCTCTTTTTATTTTTCCACTGCTGCTTTCCTCTGTATGGAGATTTTGCATGTGAGACCTCCTGCACCGCTGCGCACGCCTCGCCCTGCTGGTTCACCTGCCTGGTCACCTCCTCGGACTGGCGCACGGCCTGAATAGTTTGGGATAATGTAAGCTGCGTCTCCAACTGCAGTTTACGAGACATCTCCTTGTCGCTAATTCCCACCACTATACGGTCTCTGATGTGCTCCTCTCTCTGTGCCCCAAAGTCACAATGTTCCGATAGTTCATAAAGAGCCCTGATAAACATTTCAGCTTTCTCACCGGGCCGCTGCACCCTCTGGTGGAAACATGCGCGCTCGTGAATAACATTCCTTTTGGGGTAGAAGTATTCATCGTACTTTCCTAACACGACGTCAAACTTTTCTTTATCGGCGTCCTCCGCAAAAGTGAATGCTTTAAAAATGTTTTCAGCCTCCGGGCCCATTGCGTATATCAATGAGCTGACTTGGACCTCACCGTCCTCCTTGTTCAGCTTCGTAGCGACGCGAAAACGCTGGAAACGTTGCTTCCAATCGCTCCATTCAGTCGGGCGGTCGAACGGGAAACTCTCCGGTGGATTAAACTTGGCCATTTTCCTGAAGCCGTACGTCCGTCACCAGCTTCTGACACCATGTAAAGTAATTGAATGTCCACACAAAACGTCGTGCGTAGGGCAAGGCTTTTACTACGGGTTCGGAACTAGCATAATCAACATGCAGGTTAACAACAAGAGGTATACAGTGTGTCATCGCGGGAGTTACCCCGGTAACCCGGCCAGATGTGATTTACGGCACGTGAGACTACTGTCGTAAAGTATCTCTTACATGACAACCTACATAAGCCGGAACCCAAAAAAATTTAACATGTGTTCCCCTAGTCTCAATATTATGCAGCAAAGTTAATATCTCACACACTATATCATACCTTTCACTTACATTACCAGATTTAAAATTCTCTAATGCTGACAATGAATCAGAGCATATACAACTCTTAGCGGTCTAATTTGTTCTACCCATTGTAGTGCCATAACAATAGCGATCAACTCTGCTGAATATACTGATATATGATCTGAGGCTCTTGCAGAAAACTTTATGTCAAACTCTGGTACCACATATGCTATTGCTATGTGCATGTTAAAGGTGAGGATGCTCTCCACCAGGCTCTTGTAGACGGTCTAAAGGATAGAACGACTCACACCAAAATTATTCAGTTTGCGAAGCAGATACAGTCGTTGTGAGCATTTCTTGAAAATGAAGTCTGTGTTCTTACAAAAGGCTAGTCTCCCATCTATGTACGTGCCAAGGTATTTGAAGTTATCAACCATCTCAACATTGGCACCATGAATCTTCACTTGTATCAATGTCTCTTTATCAATGTGCACAATGAGCTCTTCTGTTTTCAAAACATTGATTTCTAAAAAGCTGTCCCCACACCACTGCTGTAACATGGACAAATGAAAAATACAGACTCTCCAATACAGTGTTCCCTTTCTGTAGTAAAGCAACAAGAGCCACATCGTCGGCAAATTTTAAAAGTTAAAAAGATTCCTCATGAACATGTAATGCACTGGTATAAATTGAAAAAAAGCAAAGGAGACAGAATTGTCCCTTGAGGTGCACCTGTATTTAAGACAGTCACTTCTGAGATATCAGAACCAAGTACTACTCTTTGAGGACGATTAGATAAAAAGTCTCTGACCCATTTGATTATGCCTCCATTAACATCAGGGTGCATAAGTCGACTCAATAAAATATTTACCTGCATAGAGTTAAAAGCTGACATGAAATCCACAAAGAGAATTCTAGCATAGTGGTTAGAGGCCTGGAGATGTTCGGCTGCAGTGTTAAACAGAGTGATAGCTGCCTCCTCTATGCTTCTCCGACTTCTCCCTATTTATTGGCCCATTCCTCCACCTTATTTAGAGCATCCTGCATTTTCTTCTGTAGGTATTTTAAATTCCGATCTCGTACCCACAATGCCCCATCATCAGCATACAAAGACTTGCTTATGGTCTTATCCACATTATCAAAGATGTCATGAATCATAATATCCAAAATTACAGGACTACACACACACTCCCCTGCGGGTTTCCATTTTCAACTGCAAAAACGCCAGAGTGCGTGGCTCCAACCCGAACTTCAATATAACGGTCAAATAAGAAGTCCAACACCCAGTTATACAGTTTCCCTCTAACTCCAATCTTGTCCAGTTTGATAAGCAGCCCCTCTTTCCAAAGCATATAAGCTTTTTCAATATCAATGATTACTGCTAGGGCCACTTCTTTATTTGTCTGAGGCTTCCTTATTTCCGACTCCAAGCACAATATAGCATCCATTGTTCTTCTTCCTTTACAAAAGCCACTTTCAAGCAGGCCGAGCATCTGCACGTTCTCCAAATTATTAGTAATTATTTTTTCCATTGTTTTCCCCAATTGTGACGTAACCGCAATCGGTCTGTAGTTTGATGGATCCAACGCATCTTTAGCAGGTTTTAAAATTGGAATGACAGTAGACTGTTTCCACACTTCAGGATCCTTCCTGTCTCCCACACATGGTTGAAAAATTGCAATACAGCTTCTAATGAATCATCTTCCAATTTTGCTAACATATAGCAAATTCCATCCTTGCCTGGGGTGGTCTGTTTCGCATACACAATCGCTCTTTTCAGTTCAGACAAAGTCAACGGTTTATCCATACTGTCCTCTGTAATATTCTTTTGTTCACTATTCCTGGGTTTTCCCATAAACTGTTTATATTAACGGACGTAGTCACGCCTATCTCCGCCGTTCAAAATGGCCGCGGGGACTCGATAATGTAAAGAAACGCATCTGCGCATGCGTCAGCCGGCACGAGCTCCATTCATTTAAACGAGTGACTTCAAAAATTCACAGCGACTAAACTAGACTGTGAATTTTGCACATGTGTGCCAATAACGGAGCTTTGGGCCAATATTCAAAATTCTCTTCAACTTGATTTCAATTCAGTTCAACTCTGGCTACAATCTAGCAAACTTTTACTCAACAAATCCAAATCTAATTTTATGTTGTTCCAGAAACGAGTCCGTCCCATGTCTACTAATGAAATTAATCTTTTGTTTTTAGACAAGTCTCCACTCCCCATGGACTATATGCACGGGGAGGCGTGACGTCATTTCCTGTTAACGCAGATCAGCCCGTTCACTTCCTGTCTATACTATTCTATGGCATTTAGGTGGGTTTTAGTGACGGTTTTTAGTAATTAGATTGATACATTCAGCTGAGAAACTGACCCAAAAGTGTCGCTGTGCTTTCTCTCTGAGGAATAGCTTTGACTGTGGCCACTCAGAGAGATTTGTAAACTTTATAAAAGCACAATGACAGCACAATCAAAGAGCACTGTTGTGTCCCAAAAATGCCCAGTATCCTCACAGTTTAATTCTCGTTTGAGCATTATTTGGGAAACTCGTGTAAACCACTGCTGAACTCCAGTGAAACTCAAGCCATTTCCCGCGAACAGGAAGTGAAGTGGGGCTTTAGCTAAAACGCAGAAGTGGTGCGTGCATAGAGCCCATTGTTGATCAGTTTAAATACCTTGGTTTATGGCTTGACTCCTCACTCACATACAGACAATCTCAAACAAAATTTCATATCGTCTAAAGTTATTTTATCAATCAATTAATTGCTTTGTTTTTCAGTTAGTAAAATAATTATTTCACAGTTGATCCTTCCCATTCTTGATTACAGTGACATCATCTATCAAAACACTTCTGCCTCCATCCTCCAGCCTCTGAATGTCACAACAGCCTGTGTAGGTTCATTCTCGCTGTCCTTTTAGGACCCACCTCTGTCTGCTGTACGAGCAGCTGTCGTGGCTCTCTCTGTCCTCCAGACGTCAGCTTCATTGGCTGTTTATTTTTAAATGTATCAATCTAAGTTTTCCTGTCTATTTAAAACAGGGGCAGGGGCGGGGACAGGGGTAAGCCACTGGGGAAAGTCGCGAGCAGAGGAGAGCAACGAGCCGAGAAAAGCAACGAGCCGAGAAAGCCACGGAGACGAGGCACGAGCAAAGGGAAGCCACGGAGGAAAACCACGAGCGGGTCCCGTCAAGCCCCAAGGAGACGTACTGCGAAGCGACCTACACGCAGCGGCGGGGCTCATACCCCCGCCTGCGCAGTAAGTAGCGGTCCAAGACGCGTTTACCCCTCATAGCCTTTGGCCTATATACGTGTGCCTTTTCCTGCTCCGGTGTGCTCTCTTCCCCCAGAAGTGTATGGCCTGAGATCGGGAGTGGCAGCTGGAGCGGTCCAAGACGCGTTTACTTCCATAGCCTTTGGCCATATACGTGTGCTGTGTTCTGCTCCGGTGTGCACTCTTCCCCCCAAGGCAAGGCAAGGCCTACGGCCTGGGATTCGGAGTGGCAGCTGGAAGGCTACAGTGTGTGGTGCAGAGTGAGGACGCGAAGACATTGGCACGTACCGCGAAGCAATCTACACGCAGCGGTGGGGCTCATACCCCGCCTGCGCCGTAAGTAGCGGTCCAAGCCGCGTTAACCAATAGCCTTTGGCTTTATATACGTGTGCTGTGCTCTGCCGGTGCGCTCTCTCCCCCCAGAAGCCCCAGCCCATGGTCCGGAGCGGTGTGCGCCATACGCACTAGGGACTAGCGCCATCGAGCTGCCTCTGGCCCTCTTTCAGCCTCAGCCATTGGGGCAATTCCCACGGAGCCTCCACACCAGAGGTTCCTAGGTTTTAAAAAAGGACGTTTTAGAGAACTTTTACAACTTTTATGCTTGTATTCTTGTTTAATAAATACTGCAATTTTAATAGATAATTTGGAAGTTTTGTCTCTTTTTGGGAACACCACCATTGTCACGTCTCCCTTTGCATATAGCCCATGCAATATTAAAAAAGGTTAATAAAATAAACAAGAATACACTATTATTTAGTGACTGAAATGAGACGGAAATTAGAAACATTTGTGTGAGAAAGAGCCCTGTGAGTTACTATCTGACTTTAAAGTTACATGGTCTCTGCTCTCCCTGGTCTCTCTGCTCACTGGTCCCTGGTCTCTCTGGTCTCTCTGGTTTCACCTGCTCACTGGTCCCTGGTCTCACTGGTTTCTCTGGTCGCTGGTCTCCCTGGTCTCTGGTCTCTCAGTTGTCAGTCTCCAGTTTCCTCTAGAGCAGGAACAGGTTCATAATAACGACTATAATCAGAGGAAATACTTTTGTTTCTCATGACGCAGGAACATTCTTCAACAACCGGTTAAAGCTCTCGACTCAAAGAGGCAAATAGTTACAGACCCCAGCTTTAAACATGTGTTATTTATAAGACAAGATAAACTTTATTGATCACACAATGGATGAATGTACATGTCACATTTGGCATGGATAGAATCAGATTGTGCAAAAGACAGAAATGTGCAGCATATTAAGGTTAAAAATATACACTGCAGGATATTATGTACAAAAAGGAAAAAAATGGCAAGAAAAAAGAGGCAATAGCAGTGCTGGTTCTTCCAGGAGTCCTAGTGCAGGTCATAAGTGACTTAAAATGACTTATTGTACAGTCTGACAGCGGTGGGGATAAAGGCCCTGCGGTATCGTTCCTTCTTGCACTGAGGGTGCCTCAGTCTTCCACTGAAAGAACTCTTTCAGTTACAGACCCCAGCTTCAATAAACATTACTGTTATTTGAGGCTAAAGTTGTCGTTCATCAGAGCCAAAACGCCTGCCGCAGACTCCCCTGGCGGCCGATCGTAGCAGCGCAGCAGCAGCAGCTTATGGGTTAAATATTTGAGCAGTGAAGCTCAGGGCGAGGCTCGGGAACTGAGGAGAAAAGTCCTGGAAACCTCAGTCCCGGGACCTCCGCGGGACACCACGATCTGCACAGGGTTTGCACAGGGTCTGTCCGGGTTTTTAAAGTTTAAATCAGGTTTTACCGGAGTTTTGAAGATGGTGACGTTGGAGACGCACCAGAGCCAGGAGCTACAGGTCCCCGCTCTGGACCAGGTCTCGGGTCTGGACCAGGTCTTGAACTCGGGGCTGGGTCTGGTCTCGGGTTTGACGCAGGTCTGGACTCGGAGCAGAACCAGGACTCGGGACCCAACGCCATCACGGTCCTGACGCTGTTGGACAAACTGGTGCTAATGTTGGATTCTGTGCAGAAAGACCAGCACAACATGGAGGTATGTATATACCTCATATAAACAGTTATATATACAGTTAGATACACTGTCATGTATACTGTTATATATGTGTGCGTAATATACACTGTCATGTATACTGTTATACTATTATATATACTGTTATACTATCATATAAAACTGTCATGTATACTGTTATATATGTGTGCGTAATATATACTGTCATGTATACTGTTATATATACTGCCATGTATACTGTTATATATGTGTGCGTAATATATACTGTCATGTATACAGTTATATCATACTGTTTTACTATTATATACACTGTGATGTATACTGTTATATATATGCCTGTATAACTGTTATATTACTGTCATGGCATACTGTTACCAACTATATATACACTGTGATGTATACTGTTATATATACTGTCATGCATACTGTTATACTATTATATATACTGTCATGTGTACAGTTTTATATATATGCCATGTATACTGTCATGTATACTGTTATACTATTATATATACTTGCATGTATACTGTTATATATACTGCCATGTATACTGTTGTAAATGCTTTCATGTACACTGTTATATATTACTGTCACATATCCTTCATATATACTGCTCAGTGATGCCACAGTGATGTCACAGTAACTGAGGGATTTCCTCCAGGTGCACCAGGTGCAGATGGAGGCGGTGGTCAGGGGGGGATCCAGGCTGATATGACCAAACTGTCCAAGAGCCACAGTCACACTGCAAACACTGTGAGCAAACTGCTGGACAAGAGCAGGAAGCTGAGTGTGACCATGAAGGAGGTGAGTGACACCATGATGAAGGTGAATGTGACCATGAAGGAGGTTAGTGTGACCATGAAGGAGGTGACTGTGACCATGATGAAGGTGAATGTGACCATGGAAGGAGGTGACTGTGACCATGATGGAGGTTAGTGTGACCATGAAGTAAGGGGGGTTGGAACCATGATGGAGGTTAGTGTGACCATGAAGGAGCTGAAAGAGTGTGTGCGTGTGTGTATATCACTGTGTGTGCGTCTTTAACCACCCCTGGGGTGATGTGTTCTCAGTTCGCTCTCAGATGGACAAACAGAATGTTCAGGTGAAAAAGCTGGAGATGAACCACAACCACCTGATTGACCGCAACCAGTTTAGAGTACTCATCTTCCAGGTAACACACACATACATAGGGACACACACACAGGGACACACACACACACACATTCTTGGGCTCATTGTTCTGAAGTGTTTCCTTCCTGTTTCCAATGACTGGAGAATATACATGTGTGAGATCACCTGGGTGGTAGCAACGGCTGGTCTGTTCCTCGCAGTAGTTGTAGTAGTAGCAGCAGTAGTAATAGTAGTCGTAGTAGCAGCAGAAGGAGCTGCAGCAGTTGCAGTAGTAGTTGCAGTAGTAGTAACAGTAGAAGTAGCAGTAGTAGTAACAGAAGGAGCAGCAGCAGTAGTAGTAGCGTTTGTTGTAGTTCATGTATGAGTGGGACATTCTGCAGATGTCTCTGGTTCACATGACTCTGGTAAATAGGGGGGGGGGGATGTTCGTATTGGGCGTTGGTGGAAAAACTTGGAAATGTTTTTGGAAAAGGAGCGGGTCGCCACGGAGACTTCTTCCAAAACACAAGTGTGTGCATGTCTCTCTCTGGTCTCTCTCTGGTCTCTCTCTGGTCTATCTCTCTGGTCTATCTCTCTGGTCTCTCTCTCTCTGGTCTCTCTCTCTGGTCTCTCTCGGGTCTCTCTCTCTGGTCTCTCTCTCTGGTCTCTCTCTCTGCTCTTCTTCTCTCTGGTCTCTCTCTTTGGTCCTCTCTTCTCTGGTCTCTTTCTCTGATCTCTCCCTGGTCTCTCTCTGGTCTTTCTCTCTAGTCTCTCCAGTTTATCTCTGGTCTCCCCCTAGTCTCTCCCCCCTGGTTTTTCTCTTGTCCTCCTGCACTCTCTCTGCTCTCTCTCTCTGCTCTCTCTCTCTGCTTTCTTCTAGTCTCACTCTCCTTTTTCTGGATCAGGACCAGACAGAGATCCCGGCCTCGGTCTTTGTCAAAGGACTCACCCGCCGTTTCCTCGTGATAGGACATCACGGAGGAAGGGGAGGGGCTTGAGACAGGGGGGCGGGACTTTCATACCATCGACCTATCGTCTGATGAGGGGGGGGGTGCGGGGGGGGGGGGGGGGGGGGGGGGGTGGGGGGGGTTAGAGGTGGGATTGGAGGCGGAGCCAGAGGAGGACTGGAGTCAGGACCTGGACCTGGAGCTGGAGCTGGGACCGACCAGAGCCGAGAAACTGAAGAGGAGCAGTCTGAAGAAGGTCTGTGAGAACTTCTCTTTAGATCAGGGGTGTCAAAACTCATTTTGGTCCGGGGGCAAAATACACCTAATTGGATCTCAAGTGGGCCGGACCAGAAGATGCTCTACAAAAATACCCAAAACGGTACAAAGTCCAAATTTTTGTGCACATAAACACATTCATATAATAGTTCCTTTAAAACACTGTCCTTTTAATACTCACTTAGTTTTAACCGTAAATCTGTTACAAACTTAAATGTAACAATGAGTTTTTCATAGTGCAAATAATGTAATGTATTTACGATATTACATTGTAAATGGCATTTCACAATATTTATATTAATAAATGTTTGTTAGCTTTGTTTTTAAGGCTCATTACAGAGAAAACTTGCTCACAAAG